CCCTAAGAAGTTACTATAATAATATAGTAAGGAAATTATAAAGAAATACTTATACTTACTTAGGGAAAATACTAAGAAATATCGCTAATACGCTATACTACCGTCGTATAATTATAAGGTTAAGATATTACTTAGTTAAAGCCCTAAGTAAGGTCTTATACTCGCTATAGTATATATAAAAGATAAAGAACCTATTAGATCTTAGGCGGGTAGAGAAGAATATAGATAGTTATTACTACTCTTACTTTAACTTATAAGACCGGTAGCTAGTCTATATTTAACGCGCGTAATAACGTATAGTAGCTAGTCTATATAATACGTTTAATTATATATAGTAGCTAGTCCGTTTAATTACCTATTAGACCTATACTAGATCTAGGTAGATAGTAAGGTTAACGTACTAGCCCTATACTAAGGGACTAGTATATAATAAATATCCTTTTAACTACTAAGCTTTTTATTACTTTCCTTCCTTTCTAGCCGTTACTAGTATACCTATCTTATCTCTCGCTACCTTTATAAGAAGCTATCGCTACTTTTACTTTCCTTTTTATTATTACCCTCTTCTTTATACCTCTTTTTAGCTCCTTCTTTTAAACCGGTTTTTTAGCTTTCTTAATCCCTTTTACTAAAAGATATCTCTAAGAACTATAAAATTAAGCTACGCTTTATAATAGCTTTTAGCGCTATATATCTTAGTATAAAAGGTATAAGAATATTTATATTATAGTATAAGAGTTTCTAGTAATATAACTAAGTAATATACTACTTAAGCGCGCTTAAAGTACTTACTAGTAAATTAATATATATAAGCGATCTAAGATAAAACTCTTAAACTTAAAGGTAAGATTTATACTATTAATCTTATAGTCTTAATTTAATATATAAGATAGTATCTATTTTTTAAGATATAAAGATTAATAATAATATTATCCTTATAAAAGAGTATAAAGATTAGCTATATAAGCTTAAAGTAGCTTTAAAAATATCTTATATTCCTAGAAATAAGAATCCTTTTAATAGAATTTATTTTAATAAAGAGGCTATAATACTATATAAAGAAGATTAAAATTAAAGTAAGAGATTTTATACTTACTTATAGCCTATAAGTATTATCTAATAAAAGCTTTTTAAAGACTCTCTTTAAATATAAATATAAAGCTAGTAAAGGAGAGATAAGTATTACGATATAATTAATATTACTTTACTAAGTAATAAAGAGTTAAAGAAAGTAAAGGAGTTAAAAGAAGTAAAGGAGATAAAGGAAGTAAAGGAGATAAAGGAAGTAAAAGAGATAAAGGAAAGTAACTTTTATTAAGAAGAATAAGTTTAAAGCTATAAGAAAAAGCGAAAAGGCTATATAGTAATAGAGGTAATAGTTACCTCCTTTATAAAGAGAACTAAATATAGGGAGAATATTTAACTATAACGATAGGACTTTAAATATTAAAAGGATAATAAAGGTAAAGGATAAATAATATCTATAAGATCTTATCTTTTAATTTAATATTACTTTTAGCTATATAGCCTATATATATTTTATAGGTGCCTTATATTAAGATAGGTATAAATAATTAGTATAATAAAACTAAATAGGTAGTGCCTATAGGTATCTTAAATATACCTATATATATTTTTAGGTACTTATTTTAAATTTACCTACCTACTAAGTATTTATAGTAGCCCTAAAATAGCCCGTAGGTAGGTATAGGTAGCCTATAAGTAAATATGTCGCGAAGACTATTGCGCCACGCAGGCAAAAGTAGAACGCGCGCTCCTATAGGTGCGCTGCAAATGACACATATCTGACAACCGCGTCTTCCGACAAAATACCTATAGGTATTTTTAAGTCTAATATATATATATATATATATATATATACACGGCGCGGTCTTGCCCGGATAGAACTTAAGTAGATAGGTAATAATTAAGTTAAGCCTGACTCGCCTATTAATCTAAAGAGCGACTGTGACATGCGATAGAGGGCAGGCCTCCATCTCTACGTAGCCTCTCACTTCAAGTGATACGACTCTTCTGATCACCCCCGGAGGGCCCAAGCAGGACTATGGACATTACCCCCGAAGAGGGTGCACACGGGCCGAAGGACCGGGTGTGAAGAGCCACGCTGCACGAGACCCGGACCGCGTAAGGCAGCCCAGAACGTAGAACACCGACAGACACTCATAGAGCCACGGGCAACCCAGTAGACAACAACACCCGTTGACAGACACTCCAGCACCATGTACACAGTGACCCCGCACGGACGGAACCACATACATTTACTTAGACATAGTTATTATACAGTGAACCTAAGATATAACGGTCCCTCCAACGAGGATAATAAATCCTATAAAAATACCCCGGCTAACAAAAGACATCCACTAGATAGTCCGCGAGCGGGCGAGCGGATTCGTCCGCCTTAATACCTGAACGGAGTGAGGGCACGGGAGGGACCGCGACCGAAGGGCGTGGTTCCGGACGACTACATATTTGGTATTAGGGCGGCACCCGGAACCTGGCACCACTAGGCAACAATGCAGACGGTTATAAACGGGACGAGTCATGGGACATACACAGACGGAATAAGAATGGAGTGAGTGGTACGTATACGCACAGTGAGTGCAGCGAACGGGCGAGGAGCAGAGCGACGGTGCGGGTTGGTGGGAGGCAGCTTGCAGGGACCCACCCACGCTTGTCACACGGCAGAGTGTGTGGCACCCATCACCGGGGGTATAGGAGGGGAGGGGCTCCCCGGCCACGGATTCAGTTGATGCTGCTCGCTTTTCCCTCAACCGGTCAGTTGATTCCGTTGGACACACGAGGTCTGTTCTGACGTGAGTCGGCAAGTTGGCACTGTCGCCGGGGATCTTTGGAAGGGACGACGCCTGTTGCGAGAGGTTACTCGTCCGGAAGAAGTAGCACCGGGGATAAAGCCCGTAGTAAAGCGGCGAAGACTATCTAGTAATCCGTTCTAAGATTTTTTTAAACGAAAACGCTATACGGCCTTAGTTATAGACTAAGATAGACTTACGCCTAGCTAAGACGAATACCTATATTACTATAAAACTAATAATAGCTTAGTTAACGATTCTATTATATATTAGTATAATAAGCGACTTAAGTATTTAAATCTATCGCGAATAGTACTTAACTTCCTAACTATGTAGCTAATATCCGCTAAATATAAGTAAATTTTTTTCTATAGTAAGTAGAATAGTCGCTTCTCTCTAGAATCGACTTAAGGCGTAAACGATTAGTATATACTATGTATTACGTTCGTAGCTATAGGCGGGTAGCTAGCGCTTAGAAGGAGGCAGAATCTAGCTAGAGATGATCTCGCGTAGGGGATATATAAAGTTATGCAAGCCGTGCAAAGGCAGGAAGTGGATCCTGATCTTACAGACTCAGGTCTCACAGGAAAGCATTTCGAATAAAGACACTTTCCAATCCACGCAATCCACGCAATCCACAATAACTCCCATGGATCCACTATACCAAAGCATTCCAGTGGATTATAATCTACCCACTCCACATAGGCTGCCAGTGGATTGAGTGGAGTGGATTTCAACCCTGCTACAGGGTCTGCGTATACTCGACAAGCTTGTTTTCATTGCGAATATAGCTACTCCGAGTTTACAGTGGTTGAAAATAAAATGAAGATCTAAGAAAAAATGGGGATTTGTTAGTACTCATACTTAAAGGAGCTTGAAAATTCGAGACGCTAAAGCCCTGACTCGACCCCGGCTTCTACGGCATTAAGGGAGTAGGGGCAGCTCCTTAATTTCCTAGTTAAAATAACTAATTTATAGCTAAATTTTAGCTTCTTAAACTTGTTTTTAACGTGTTTATCATAGTGAGTCATAGTAATCAAAATATTTTAAAAAATCTGTTTACGAGCTACGAGTACTTTATATAGAAGAGGAAATTCGCACTTACTTCCTCCATCTCAGTGAGTAAATGTTAATTGTCTGTACGCGTGAGGTGAAGACGCAGTTCTCAATCTGTGGTATTGATTTCTTGTCCAAATCCCTTCCTTCAGGTCCCTAGTCTCGTCATGTGGCCATCCTTCTTTAGTGTTTTGGCACTCATTTTCCTTCACTGGACTCCTCTAGCGTTCGGCCAACCTTACCTTGACCGCAGGAGCCGTCATGTAGTTATAGGATACAGACTTGTCAATACCGTGAGTCCCGAGACTAGCCACCTTGTCCCTCTCTTTTGATTCCGGTTCTTGAGTATTGGTCCTCACATTATAACATAGGAACAAGCACGCGACTACAACAATGCTAGAACTTTCACCCACCAGGACGAGAACCCAGGAGGCTCACAGATTGGTCCAGGAGTTTATATGACTGCTGGCCCCGGGGAATACCGAGATCGTGATGCATACTGGTATTTGCAACCTTGAAGTACACCGTATCAGAATTAATATATCTAACTTCAATATTGCTAGGATTTGTGAGATCAAAGCCGATGAAGAAGCATTCGCGCGACTACCCAAGGTCATTATACCCATTGAAATGATAAATGGGGGTACGTTAGGCGACGACAAAGCCGAGATATATATCAAATCACTCAACTCCACCTGGGCGGTCAACGAGCCCGTGCGTATCTCATATCTCGATGAGGAGAGAGCAGCCGACAATACGAGAGTAGTACAGATCCTACTCCCTTTTCATCTTACGAACGACCAACCAGATGGGATCGACTTTCAAGTGGAGTGCTTCGTTAAGCCGGATGAAATTCTCCACCGGCCACGTGTTGACGTCTCCACCTGGACGAATGTGCGAGGTCGATGGGAGCAGCGAGATGATCACGGTCAGGGTGTAACATCACTTCCTCCACCGCAGTCTAGCCACGAACCCATGGAGGTTGAAAATACGGCGGAACGGCCTCCTACACCACAGCCTAGCCATGAACCCATGGAGGTTGATGTCTTACATTGCTATTCCACCCAAGGCCAAAGTGCAAATGCCTATACACAACAGACTTGCCCCGAACCAATGGATGTTGACCCTGCTCCTAACGGAATGATCACGGAAGCGGATATGATGGAGGCTGCCGAGTATCTGCGCGAGCACAACGAACCATGCCGGTCCGATTCCGATTATCCCAATAGCCAATTGGCTATGGACGTGGGAGATGCCATCACGACGTCCTTGGAACGGCTTGACCAGCACAACCCCAGCGGACCGTTCGGACACAACCATGGCATTTTAGACGCCTCTATTCAGCAAGCTATAGAAAGGATGAGGCAAGGTGGGAATGGTGTATGCAATCTGATTGACGGATGCGGTTCGGAGTTTGGCGAGTTTCAGCGACGCAAGAGGGCCCAAGGTAAGATACCCAATGTTGGTTGGTAACTGACAAACGCATCGAATCGATGCCCCTGCTAATTCGAGACGTTTCAGACGGGCCCAAGAAGGAACTGGGATCTTTCTGTCGCAAACTCAAAGAGACAATCGCCAAGCCTGCTGTCCATCTTTGCGAAAACGATACTTTCAATCCGCCGTGTACTACTGTTAAGAGCTCGGCCGGGCAGTGCGGTAGGTCCTCGCCTCAAGTCAGTCCTTTATAATACTTTCGGCTAACCACTTGTCTTGAAGTCTCTGTGCCCACCTCGTTGAAAGGCAAGGTGTCTTCGGTACGGCCAAATGAAGCTGCCGGTACCTGTCGCTTCTATAAGTAGGCTTTCTTATTTCTTCTCCTTCTCCTTCTTCTTCTTCTTCTTCTTCTTCTTCTTCTTCTTCTCTTCTATTAACCTACGGCGTGGAAGCTAACGACCTCTTTTAGTAAGCCTGGCTGCAAGGACGGCGAGGGCGGTCACTTCGATGTCTCTTACCCAGGCGCTGATGTCTCCAAGGGCGAGTGGCCAAGGCCCAAAGACTTCAATGATAAGATCGCTTCCTTCCGCTGCGACGCGGCGAAAGAGTCGAACACGCCTGAACAATGGGAATGGTCGCCTAAGTCTCAGCCGCAGCTCTGCTCTCATTTCGATCACTTGAACCTTGGTTTCCAGTTCTCGGACAGTAGTGGCGCCGGAACCTGGGATACCATTAAGCTCGACTTCCCGAATGCGGCTTCAAAAAAACACGTCATCGCAAACGGTCCAGCCGCTGGATTTCATGAGTGGCAGCCCATCAATATGCAGAATGTGTTTGGGTCGGATTTAGTCGAGGTCCGCCGTATGTCAAAGATCCGCCTTGCCACCGAGATAAATCAAGCAGTCCTTGATTTCAAGGAGGCAGATGAGTGGAGCCTTATAGGTGCGTATTATTACTTCGCTTTGCCCTGCCGCGAAAGACACTAACTCCTTATATATAGGCCTAAAACTGACAGCACGATGCGCTAAGTCTGGTATATGGGTTGACATGGACAAATTCGCCTCGATGAATAGGCTGATGCAGGCTAAGCCTACTGACAGTGGCAGGTACCGATATCATAGGGATTGGGAAGTCTGGGCCGACGATATCAAATCCGAAGACTGGGTTCCGAGGCCCCCATGCAGCCATTTCCAGCAGATGGACGTTCGTGTGGAGATGGCTGATGAGAGCTGGGCCGGAACCAACAACGATCTCTATATCTATGCCGGCAATGGCCGTTTCCAGATCGCTCATCAACCCTCTCGCCGCCAAAGCTACATCTCCAACGTCAACCTCGAGGTCGCCTATAGGTCGTCGGCTGTTCCTGTGGCCGATATTAAGCGCATCTCGATCAAGAGTGAAGGAGGGTCTTGGGATAAGGCGTTGGCTTCGAGTAAATCCCCCTCCCCCCCTCGCCTCACCCCTCGTGTCTCGGGGAAAGCATGGCAGCTGATACGTCGTGCCAAATTCAGATATTAGCGTCCATGCACGCTGCGCCAGCTCGCTCACTGGTGTTCATGTCGATTATGAAGTGAAGGACTGGCTCGCTGACGGCCAGCAATGGAACCTCGATTTGACTCCTAGAAATTGGACCAGGAACAACTAACTGGAGGCTACTGAGATATCAATGCGTCCAGTGGATTGAAGTTGAAAAGGACCTTGGCTGGAGGCGTACAAACTAAGGGGGGCACAAAGAAAGGGGGTTACGTAGGCACTAATAAGGGGAATCGAGGGAAGATCTCGTTCTCTTCTGATTATAAAGTCGATAGGGGAATTTAGATATATTATTACTTATTACTCCCTATTAACGCCATCTATTCGCACTTAATCCGCCCTAAGGGATTTTAAAATACTTCGAACACCTATTAAGTTGCCAAGGCAAGGGACTTCACGACTGAATATCTAGCCCGGAGGGTGAATATCTGTAGGGCCTGACTATTAACGCGCCTACCACTCTGACTATTCGGCCTACCAAAGTGTGGGTCAATGTAGCTAGTCAAGGCGCAGCGCCGATACCGCACAATTAGGTGCGCATGATCCCTGTCACAACCCAACGAGGGTCTCACGGCCCAACAAGGGTCCCAGTGGGCCATACAAAGACCAATGTGTAGCTATTGAAGGTTGGGCTCACGCCCACACGCACCAACGGGCGCCCCCCCCCCTCATCCCTAGAAGCGGAGATGATGCCATCGCCGCATCCGGAGGCACCGAATATGGCAGTCAACTAGTGGGATGCTAAGGAAGTCAGTTGATGGATCCGGATAACCGTAAGCTGCCGGATTAGTAGGGAAACCTATTCCCCCCCATACTTCGTATACATATATAGTCACGCCCGCGGACTCCCTCTTTTAGGCAGGATAGCGCAATCTACACCCTCTTTCTTTAATGCAAAGACCTAATAACTAGTGATAATAGCCGTATTCTTTATATAAGTCTTTGCATAGGTAAGTTATTATAATTAGAGGTAAGCGTTAAAGGGCTATTATAAACCTATAGAAAAGAGCTTAAAGATGCTAAAAGGAAGCTATACGCGTATAGGCCGCCCTTAGCTAAGAGGTTTAGTCTTATAGCCTATGTGACTGACCCCTGCAAATAAGGGCTAGGGCTGCGCCCAGGGTTTACGCAGTGAATTGGCTGCGCACCCCTAGCGTCGGTCCTGCCCTCTGTTTGCAACAGTTGTCTACCAATGCTTTTCCGAAATGTCCACTTGGTGTACATCGACGCCTTCCTTGTACCACCTCTCCTCATCCGTGATTTTCACATCGTTGCCGCTCATCTGGCGCTTCCGCATGAGACCATTCTCCGCAAAGGTCCAGTCCTCGAGGCCGTAGGTGCGCCACCACTGGCCCTGGTCGTCATGCCATTCATACCAGAATTGAACGGCGATTTTGTTATCAGTAAAGGCAAACAACTCTTTGCGCAGCCGGTAGCCGTTCTCCTTGGACCACTTCTTGGTGAGGAACTCCTCAATGGCATTTCTGCCTTGGAGAAACTGGTCTCGGTTGCGCCAGATGGAATCAGGCGTGTAGGCCATTTTCACTTTCTGGGGATCGCTGAAAAATATGCCTCAGTCTGATGTGGAGCAAGATAGTGCGAGGTCTGGTAGCTCACCAGGTGTTCCACGCGTCCTCGGCAGCCCTGACCTTCTTCCGGGCCGACTCGAGGTCAAACGGCGGACAGGGGGGCTTATGCTCCTGGGTAGCCATGGTCGTTGAAGCTAAGTTGTGGATTGAGAATGCCAAATTGCGACTGGAAATGTTGATAACCAGAGACTGTGAGCAGAGAGAGTTTCTTAGGAGGTGGCAGTCGTGCTCATGTATCGTTTCGCCTCCCCATCCCCGGCTGACTCGGCTGACTCGAAGATCCTGCATCCATCAACTGCATCTACCTCATCCCGACTTTCCCGAACGCCGAATGCCGACGGCACCGGCAAGGGCCCCACTAAACCCGGGGGGTAACGGTTACTCGTTGGACCCACTCCTCCGGCCATGCCCGAGAAGGCCTGGATGCATATCACACTCTATCACACTCCCCGACAAGGGTGACGATCTCTCGCGAGCCTACAATTTGACATTCGGGCAGTTTCTCCAAGCCTACTCGTACGAATACAGTCCGGCATTCGTCCCCCTCGCGAAGATGCCCGCCCCGCCCCCGCGCGGAGATATCACCGGCGCATCCGTCACCACGCCCCCTATCGACCGCCAGCCGGCCCATGCCGTGCCGCTAAACTCGTTGACATAGACGGCGTTGTTGGTCCCCTGCACCGCCAGCGTGATCCTCTTGCCGCCCCCGGCCGCCGCTGACGGCCGCGACAAGGCCACGCCGCCCAGGCTCACCCATCCGCTCCACACGGCGCCATTCCAGCTCTTCTGGAAGACGGCGTTGTTGGTGCCCCGGACGAAAAGGTCAAGCCGGTTTGTCCCCGTAGACACGGGCGTCACGTCGTCCACGACCACGCCGCCCAGGTTCTCCCACCCCCGCGCCGAGGGCAGCCACTGCGTCCCGTCCCAGGCCTTGTGGTACACGGCGTTGTCGGTGCCCCTGACGAAGATATCGAGGCGGCCCGCGCCCCAGGACACGGCCCGTGGACTCCCCACAATGACCCCGCCCAGGTTCTCCCATCCACTCCACGCGCGCCCGTCCCACGCCTTGTGGTACACGGCGTTGTCCGTGCCTCGCACAAACAGGTCCAGTCGGTTGGCTCCCCACGACGTGGCGCTGATATCCCCAATGATGCCGCCGGAAAGTGACTCCCACCCGCCCCAGGCAGTGCCGTCCCACCACCGGTGCCAGCACGCGTTATCGACGCCCAGAGCGAAGAGGTCGATGCGGTTCGGGCCCCAGGACACGGCCGTCACGTCGCCGTAGACGGTGCCCCCGAGGCTCTCGTGCGCCGTCCCGCTGGGTGACCACGGAGAGCCGGCACCCGAGGTCTGCCACTTGTGGTACACGGCATTGTCGGTACCCCGGACGAAGACGTCGGTCCGCCCGGGTGCCCATGACACGACGGCGGGATGGCCTGGCCAGACATTAGTTAGGTTCTAAATGCCTTCATCTATAGTATAGGGACATTGTTGTACGAAACACACCAGAGAACAAGCCGCCCAGGGAGTGCCATGATGGAGCCACGCTCCGGATGCCTGGTTCAAGGGCCCTGGCATTGCACGTCTCCGGTGTAAGCAGGAGAAGAGACAGGCAGTAAAATGTTGCGAGTTTGAACATGTTGGATAACGGAGGCAGAGGGCTCAAGGCTTGGTATAGCACAGTGGAGACCTCTGCTCCCAGTGTCTTGTATTTATACACGAGCCTGGTATCTGCAAAGTCACATCCGAGACTGACATCCTACAAGTGCCTTTTACTGCCACTTGTCCCGCGTTCTGCCATGTATGCAACGTTCTAGTTATGCACAGTTTCCATGAAGTACCGGTCGCGGTCTAGATTTGCCTGCCAGCCCAAGGTGCCCTTTCGCATGCATCAATGTTACCCCCTTGCATTGATACACCACACCAACACACATGAATGAGCTCATCTGATTCGCACAGCCGGCTATATACACATTCCGCAATGAAATGATTCGAAGTGGCCTGCAAGCCGTCAAACCCGGCATTGTAATATCTTGGTAAAGTTGAAAAGGGTTCGTTCATGCCGCCCTTTGCCGTCGTCACGCGCGAACCACGGCAGAGGTTCCCCGCTACGCTGAACCTATATTGCAACGCTAAACGGATGAGCTTCCTTTTCCACGCAGTCGACAAACGCAGCCTATATTGGCAGTAAGGCTCTATTGCGCTCGCTGTCGACACCACTAACAGCGGGTGGCACTTGCCCGCCGGTCCGATGTGTGCAACAGCGCTTCTAGACTCATCTGCCGATATGGCCGTCATATTCACTCGTGGTTTGCCGGCCACAGCAAAGCCGAAAAGCGAAGCCACCAGACACTGCCTAAATGGCTTACGACTGTTAGTTTTGTCACACTCGGAAACGTTAAGAGAGGTGGCCGCGGCCTCTATAACGAAGAGTCTGAGGGGTGCCGTGCCTCTTAAACCACACGGGCGAAATTCATGATTCAACTGGCACTTGAAGTCTGATCTTGGGGACGTATTAAGCCGAAGAAGTAGGGGCGCTTCCTGGAAGCGGAGATGGGGCTTGACCTCGGCGATCGTGGTAACGTCGTCGTTATTTCGCGAGCGAAGTTCACCTTCATCCACTCGCCCATTGTTCCGGGGCAATCAAGAGCATGCGCGTTTGGAAATAAATCAAGGTTGTCCTCGATGCCTTTGAACTGCTTTGCAAGATTCACGGTAGTGTCTATAACAATAAGGTAGGTACCTTAGTAATAATAATGGTAATAATAAGTAACTTGGCTGCCCGGCCGGGTATCCAGACCCCACGGCTCGGCATAGTTGGCATCGAATGCAAAGTCCCTGTTACTTGGTAGCGCTTATCAGTACAAGTACACGCTCCACCGCTGGTCTCCATTCGCCACCTACTAACTCGCCACGTTAACTGGGGCTCAAGACGCGCCCTCGCTTGACCTCGACATCCTGTAGAGCATGACCAGGCCACAACGCGAGACGAGGAAAAAACACGGCGCAGCAAGAAAGAAATACGGCGCAACTGTATCATCGTCTGACCCCGGGCGGCGTCGGAACCTGTTGCTTACCGCCACTACAATGAGCCGACTCCCAGATCAAGTGTCCAAGGGCCAATGGCTACTCTCAAACGTCATGAGGCCGCTCAGCAGCAAGTACGAACCCTACGTCAGCGACGAAAGGCTCCGAGGCATGAACATCACCATGTCGGATCTCGACTTTGTCAGCGGAAAGCCAGGAAACGGCGGAGAGCAGTTCATCGAGCCCATCCCTGCAGTCACCGTGAACCAATGGCTCAACGAGACGAAACCGTGGACGATTCGCAGAGACTTCCACGTCCAGCCCGAGTTCGCTGACAATCCCCAGTGGGAGGCTATGTTTCTATGGATTCTCGCCTCTATCTACCTCGAGGATTCAGAAGAAAAACTCCCAGGGCCTTTGGTGGCGCACACACGCTGGGTATCAATCCCGTGAATGTCGCTTCCACTCGGCGGCCCCCTTGTTCCCCCGACTTGGACCTTGGTATAGCTGACCGCCCATCTCAGAAACAGTTATCGTGCCCTTAATTCCCTCTCCCGAGGCGAAGCAGACTGGCAAGTCAAGTGCATTCTACGACACAATGCCACGCCGCACGAACCCCACGTTCTTACCGTGCTGGACCCTGACCTGGACAAACCACATACAATTTGCTTCCTGGCGGACAATGCTCTTCTTCGGGATGACCGCCTGTCGTCCAGTGAGGTCATTACCGTCGTACTGCTTTCCGTTCTCCTTAGGGCTGAACCTAAACACAATCCCAGGAATCACCGCATCTCCCCTGTGAGTTCTTCCACTCTTCATCCGCCTCGCCCCGGGCTTCTCCCTCGTAACCGCCAGCGCGCGACAGGCGTATTGACAGCAATCGACTGCAGGTCACCATCGTATCTGCCTCCAACAGGAGTGTGCGCATTGTGCAAGGGTTTGCCGATATCGAAACCCGGGCGGTCGAAATCCGCAAGTCTCCCATTGTCCACTTTGACCAGGGCGTATGGGCAAATTGGGATCAATGGGTCATCGTCCTGGGCTGGTTGATGGGAAATCCCATCGGCAACACATTCTGAAGTTTGTCCACACGTGTCTTGGGCCTCGGCTCGTGGGGAGACGCAAGATCTACCAAAGATCGACGACTTGGTTTTATGCTCAAGCTTCATTTGCGCTGCCACCCGCCTTCCCCTTATGTGCCTTGAGGAACGAAGTCAAGCAACTCAACACTACAAGCACTCTTGTTCTTAACAGGGAGCTGCCGCACCTTACCGTCCAAATACCCCTCCGCTTTGCCCGACTTCTTCTTCCGTGGCTTCCTCATCCGGGATGCATCTTCTATTTCCGCATCGCTCATGCGCTTCAGCCTTTCTTTTGCAGTCACCGTTTTATCCGGGACCCTATTGCCCACCATATCCCTATTTCGTGTTTTTGAAAGGAGCATAATTCCATCCAACGAGGTGCACCGGTCGCACTGTCAAGGAATCACCTCGCCATATAGCTTTATCATTCCCGCACCTCTCAGCTTTGGTGCTACTATTTCACTGAGCGCACCGGCAACTGCTTCGGACTCCCTGACGAGGCAGGCGGCTGTCGTCGCTCATGCAATTGCGGTTTCAGGCTGTCACAGCTCTAATATAATCACCACAACGGCCGCCAGCGGCTGGGTATTCGAGGATCTGGGGCCGATCATGGCGGACGAACGGAAGCATGCTGCATGGCTTGCTGCGGGTGATACATTTTATCACTGAGCAGATTTGCAGACTCAAGGCTGACTCGGCTGGCCTGTTCGGCCGTGGACCTCAAATCTATGTGTGGCAACTTTCCTGGCAGCCGAATTGCTTGCTCATCATATGCATCTCTTAGCCACAAATGATGTGTGGGAGTGTCAAGGCAAATCATAGTCTTATCCTTTATACATGTAAGTCATATGTGCTTTTAATCCGGGAAGGATTCCAGCTTCGACCATTACGGCATTGAGCACAATATTGGCCTTAGCGTGGCCTAAGCTGCGTCGTCAAGTGCGACTTCAACTCTGCTTGGTGTCATGAAATCTTATATAAAGTACGGCCATAGTCACCTGTCGTATCTTTACAGTTCCATGAGAAACCCCTGCGTCACAGTTTGGAATATATATGAAGTGAATGGTGATATTGGTAAGGTAATTTATATTTCACATAGCGCTATATGCCCATATAAAGGTAGGCTTCTTTAATCGCAATCTCGCAAGCTTCCCGAAAAGCCCGCTCCAAGGCCGGCCCCGTGGCCTGGAACACCCATTTCTTGTCAGGTGACGGCCTCCTCGAATAGAGGGAGCTCCGTCTGCCCAGGAGTGGTCCTTCTAATATGCCCGGAGTGGCAGCTTGACCTATTGAAGATGTGGGAGGAGCCGGTGCCGAGTCTAGGAGGATTTGTAGCGCCATCTGCGGGTCGACTTCAGCAATGACGGACGCGACCTCTAGAGCCGTGACCGAGATACTCTCTGCGGCGCCTAAGAGAGCAACGCCCCCGGCACCGACAGCTCCCTCGGCGGCCGTCCCTCCGGCAGCGATACCCGTTATGAAATCGGAGCCTGCGAGAATGCCAATACCTGCAGCGACGCCTCCGAGGACTTTTCCTAACCAGGACCCGCTACCCGAGCCACCTGTAAGCCTGTCAGCACTATCGACGGCTTTCTGTTTTGCTGTCTGGGCATCTGTTTCCGTGGCTTCCCTCTCTCTGGCCTCCTCCTCCTTGACCTCCCTCTCCTTGGCCTCCCTCTCCCTGTCTTCCCTCTCCATAGCTTCCTTTTCTGCCTGCTCCCTCTCCCTCTCCCTTTGAGCAGTTCCCTCTTGATCATACAAAACGACACGCTCTTTAAGCTTTTCGTCTAATGGTGATCTCTCCTTCAAATACGAGACCAATGCTTCCTCAAGGTTCGCGACTACCTTGACATCCCGACCCTTCGGTAGCATGTTGTCACCCCCGTCTATGAGATACTCGCCTGTAATTATACGATAGTCACGCTTCTCGTCCAGTCGCTGATTATTAATGCGGACTTCACCGACCTGTGATCCTGCTTTCTTGTTTTGGTCGTACTTGATGGCCATCCCGTCTGAGACTTGAAACCATGATGTCACCCGATTCTGATTGAACTGGTTGACCTTGGAGACGCAGCCCTCAATGATCTTGCGCAACTCGGCACCCGTGAATGTAGCCTCGACGAGCGTGGTTTCGAACGGAAAGCATGTCTTCAAATCGCCTTTTGTGATTTTCCCGGACGATATAGAAGCGCGGATGATTCCGGAATTGATGAAAGAAAAATCAGGACGCGGCTCGCTCTCCTCCAACTGCTTTAGACGGTAGTCGAGAATAGCATCGGCGAGGACCTGGCCGAGCAGACAGTCTTTCTCCCAGCAGTCTTCGCCTTCGAGATTTGTCATGGTCTCGCCAACTTGGACCGTGTATTGCTCAAACAGGGTGCGCCAGCTCGTTATCTTCTCCTGCAGCGTCTTTTCCTGTTCGACCGTCTTGTCCATATGCACGGGAGCTCCTCGGTAGGCCAGCGCCTTTCCCTCTGTGTCAAATGTGACTTCGATAGAGCCTAGGTATTCTCCCCAGCGATAGGCAGTTACTATGAAAACTTCATGGCCCTTCAAATTCGTCTGAATCGTCGGGTAAGCTCCCTCGGCCTTGGGCATGTCTCCAAGAAGTGTATTGGTATGGCCGCCAATAATCAAGGACAACCCCTCAGTCTCGGCTGCGAGCCTCTTATCCTCGTCGTAGCCAAGATGGGTAAGAGCGACGATGCGCCTGATCTCCGGATGCATCTTGCGAATCTCATCTATGGTCTTTTGCACTTCGGGTATGGGGTCGAGAAACTTGGTGCCTGGGCCGACTTGTGAGGTAGTCGCCGTCGTCTCAGTCGTGACTCCAATCACAGCGAGCTGATGAGCCGGGAAGATCTGATAGTTCTTAATGGTATCTTTTAGGTCCGAATAGGTACTCTTGACATTGCAAGAGACGATGGGAAATTTCAGTTGCTTGAGAAACTTGCCGAGAGCTTCGTCGCCGCCGTCCCACTCGTGGTTACCCAAAGTCATGGCATCAAAGTTCAGGTCGTTGAGGGTCTCGGCGATCTTGTCACCCCCGTAAACCGAGTAAAACAGGGTCCCCTGAAACTCATCCCCAGCGTTGAGGAAAAGGCTATCGGGGTGCAACTTGCGTAGCTCATCCACCTTGGTCTTGATGCGAGCGTAGCCACCGTAGCAGTCCTGCGCAGGATCCGTGCAATCAGTCCCGAATTTGGTGAACTGATCCAAGTGGGCATGAACGTCGTTGACGTGGAAAAAGGCTGTGGGTATCGAAGTCAAGTTAGCCGATGGACGTGGCAAGAGTTGGCTCTGATCGAGGGGCAGCGTTTACGTACACATCTGATAATTGCCATTCTCATCAAGCCCGCGTTTAAACAACCGCTGGCCGAAGAGAAAATCGTCGGCAGAGACAAGGGTGCCGAAAGCAGCGATTGCCGTTATACCGAGAGAAACTGATTTCTTCATGTTTCAAAGACAGTATAGCTTCGTAGCACTCCTGGCCACGCCTGTCCATTCTCACATGGCCCCGGAGGAGCAGAGATAATAATATAATATACTGGATTAGGTAGTCGTTGATTCCTGCTGCCAGAAGTTTGGTGCCAGACCTAACCTTCCCCTGTTCTCCCATCCAGACCATCCTGCCCAGTACTGGCCTTGGTTGACCTTCTTTCCCGCGGACCCTGACTAATACACGGCGTGATATACCATCAAAGTCGCGCAATACTCGTCAGTTCGTTTGTATATAATAAGTCGGATATTATAGCGCCTTGTACTCCCGGAGACGTTTTTATGTATAGGAGCTTTTAAGCGACTCTAATGCCTGCCTCGGGTTTATGCTTGCATATAACATTATATACGGAGTATATATAAGCATAATATAACGCGAAATGTCGGAAAGCGGCTTAGATTGAACTTTAACTAGTACGATCATCGAATTAATTTAAAGCAAAAACTAGGAGAAGTGGAGATAAAGAATAAACGTACTTTTGCATAACTCTTCCCCAGGTTTGAACCAAGTAATGGCTTCTCCATGGCAGAAGCAAGCAGAGGCAGATCCCGTCCACATGCATCTGTGAAGGCTGCTTTGAACAAGAGGCCAGGAGGGAACACAGGTAGGGCATGCTGTGTATGTAGTCTCGCTTCGGGGTAGCGTTGTCCGAGTTGCCACAAGGAGACATGACTAGCCACAACCGAGGCACTCTTTGCGTGTGTGCAGTTAGGGTGGTGACATCCTGGTATGATCCCATTGCGGCTGCAGAGGTGATGTGAAGCCCCAATCTGAAGCGCCAAGCTCATGCGGCTGTCTAGTGACAAAGAGAAAGAAATCCTGATCATGGGACCCGTGTGCGAACTCGTATCGAGTTCATGCTCCAAGGGCTGAATATAGAGACTGACTCGTTGTCGCCGCCTCGGCCGCCTTGAGTTCGAATGCTCACTCGACATGGGCATGGACTCATTTTCTTTTCGGCCATGACAGCCTGACTCGCTGTAGCCAACGACCGGGAGACAGCTGAAGGTCCAGACCGTCATATATTGTACATGGCCGGCAGTTAGGGCTAGAATAACACCTTGAGGCCAACACGCCAGAATAGAGCCATCAGCCGCGTCAAAAAAGAATATGCTCGTCAACAGTAGCTCAGATGAATAATAACTTGGATAGTAACCTACCAACCGCATGGTGTCGTACGTTTAGTCCAATAAGTCTTCATACTACTCTAGGACAGAGATGGAGTCACTCCTAGCACGCAATGGTGCTCCCCTGCTCACTCAACTGCCGTCTTGACTCTAGAACTAGTGTGAGTCTATCAATGCTGTCTGGTGATTCCAAAGCAGCAATCTTTCGGCCAATACCAATCACAGTCATTCAATTTTCTCATCGGTCGTGTGATCATGCGGGCCTGCGAACGAGAACGACAAAGGGGCTCCCACCCCAGGTCGCATCAGGATCCATGATAATAGCACGAAGAACAAGCACATACTGGTCGGTACACGTACGATTAGTGTACTTCGCTTGGCAGGCCTCGCTAAAATGGACCTCAACCTCCACGTATGCATTATACAGACCTACCTGCCCGATGTGGTATACACATGTAAGTACCACTCAAGCACGGTCAATGCCAAACATTCGCTCGCCTGACTGGTATCTGACTACTTTCATGATGAATATATTTTTCATTTATTAAGTTACCGGGCCCTTGAAATGTGGCGGAGACTGTCTTTGGCTTACAGGGTATCAGGGTAGACTGAATTGCACCCTTGTGCTTCTCACGGCTGGCATACGCACATGCAATAAAATCGAGAGAGACCCGAGCGTATCCCCTATTAACTGTCTAACAACGGCCAGGCATCACCTTGGTTCACTGCCGGATTTGTTTTCAGAGTGCAGCAGCCAGTCACTCCTTGCACTTCAACACCATGACTCCTGTGTCGGCCGTGGTAGCTTCATTGCTGCTCCCAATCACAGTTTCAGCGGGCGCCGGGGAAATCAACGCTCTACAGGTATGTACGGCTGGAGATTCGCAGGGGAAGCAGTTCCCCCTCCATGGCGCACAACGCAAAGATGCTAAAGCATGCACAGTCCAGGCAGGCGTGGGAAGCTCTGAAATGGTTCAAGCCCGGCGTGAACTGCACCGAACGCGTCGAGCCCTGCCTGGGAACCGTTGCGTGGTGCTCCCACCCCGAGTACTACGGGCAGCAGGGCCACGATAGTCAGGACGCTTGCTTTAACGCTCGGATTGCAAAGACGGAATGGCGATATATCAATACCGAATGCCGAGCAGATTTCGAAATCTGCGACGGAACCGACGCTGTCTGTTCCAAAGTTGACAATCCGGCATTTCGTGGTTCGTGCTACGCAGCTCACACCAATGGAAAATGGCTGGAAGCATTCTCCAAGGACTGTCTCGGCGCAGGAAGAGAGGACGATGAGCGCTGCGTTGGAACTCAGGTGTTTTGCGAGGCCAAGGAAAGAATCAAGTCCTACGGCTCGACTCAAGTCTGCCTAAGTCACCGAGAAGAGGCTTCCGCCGACTCAACGCCAGTCACGAAGCAAGAGTTCCTCCCGGAAAACCAGCTCCGGTGCTACGGAGATGCTACTGAAAAGTGCAGAGGCACGGAGCAGTATTGCGGCCGCCTTTCGGGCAAAGAAAAGCAAAAGTGCCTTGAATCGCGCGAGCATCCTCCATTCTATGGCGAGTCCTCTGCAGAGTGCCAAACCTCGAGCGATAAAGGGCTTCACTCTGAAGCCTGTGTTGGCACAGAGCACTGGTGCCAAAGCAATCAGAGAGTCCAGCTTTACGGATCGGCGGCAAAGTGCATGGCATTCCGCAAACGGGCCCCTGGGTCAGGCAAATGGGTCCCCCCCAACTATGCATGCCTCGAAAATACAGACGGGACCGAGCAATGCGCGGGGACGGAACAGATATGCCAGTGGCACTCTCCTTCTCGCGATGCTTGCTACAAGGGAAGAGATCTCGGGCCTTTCCTACTGTCCGACGCGAATGGTTGCCCCGACGCAAAACAACAAAGGGAGTCTTGCCTGGGTACCGATGTTTGGTGCCACGAACGGTACAGCCAGACAAACTACTTTACTGAGGGGGAGTGCTTCTCCAGGCGAGGCTTCAAGCAGGACCAGATGGCTGTCGAGGTTGTGAAGAGAGTGACAGTGGTAGTGAAGGAAGCCATTCTCAAATTTGGGGAGAACGTGACCAGACATGCAGTGTACTACGATCTCGTTGGACAGCGTGGGGACGACAAGACTGCTATGAAGGCAGTCAAGGCCTACCTCGAAGGATATCTGGACAAGCTTCAAAAGGAGACCATCCCGGAGGCTACGAAAAAGTTCATGGCGAGGGTGGAGCAGAAGGCGATAGGTGCTTAATGCAGGTAGAAGGGGTTGCCCCGTCTTGCCCATACAATTGCCAGAGGCCTTGGACAGCTTTGAAGCAATTATACGAGTACTGTACCGGCAAGGGAGAGCAAAATACATTTGATCGGTACTCAATGAGCATCTACTGGAGCGTTTCATCTTTGTTTTGGTCAAGTGGTAGCCAGACCTTGCAACAGGAGGACCAAACAATACGACTAACAACTCCATCAGCTTCAATAATTTGAAATACTCTGTCACACATGTTTCCGTCTATTGTGGATGAGGCTATGAAGTCATCCCGCCGCTTGCTGTATACGTATGTGTTGTCCGGAGCTCCGGCTTGGTGCTGAACCGTCAGTAGGCCATGCTGGACGCGAGTCAGAGTCATGGCACCATTTACTCGGCAGTTGGTTCTCCTCGCATAGTGAGCAAGCATCAATACATACAGGATTATTGTACCCGAAGGCGGATGTACATGTTGCTAACTGCAAGGGTCCCAGAACGTCGCCATCACGCAATATGTATATGTAGAAAACACCACTTATATCGCGCATGATTTTAGGACATAACTATCGTGATTCTCAAGCCATGACAGTCCAACGCCTTGGCGGTTGTTGGTCACTAGTCGAGCCCTCACTTGAACTCCGATAGGCCTCAGTCGCTGCTAAGTTGGCATCAGCAAAGCAACAGGCCATTTTCAAAAACTTGTTTGGTGGTGTTCTGAGTAATTCCTTGTCAAGAGACTCCATGGGCTTTTTGTAGTTAACCCCCCCCCCCCTGTTTGTCTATGTCCAATCGTATGCAGGATATGTGCGCGTTTGGGAAACAACGCCAGATCTCTCGAGCCCACCGTGAAACTAACAGTTGATTCCAAACACGAGCCCATGAGCTCACGCGAGTTCTAATAAAGCGGGGGCGCGCACGAGTAATGTTGACGCTAAGCCCTCTCATTCAGTATTAGACCATGGCCTAAAGAGCATGATGAAGGCACCGAGATCGGCATATGGCAAGGGTGCTGGTAGCATTTAACATAAAAATCCAGTAAACTGGAACGGCATTGGCGATCGACAAAGGTCGGTCTACCTAGATAAATCATAGGAAAAGCGTTGATATCAAATTCTACCTGTTGTAGAGCTTCCCCCCCTGCCAAGACTGTCTCACTCTGCTGAGTTGGAGAAAAGGTTCCTGCGAGGGTCAGTACCGGGTTTATACGATTGCCAGGATTGATGTGCCGAGATGAGAATAAACCATAGCTCCAATGATGCCAAGATACTTTTACCACTGGTGCATAGTTCATATCATCGCAAAGCCATGGACATGGGGACGCCCCCGTCTTTGTTGAGGCATACATCAAATGACAGGTGCCGGGGCGGCTCACCTGACACGTATACCCTTGTCTTTGTTTCTATGCTTGACGATTATCACCCAGGGCCTCTATTAACTGAACGACCAGGTGGGCCTCCCCGGTATCGTTGGGCCTTTGGCCCGTACAAGTCCCACCATTGTTCATTCTCTTATGCCTGCAGCCCCTCCTCGCCTAAAAGGTTCAGAACAGTATGCAGACATTGAAGCAGCGATCGGAACCGTCAGCGTCTACGTATCCTTGAGCCTGCTTGACCTTGTTTCTCTCACGCGAGCAAGTACGTATTCCAGGCGTAACTCTTCCAACATGTCCAGGTACAAATTGAGCTGGCTAGAGGAAACTACTAAATGTCTCGCGCTGCCCAAGCTGACATGGGCCACCAACACTTGCCGACATCGCATCCAGAGCGGCAACCCAAAGCCTCGTCAACTATTCATTTGCAAACCTTGAAGAGTCGCCTCTAGCATCAAGTGGCCATGATGCACAGGTATTGGGCAGTCTTGGTCCTAGCGACTTCCTTATGTTTGGTATTCTGGCCGAGCAGCGTTTGTGCTCTTCCTCAGCCACCACCTGCCGACTTCAATGATTCGCCGCCAGCAACACTCCCTCTGCCAGAGGACAAGGTCGAAACGTTCCCTCCGTCAGGAGAGAAACCCGAATCACTTCCTCTACCGGAAAAGAAAGTCGAGTATGTATTTCGCGGCCATAGAGAGCAACCATCGACCGTAAAGGACGTTCCAGGCATGCCGCCGAAACTGGATCCTCATGTGGCCCCAACAGAGGCCCAAAGCGCTATTGATCCATTCAGTTTATACTTACACGATGACGACATGTTGGACCTGTCCCTTGGAAGAAAACACAGCGCATATGTGTCCACCTCTCTTTCGCTGCCAATAGCTGTCGACTTCGCTGCCACGAAGGCCAAGCTAAAACAAGGCTGGGTGTATCGGATCCGCCCTGCAGCAAACATGGTCGACATGCCGAAATCACTTCACGTGGGTAGGGAAAACGAAGAAGAAGAATATTCAGCCTTGGGAGGGATACGCTTCGAACAGATCACGGATGCTCTCAGAATACCCCTTAGCTTTGGCCGCCGCTCGCAGGTGAAATATGAAGACTGGGAGGATTTGGCCCGCCAAGTGGCAGACTATTGGAAGAAAAATCCGTTGCAAGATGGGACGCCGGCTCAAGCAGAAGCCAAGAATGGGCATTGGGTGAACACGGACTACGATTCGAAATATGACCAGGTCCCGGAAATCACCGGCCACCCACTGCTAGCCGGGCTGAGCATACCACAGGAAAGACCATTGCCAACCGATGAAGCGAAGTGGGATGCAACCTGGCGGGAAGCACCATTCAACTCGATCAAGATTGAAGACCGAAAGACAGCGCGTGAGTATGCGAAGGATTTCATGGCAGAGATTGGGGCACCTAATGGTTGGCTAAAAGACTATCCATTGTTTGAGACTCCTGATCCGTCAATGGGTGCAAGAGAGCAAGAGGAAAAGGAGGCCAAGGAAAAGGCAGAGAGGGAGGCCAAGGAAAAGGCAGGGAAAGAGGCCAAAGAGAAGGCGGACAGGGAAGCCAAGGAAAAACAGGAGAGAGAAGCCAAGGAGAAGGCAGATAGGGAGGCCAAGGAGAAGGCAGAGAAAGAGGCCAGGGACGCCCAGGAGAAAGCCGTCGACAACGCCAACAAGCTAGCAGGCAGCTCGGACAGCGGCTCCTGGCTAGGAAAAGTCCTTGGCGGCGCCGCTGCAGGAATCGGCACTCTGGCGGGCTCGGCTTTCTTGACGAGTGTTGCTGTAGGCGGGACGGCCGCCGGGGGAGCTGTCGGTTCCGGGGGTGTTGCCCTCCTAGGCGCCGCGGAGAGCATCTCGGTCACGACCTCGGAGGTAGCGGCCGTTGTTGCTGAAGTCGACCCGGATATGGCGGTGCAAATCTTGTTGGATTCGGTGCCGGCCCCTCCTACGACGCCCCCGATTCCAGCAGGCCCCGTTGCAGAAGGCCCTCTCCTTGGCAGGCGGCGGACTACCTTGGCGCGTGCCGTGTCGCCGGGGTGGGCATTCCGGGCTGCTGGGCCGGCTCTGGAAAGGGCCTTTGGAGATGCTTGTCAGCTTGCTATTAAAGAAGCTCGTCTTGACATGGGCATATAAAGCAGCTGCGACCTAGTTCGCCCTCGTAGCCAAGGTGTTGGAACAGAGCACTTATAATGGAGTCCAGCTCTGCGGTCTCGAGAACGCTTCAGCTGCGAGAATAGAGGACATTGCATTCGGCTTCTACGTTCCAACTCAATTACAGCTCATATATACATCACATATACCAATCCGAGATATACAGCCTCAATGCTGCTTCCCTATAGTCTGTCTGACATGGTCAACAGCAATATAAGCAAACGTCATGGCCGGTCCCAACGTGCCCCCTGCACCAGGAGCGCCTCCCGTGACGATTGACGCCGAAGCGTTGCCAGCAGCGTAGAGCCCCTGGATGACGCTTCCATCCGTCTTGACAACCCGGGCGTGCTCGTCTGTGAGCAGCCCTCCCCGGGTACCGGCATCCCCTGGATATATCTCGACGGCGGAATAAGGCGGTAGACTGATGGGACCCATGTTTGGATTCGGCCGCACGTTTGGATCTCCAATGAATCGCTGATAGGCGTCGCCCCCTCTGCCGAAGTCTTGGTCCTCCCCGGTCTCACAGGCGGCGTTCCAACGTGAGACTGTGCTCTCGAGGTTTGCTGCCGGTACCTCCATCTTGCACGCGAGCTCTGCGATGCTGCCGGCCGTCATCAGACTGGTGGAAGCCGCTCGCGGTGGCAGCATGCCCACGTTATAGCGCTTGCGGTAGTTCCAGTCCATGATCAGCCAGGTTCGCGCCGTGCTCTTCCCTCCGCAGAGCGATATATCGACAATGTCCCCGTACGGCGCGGATTCGCAGACGAAACGGTTGCCGGATTGATTCACCGCGATGGAATAAGGCCTAGCCATCTCAAAACAGCAGTTGGTGACTGTTCCCGTGGCGGGATCCCTCATCGTGGAGATGCCCCAGACCTTGTCTAGTGACGCGCTTGCCGCCTCGAGGGGCTTGCAAAGCCGAAGGGCGCTGCCGGTATCGCCACACGGGTTGCTCAAGCTCCAGGTTACGCTTGTGGGCTTCGGTAGAAACAGATCCCGCATCTCCTGGTTTCGAGAGAAGCCCGCCGTTGCGAGCAAGACTGCTGATGCCCGAACCCGGACCTGTATGTCTCCCTGTTGTAGCACGCCGCCGACAACGACGCCATTCTCGGTTTCCAAGCGGATGAGCTCCGTGTCCCGGTAGATCCGCACATTGCCGTTCCTCCAACAAATGGATAGAAGCTGGGCGACGAGCGAGCTGCCCATGCAGACCGGCGAGCCCACCAGTCCGGCCAGCTTCGACTTGAACACCATCCACCACACCTTGGCCATAGTCCCCAACGATGAAAGCGGCCGCGTCAGTGTAGCAAAGTCCTGAAACCTGGCAACGGGAGGCTTTGTCGAGTAGGCCACGTAGTCTGTCCAGGGCCCCAGTAGCTTGGGCGAAATATTGACAACGGCTGGGTCCAGAGTGCGGCCACCGGCGGGACATGCGCCAGGCAGGTAAGGATGGTAATCAGGGTACGTTGACCTTTCACTCGTCCACTTGAATCCCGACTCTGTGAGAAGGGACACCATATTGGGGCCAGCGTGCAGGAAAGCATCGCGGCGAGCGGATGATGACTCTGGTTGATCGTCTCGGGGCGCCCCGAGCAGTGCGTCGAGATGCAGCCTGCCCTGTTCGGGCGAGTCTCGGACTCCCTGCTTTCTGGTCACCGAGTTTCCCGGTATCCAAACGCAGCCGCCAGAGTACGACGACGTGCCGCCAACCGTCGCCGCCTGTTCGACAATCAAAGTGTTGAGTCCACGGGAAGCTGCTGCGGCTGCCAGGCCGGTGGCACCGCTCCCGACGATAAGCAAGTCGCACTTTTCGTCCCTCATTTCCGCTGCTGTCTCCGGGAGCGTATTTGATTAGGTACAGAGTGGAAAGCCCCGGCGCTGCGGCGGCGACGGGGCTAGGAGTGAACATCTTATACGCCCAGCTCGCTCCAACAAGCTGCGGCATCGTTGTTGGCCAGATGAGGCTGAACGAACACCACTTTGAGCTTGGTATTGTGTAGTTATTGTTGGCGGTGGCAAGCAGCAACACGAGTGTTGGCTGATCGATGTCACGATCCCCTTGGTGGCCCGTGTAAACCTCCATCAGAGCAGAGGCTCCCACCGTACCGACTGCTTATGGTGGGAGACATGCCGCTACGTAGAGAGTAGTTGTTCTTCTCGCTATTGTCGGTCTCAGGAGTGCAGGTCGATCACCGCATGAGTGTTGGGTTGTTCATCCCGTCGGTCGGTCTTGTACTAGCCAACTGTTAGAACAGAGGCTCTGAGGCTTCCGAAAGGGATAATGACACGGTAGAATGTAAGGTTATTTGAATAGGGTTAGAGTAGCTTATAGATCTGCTCAAGATATATATCAATGGCGGAGTCGGGAGTATGCCCATATCCCATATAGATTGGCCGTATAGCACGGTTTCTCGAGTAAATCGGCCCATCACTGCTGTTAGATGTACATTTCTTTGAGCTCCGGGATCGGCTTGCTGTGTCCGCGCCCAAGGAAAAAGTAACCACATGCGACGTGGCCAGTAGCCGTCACCATCATGTCCTCTTTCTTGGTCTTTTCGATCGTACTCTGTCAGCAGACTTTAATTCTGTCTACACATCCAAACAACGGACACCCTTTGCATCGCGAGATTAGGAAAACCCAATCAAGTCCCCCATCAGCAATGCCTGGTACATTTCAATCGCCTCGCCCAGCTTGATCAGTACACCGGCTGCCAGCATCTTGACCTCGTTCTCCTCGCCACCATCCTCGCCCCTCGTCCGCTCAAAGATGCCGCCGACCCACTCCCTCGTTTCCACCACCTCACGGCCCTGCTCTTCGCACAGCCGGCGCATGTCGCCCTCGTTCACCTCGATGAGCACCGTCATAGCCACGAGCCATCCCTTCATGGCCCCCAGGTCGCCCAGCGCGTGAGTCCGGACCCGCAGCAACAAGTCCCACAGCTCAGACGTGAGCTGCGGCAGGGCCAGGGTTGAGGGACCCGCCGCGTTGACGACGATGGCGAGGGTCTGGAGGTAAAGGGAGAGTAGGCCCGGGTTGAGGACGGCGGGCCTGGAGGAGCGGAGCGCTAGCTGGAAATGCGCGGTGAGGGGGGAGAAGAAGTACGCGGCGAGGAGGGCGGCTGTTGTGTTGGGTATGGCCCGGACGCGAGGCTTTGCTTTCCGTTTTGACTTGTAGCGCTCCGTGAAGGTCTGCAGCTTCAGGACGTCCGGCCCGCTGGTGGCATCGGCGGCCTCGGCAGCCAGGGGTCCGAGGAAGGAAGAGGTGAGAGATTGCGTGACGATCTCAAGAGCGGTAGGCGGAAGGGCCTTGAGGCGTGACGAGGATGACGGCTCCGGCTGTTGGGAAGAATCGAGGTAGAGCTGCTCCATCTTTCCCGGGAGTCTCTTGGAAGGGAAGGAAGCTGCCGATTGGTGTTCAGACGTTTCGTAGCCGGCAAGTTCCCGAGCAGAGAGGCCTAGCGTCACGAGCACTGTTGTCCGCTGGGCGAGGGAAAAGTCGCCCTCAAAGAAGGTGCGAGCGAACCAAGGCGCCATTGACTTGGGCTGCGCTACCACGAGTGCAATCATCCCCTGCTGCCGTCTGTCGACAAAGTCGTCCATGCCAAACTTGTCTTGTAGCCCGACGAGGAGGCTGGCTAGTTCCTCGGCGTGGGCGCTGACTTCGGTGCCAAAGTTGGCCTTGCGGCGAATCAAGACGGGAGCCGTCTGCAGCCCCAGCTTCTGCTTGTCGTAGCTCTCCGAATCCCGGAGATACGTAATTAGGTCGCGAACGTATACCGGAGCCTTGGGCTTGTTGCGTTGGACAAGCGCGGCGTCGTCGTCGGAGTCTTCGGGGTCTGAGCCCTTTGCGTGGGGAACGAGTTCCTCGTCTGTATCGGAGGAATTGACTTCCTCGATGATGGCCGTCGGAACACTGGCTACAGACTTCGGCCTTGGCTTTGGTTTTGGCTTTGGCTTCGTCACGGCTGGGGCGGGGGACAGGGCCGGCGGGATGGAGGCGGCCGCAGAGACAATAGAGCCAAAGGGGCCTACGCGATCGGTGGCTTTGGCGAGTCCCTTGAGCCACTCGGCCTCGTCTGTCTCCATTTCTTCCATGTGAAAGTCGAGTTTCTTGGTCTTGTTGTCGACCAAGGCAGATAGAGCTTCTCCAACTACTATTCCGAGGAAACGTGCCCTCGTCTGGGTAGCGGCAATCCGGTTGGATATTGCATTCATATACGTGCCGCATTTCAGCAGCATGGTCAACTTGATCGGTGCAAGCCTGGCCACGTATCCGGCGCTGAGCAGGAGCACCTGGGTGTGGACTGCGGCAACGTCAGAGGGGCCCCGTAGACGCTCCCCGTTTTCGACTCACCTTCCTGCTGGAGCATTGCAGCATGCTTGATGTAGAGCTGATCTCCAAACTGGGCCAAGCTCTTCTCTAGCACGGTCGAGATGGCTTCCTTGTCCTGGGCCAGGACTGCGACGGCGGCGCGACGGATGCCGACTCCGTCCCCAAGGCCTGCGCCCGACGATGCCGTACACCAGGTGATGAGATGAGTTTTGCGCACATCGTCGTTCCCTGTCACGGCGTCAATTATACCAGCGACAGCCGCCACGGTGGCATGCGACTCCACGTTGTCGAGATTCAGATTGTTGAGGAATCGCTGCGCCAAGTATTCGAACAACATGTCCATGACCTTCTTCGACAGCCGGGACTGGTAGAAACAGACTTGAGTAAATGCACCAGGGCCCCCATCTTTGGATAATAGAAGCTCGTCGATAATGGTCTTGGCCAAGCTTCCTATGTGAATATGAGCAGGCGGGCCCATGAGAGAGGGGAAGGCGAGCCTTACCAGGATATCCAAGAGACATCGAGCGCTGGAAGACATCAAAACAAAAGGTGTTTTCGTCGTCGGAGAAGTGCGTCTTCGCCCAAGACGAGAGGTTGCGGCCGATCCATTTGCTGTACTCGGCTCCATCTGCAACCCAGGGGGATCCGGTGCCCACCACGGCGGACGCCTCCGCGGCAGTGGACAGAATGCGACCGTTTGTAAGTAGCGCTACAAGTTGCTTCTTCATGGCAGCATTTGGCGGCTTGGTTGCAGAAGACGTCCAGAGATTGCGGATCGCGGCATCGCCAGCCAGCAGGGTAGCGAGCACATCCAGAAAGACGTCGAGGTTCAACGTGATATCGGGTCTCTTCGCCTCGTGATTACCCAATCTGGACTCCTGTATCAAGGCCTTGATGTGTGCGACGATGGCGTTGAGACCCGAGACGCTGCGCAGACAGGTGAGCAGGAGGTCGACATGATGTGATGAGGCCGGGCAAGAGCCATGGTCTGCCGAGCCTTGCCGCAGCAGGGTCCAGTAGTTCGGGGCTATATCTGTCACCAGGACATGGACAATCGATGCGCTCTGGGGGGTTGGGAGCTGAAGCTGGAAGGCATGGGCTGTGAGATATCGCAGGGCTGCAATCAGCGCGTCGTAGCCTGGCTGGCTCTTGAGGACTTTGAGGGCGTCGTCGGCTGACGCCACCTTCGAGAGGGCCGGGCTCTCTTCTCGTTGCTTGGACGGTCTCGTTTCTGAGAGGTGTGGCTCCGCGTCTCTTTTGCTTCTCAGATAGGTGGTGCTCACGGGAGTCAGCAGCTCGTCCATGCTTCTCCTCGGCGTCTTTCATTCAGCCAGGGTTGCGGTGCAAAGGGTGAAACAACATCAGCGCTGGGCGAAGCGCGACATGGCGAGGCGGTGCGTGGCGATGTCCTTTGTTGTCCTCAGATCATGTCCGTCGGGTCTTTTCGTAAGTTGGATGAGGTTACTTGACTGCTTGCCTCTATCGGCGCTCTACCTCATTCCTCCTGCAAGGTCCCACGTGGGGACGGACAGGGTGGGGCAGCATCTGGATGCCTTGCGTCGAGGAGGGGTCCACCCCTCTTATCAGCGATAAGCCCAGTCGCTCGTCACCTCAACTTTTTTTTCCCCCGTCTCCCTCTCACCGTTCCATCTCCAATCCCTTCCCCCCTCGCCCACTCCCCGTCCTCCTCTCGGTCCCGGTTGCGCCAAACATGGCCCCGGCGCAGCAGGCAGACTGGCGCAAACCGCCCAGCGCGGCCGACCTGGAGCGTCGAAACGTGAGTCTTCCTCAACCCATATCTCCCTCTCCCGGGCCCGTCTGACAGCGCGTGCTCTCTAGACCGTCGGCATCCACAAGGAGACGGTCACGGATGTCACCTCCATCGACTACCCCGGCCACGTCCCCGGCGAGGACATGGCCTTCACCATTGAGCGCTTCCAGTCGGCCTTTTCCGTAAACTTCCACCGCAACGACGCCGCCCACGCCTCCTTCTCCCTCGTCGGCCTCGACGCCTCGCTCGCAAACGCCTTCCGCCGCATCCTCCTGGCCGAGATCCCCACGCTCGCCGTCGAGAACGTCTACATCGAGAACAACACCTCGGTCATCCAAGACGAGGTCCTCGCCCACCGCCTCGGCCTCATCCCCTTTGACGGCGGCCGCGAGGGCCTCCACAGCTTCCTCAAGTGGCACAAGAAGCCCGGCCCTGGCGAGGACCCCTACGCAAACTGCTTCGACTGGAACACGGTGCGCCTCGAGCTCAACATCACTTGCTCCCACAACAAGGACGCCGCCCCGGATGAGAGGGACCCGGCCCACGCCTTCCACAACGCAAACGTCTACGCCCGCGACATTGTCTTTGTGCCCACGGGCAAGCAGGCCGACTACTTTTCCGGTGACGACGCCATCCGGCCCGTCAACCCGGACATTCTCATTGCCAAGCTGCGCCCGCGCCAGACCATCAACCTGTCCATGCACATGCACAAAGGCATCGGCGCAGACCACGCAAAGTTCTCGCCCGTCGCCACCGCCTCGTACCGCCTCATGCCCACCATCACCATCACAAAACCCATCCTCGGCCCCGACGCCGAAAAGTTTGCCCGCTGCTTCCCCGAGGGCGTCATCGGCCTCACAAAGGTGTCCAAGAAGGAGGCCGCCCAGGTCGGCACCGCCTACGAGGGCCGCGCCGGCGACGCCAAGGCCGTCGTCGTGGACCCCATGAAGGACACGGTCAGCAGGGAGTGCCTGCGGCACGCCGAGTTTGAAGGCAAGGTCAAGCTGGGCCGCAGGAGAGACCACTTCATCTTCTCCATCGAGAGTACCGGGCAGTGGGACAGTGACGAGCTCTTCCTCGAGGCTGTCAAGCACCTCAAGCTCAAGTCTCAGAAGCTTGAGCAGCAGGTCATCAACATGACGCGGTGACGACGCGGTCGCTGGCAACGGCAATCGCTGCCCTCTTTGTTCTCTGATGAATCCATAATGCCGTCTGGGTGCCTGTTGCTTATCCTTGGTCTCCTGCTCTCTCCCCCCGGTGTTTCTTTTTCTCTTGTGCTTCTTGATGCGCAGGTAGATAAAACAGGGTTGGTACTATGGCATCCCTTGAATTTCAAAATCTTGGACAATCATGTTACATGTCCCTATATGCTTAGATGCCCTGGCTCGCGCTGTGATTTTGCCCGAAGCCCATCGTCATTCATGTCTCCAACGCCAGGAAATGCAAGGACAAGGTCCAGAAAGTATCGACTCCGACAAACGCCATCCTGCGACCCCCTACCCCTTTTTCTTTGCCACCTCGCTTTCTCGCCCTGTCCAGCACGTCAGGACTCGGCCTTGAACTTGAGGGCAAAGTTAAACTCGAGTGGAAAGGCCGGATCGGTGACGACGACCTGCTGTCCATGCTCGAGGCCGAGCTCGGCAATCGTCTTGGCCAGATTCGGTCTCGTCTGCTCCTCCAAGCTGGGGGGGGACTGCATGTACAGCGTCTTGCCCTCGGCCCGGATCGACGGCTTCTTGAGCTGCGCCTCGGGGCGCACGGCCAGCGAATCGACGAGGTCCTGCAGAGACTTGCGGGGGTCGACGTCCAGGGGGCGGGCTTGGCGGCCGCAGACGGGGCAGTCGTCTTTTTTCTCGTGCTTGAAGGTGAATGTGTAGATGCTGTCGTTGCCAGAGTACATCATGTAATTGTTCTCGAAGCCCAAGCAGGGCGCCGACGTCGTCGCAATCTTGAAGGCCTCGTTGCAGCAGGCTGCCGCGATGATTGCGTTTGTCGACGCGATGGCGGGGATGATGTTCTTGATAGTCCCCTGGGTGAGCGAGTAGGTGACGCCCGGGATGTTGAACTCTTGCGACCGGGCAAACGCCTTCTGGTAAAGCCAATTGACGTGCTCGGGGTCGTCCTTGTCCAGCTTGGGAAAGGGCTTCTCCTGGTCCCAGGCAATGACGTGGGCCCACTCGACGCAGTGCTCTGGCTGCCGAGGGATGGATGCGATGGTGCAGAGCGGGACGGCGGCTCGCGGCGCATGCATCTCGAGCTGGCACTCGATGCACGACGTAATGGACGGTAGAATGACGCGGGCCTGGCCCTTGAAGCCCTCGGTCCCGCCGTCAATCAGGGGCTTGATGCCGTCCGGGTCCTCGGCCTCCTCGGCAATGGAAACGAGCATGGCGTTGATCCACCTCCGCGCCTCGATGCTGTCGAGGCCACAGACAACGAGCTGGAACTGGCGATAAAAGGATTCGTCAAAGTCCTGGATCCGCTTATTGTGGGCGGTAATCGAGACGCCCTTGACTCTCCGCTCGACGAACCGGGCCGCCACTTCGGCCTTGTACTTGCCCACGTCGGAGCGGCGGAAGAGGAATTGCCGGTTGAGGTTGGATATATCGATGGTATCTGGGCATTGTACGACGGGTCAGCGGGAGTAGGAGGGCGGACAGACGGCGCCAGGGCTCTCGCACCCATATCGATGACGTGAATGTCCCTGAACCGCGACATGGCCAGGTTCTTGAGTATCTCGCATCCTAGACCTCCCGCACCGCTTGGAGACGGCGTCAGTGGGCGGGAACTGCAGAGCTCGAGGCGGCGTCGACCAACATGACCCTATGTGCGCGCGCACCCCTTGTCAGCTTGGCCCAGCAGAGGAAAGGGAGGTCGGCGACGGGAGTCCCTACAAGACTTTGAACTTGTCAAACTGGGCGAGGAACTCTTCCGACGTCGCGTCCGGATCGGTAAAGGGGCCGGGGTTCCGTCTGATTTGGTCGAGGTATTTCCTAAAGCGGCCCCCAGTTCGTCAACAACGTCGCGGGGAACCGTTTGCGCTGTGCCAGAAACAGGCAGGGCTGCTCACCATCGTGCCTCGTCGGTGCTGGTGTTGGCTTCGGTTTGCGTGCCGCCGCTCATTTTTAGAAGTGAATGGAAAGGAAATGAGAAAGGCTTGAGGAATGCGGGTGCGGCCGCGGCTCTCGAGACGGTGTGGGGTGGGCGAAGAAGAATGGGGGGCTTGCAAGAGACAAGAGTGGTGATGGGAGCTGAAGGGGTGGCGCCGCCGTGGCGGAGAGCTGGGGGCTCGGTAAGGCTCGGTGAGTCTCGGTGAATGTGGGGCAGCCAGAGTACGTAGCCGGTCAAGCAGTCATTCGAGCAGCCAGACGGATAGCTAATTACCTATAGGTAGCTAGGTAATTCATGCTTAAAGGTAGGGACCTAGGTAGTTCTTGCCATATATAATTCTGCATCTACTTGGGTACAAGTTTGCGACTCGCACAGCTTGACCGACAACTTGCGGCCACAGCGGCCCAGTCGTCGGCGTGTCCTCGTCGCACTTACAAGACAACAGCGAGGCAACAGCGAGGCAACAGCGAGGCAACAGCGAGGCTGATGCCGATTCGACTTTTACTGTACATTTCTCGGTATTTCCTCCCTGCCATGAATACCCGATATTCGCTGTGGAAAGCTGCAACGGTAACCGGCCAAGACTTTTCCCAGTCTACTCGATATCCTCCATGTTCCACACCTGCACGCCTTTCTTCTCCACGCTGCTCTTGAACTTAGCCAGGACCGCGTGACGTCGTGCCCGCTTCTCCATCAAGTCTCCCTTTTCATCCCTGCTGAATCCGCTGAGCCTTTTTCTCGGCGGCGTAGCCCTGGCCAGTGGCCCGAGCGACACGCTCCCCGAAAGACTGTGTCGGAAAGTGCGCGACGGCGTTGACTCGGACAAAACCAGTGCGCTCTTCTTCGCTTGCGGCGTCATGGGAGACCCTTCTCGGCTCACTGATCCAAGGCGCATCTTGCGCATGTGCGTCTCGAGCACGTCAATGTCTCCGCTTCGCTTCTCTGCCATCGATGTCATTTTTGTAATCGTCCGTATCACCGCCTCTACCGTCGGCACATTGGCGCTGCCTCTCCCCGACGAACCCGACGCCGACGCCATCCTCGTCTTGAGAAGCGTCACCGCCTCCTCGGCTTGCGCCAAAAGCTTCGAGAACTTGGCGAATTCGCGCCTCAGCTCGTTTTGCTGCGCTGCTTGCTCGGCGCTAAGGGGCAGCGTCCGCGCAACCTCGACCTGCTCGGGATCCAGTCTCGCCATGATTACCCTCTTGAGATCCTCCTGCTTGGCCCTGAGCCGCTGCATCTCTCGCGCCAGGTCTTGGCAAGCATCGAGCTTGCTGTCCAGGTCCTGCACTCGACCGTCTTCGAGGTCGCTGTAGAGCTCATTGTCCAGCACAACGCCAAGCTCAGAGACTTCACACAAAACCCAGTCGTCGGGTATTTCGAGGTCGTCCTTGTTTCGGCCCCCCTCCTTGCTGCTCTCAATGTGACCCTTCAAAAAGGCTTTGACTGCGCGCGCGTTGAGGCCTAGGGTATCAATCATCGAGTTGATGTCGCGATAAACCGCTTCGACCTGGGAAGGGATACTATCCCTCGCAGCTGGCGCCACGTTCGAATGTGCGATAAACTCGTCCAGCTCCAGCGTGCCCTCAACCTCCGACGCCAGAACTTTTTGGACCTCGTCGTCGTCCTCGTCGATCAAGGGCTGGGCCTCCTCCGCCTCCTGCCGCGCCCTCAGCTTCCGGTGTTGCTGGAGGAACGATTCCTCGGCGTGTGCCAGCTTTTCCTTGTTGACGATTGGGGCCCCCATCACCGACTGAGATTTCCTGGGCCCCAAGATTTGTGATGCTAGGCCGGGAGCGCTGACTGATCTTGTCGCATCCGTTCTAAACACTCGCTGAGGCACCGCACCGCGTACAGGACTCGGCGACCGGGGGCTCGTGGCATTCGGTCGAGGGAAAAGCGGCGCATTGCGGCTGATTTCTCCAAAGAGCGACTTTGGTCGATCTTGCTCCGCCTTGGCGGTAGCAGGAGTCGTTGCTCCAAGCCCGCCATACGCGCTGTGCGGAGTAAACCCGGGCGTGGGCATCAGACCGCTCGTGCTAGGGCTCAGGTCTTTTGCGACATCCACGCCACTGCCCTCTGACGCATTGTCCTCTCCAAAATCGCTGCCCTCTTCGCTATCTTCAGGGCCAGACACAACAGCCGATGCCTCCTCATCTGATGGCGCCTTCGGCAAAACGACGTCGAGCGGCAGCGGGGCGTGGTCTGGTTTCGAGAGCGGCCCCGATTTGGTGGGGTCAGGAGGCAAAGGCGCATCTGGCATTGCGGGCTTCGGAGTCGTGATGAAGTCGGGAGGCAGGGGGGCATCGTCAGTCTCTTTTGCTTTTTCCGCGGTCTTCGCTGTTTTGGTCACGTCAGAAAGGCCAGAGGCGCCATTGAAGGCTCTGGGTGTTTTCGGTGTAGCAAAATCCGGAGGCAATGGAGCGATTTCTGGTCTCGATGCCGTCCCTGACATTCCGAAAGGCTGCTTAGGCACACTGGATGTCGCGGAAGACGACGACGAGGCTCCGAGCGGATAGGCCGCCTTGCTAGTCGTGTCCGGCGGCAGGGGATCATCCCGTTCTTCCTGCTTAATCTTCGGCGTTTCCGGCTCTGCTTTGCTCTCGGTGGCGGGCTTTGGGGTTTCATTCTGCTGGCTAAAGAATCCAGAGAAGCCGGTAGAGCCAAACAGCCCGCTCGAGCCACTCAGTTTGGTTGGCTGTCCAAATAGCGACGTTCCGGCGGCAGGCGACGACGACAGACCAAACCTTGTCGGTGCGGGCGTGGTGGTTGGTGTCGTAGACTCTTGATTGGACGCAGCCGAGAACAAAGACGGCGGCGCGGCCTGCGGCGTCTGCTCGGTGGCAGCATCTCCCGTGTCCATGTCGTCGTCCTTGGCAGGAGGCGTAGACGCCCGAGGCATCTGCCCCGCATCCTTGAGAGCAGACCCGAAACTGCTGCCGAACATCGACGACCCAGTCGTTGCAGCGGCCTGCTCGTTGCTTCCGCCTTGAGATGGGTCCGGCTTGAAGGACGACTCTAGTTTGAATGGTGTAGAGCCATAGAGACCGCCAGACGGCTTGTCTTCCTTGGGGGCAAAGGCGGAGTTGGTGGGTGCATTCGAACCGTCAGCTCCTCCGAACGAGCCGCCCGGCAGTTTGCTTCCACTCCCAAATACCCCCGAGCCACCAGGACTGTCCGCCGCGACGGAAGCGAAGCCGCCCTGTTTGGCGAACCCGGAGAAGCCCCCGGACGAGGGTGATGCCGATGCTGCCCCGAATGGATTCTGCTGGTTGTTGTTGTTGCTGCTGCTCTTAGCAAAGCTCGAGAACCCAGCTTGGCCAAAAGCCGGGGCGGGCACTCCCCCAGCTGCCCAAGGCGAAGAGGTCCTCATGCCCAGCTGTGAGGATTGCCCAAACCCTATAGGACTTGGCTTGCCAAACGTCGACCCAGGCGCTGGCGAGGTTCCGAAGGAGCTCGACCCGAACACGGAGCCTCCAGTTTTTGCCGCCGGCGTGGACGCAGCATTCCCCCACGGGGACGACTTCTGGCCCAACTGAGCCGAGGCGCCAAAAGCCGGCCCCGCCGAGTTGGAGAATTGAGATGTACGAGCCGTTGGTGTCGCTTGTGCTTGTGCAGAGGCAGGCGCGGCTCCCGCCACGGCTCCAAACCCAGAATAAGTCGTCCCCTTCTTGATGGAAGCTTCGTAGACGACCCACCACGAGCATAGTACGCCCTCGTGCGTCAAGATCCACAAGCCCGGCAGCGGCCCTGGAGATTCTTCGATCTCCTCTGCAGGGATAGGCTTATAAACCTTTTCTGTGCTCGAAAGATCCAGTGCGACGCCCACGGGTGTAGAGTCATCCATGGAATCCGTCATGGGAAGTGTTGGCCGCTTGGTGTCGTCAAGCAGTTCTGTCGTGGTAAAAACACCGGTAATGGAGCTTGCTGGCTTGTCACTGGCGAGGGGGACCACAGATCGGCTCAGCAAGCCGGCCTCTGTTGACGCCGTGGAGGTCACAATGAGAAGGTCTTGGAGGTCCGGAGGGAAGTCCCTGAGTCGAAGAATGGAATGATGGGGTACTTTGTCCGAGCCAAAGGGCTCAACGGGATCGGCTAGCTTCTGGAAGTTGAAGGCCGACGGCGGTTCGCGGGTGATGATATGGTAGGTAGATGAGGGTGGGGACACGTTGGTCGTGGTGTGAATGGCGAGGAAGAGGTTGTTCTCCAGCCAGGTGAGCGATGACACTGGCGATGTAATTAGCTCTGGGCTTACTTCAAGAGCTTTGTTTTGCCCTACCGTGGCAATTGCCCAAGCTAGGCGGCTTCGGGATATCTGCCTTGGCCTCTCCTTCAGGGGTCATTTGGTGTATAGAGCCATCGGCCAGGCCAGCGCATAGCTGCTTGCCTTTTGCGCTCCAGCTGATGCAGCTCACTTGGCCCTTGAGGACGCTGCTGATCCTCCTCTCTTTCAAGTTCGCCATGTGCAAGTTGCCGCCGTTGGTGACAATTGCACACAGCTCCGCCTTGTCCGGGGTCGGGTTCGGTATCAGCGATCGCAGAGGCTCGCCGTTGGTCGCAAGCTCGAAGGCAGTGCTCGAGGAGCCCTGCAAGAGGCTCTGGACCTCGTACACGGCAAGACCGCCACCGGTCTCGGCCGTCAGGATGAGGAAGTTCTCATCGGCCGTAAAGGCGATTTGTGAAATGCGCATGGGCATGGGCATGACGAGCTGGGGCTCGAAAGCTCGGATGTCGGAATCGCCATCTTTCGGAGACTCGAAGGCTTTCCGGACGGACTCAGTCTTGGCGATGACGACCTGATCAGGGCCCGCGGCGGCAACCAGGCCTTTTCGCGACGCGATGGTGAGAAGCGAAGAGGTTGGGGCTGGGAGAGACGACCAGGGCGTGGTCAGGCGCACTTTGGCGTCGCCGGCGACGGAGAGAAAGCCGAGCGCCTTGAACCGCGTTAGTGGCTGTACAATGAAATTTTCAAAAGTCACAGCAGCAAGAGAATCCTCGTCGGAGCTCGGCGGGCGTGCCCTACCTCTGTCTGGATCGTCTCCAGGTCAGGCCCATTGTTCACGGCCCCGGCCGCAGCGTTTGCCGCGTTCCCGAAGCCGGAAGCCATGATCTGCGGCAGGATATTAAGCCTCACAGATGGCGTCTTTCAGTTCATGAGTCGAATCTCTGCATAGGCTTTGATCTCTGTGCAGGAACGCTCGCTTTCTCACCCGCGTCTGTCCTTGTTTGGCAGGAATATGGAGCAGTCGTCGGCCCTCTTGTTGGCGCTTTGCTGGTATCGAAGATAATGAGGGTGATATAACAAACGAAAAATCCGGTGAAGCGCGTTGCAAAAAGCGATTGCAGAGGATTGGAGGTAGTTAAAGACAAGGAGCAGCAGCCTCGTTGCAGTTTGGATACCGTGAGAGCCAAGTGACTTTTTGGGAGCTCGGCGACGTCACGTGCTGATAGGCAGGCAGCTTGAGGGTACGTACCTCGCTCGGCGTTCCACGTTTGCCAAGCCAACCAGAGGCCGCATCTCCGGGGGAGCTTCGACTCCCTTGCCTGCTACAAGGCAGCTTCTAGCCTCGTCATCAGCAACCTCGTCCATCGCCCGACGGCCATTCCGCCACCAGAACAAGCCGTGAACCCCTCTTTTTCTCTCCCTCGTCTTCCTCTTCCGCCGCAACCGAATTCGAGCTCAACCGACAAACCGGCATTGCTTGACTGATCGCGGCATCGCAGCATCGCAGTCACCCGCCCCCAACCATGCCGGGCTTCGACTTCTCCAACTACAACCGCAATGCGGCCCTGCACGCTCGCGGAGTGCCTCTGCCCAAGGCCACCAGCACGGGCACCACAATTGTCGGCTGCATCTTTGACGGGGGCGTCGTGGTGCGTTCATTCCTGCTCGAGTTTGTCCTTGCCCGTCCTTCATACGCGGCTACTCCCAGCTCCACGCCTCCTTTTGCATCGCTCCCCATCTCAGCCGATGCCAAATAGGCTGACGCGCCTCTCTCCCCGACAAACAGATTGCCGCCGACACCCGCGCCACCTCGGGCCCCATTGTCGCCGACAAGAACTGCGAAAAGCTGCACTACATCTCGCCCCAGATCTGGTGTGCCGGCGCCGGCACCGCCGCCGACACCGAGTTTACCACCAGCCTCATCTCCTCCCAGCTCGAGCTGCACTCTCTATCCACCGGTCGCAAACCCCGCGTCGTCACCTGCATGACCCTGCTCAAGCAGCATCTCTTCCGCTACCAGGGCCACATCGGCGCCTACCTCGTCGTCGCCGGCTGCGACCCCACCGGCACCCACCTCTTCACCGTCCACGCACACGGCAGCACCGACAAGCTGCCCTACGTCACCATGGGCAGCGGCAGCTTGGCCGCCATGAGCGTCTTTGAGACGCAGTGGAAGGCCAACCTGACGCAAGACGAGGCCGTCAAACTGGCAAGCGACGCCATCCTGGCTGGTATCTTCAACGACCTGGGATCTGGATCCAACGTCGACGTCGCCATCATCACCAAGGAAAAGACCACTCTCAAGAGGAACCTCATCAAGCCCAACGAGAAGAGCTCCAAGCTCCAGAGCTACGCTTTCCCCAAGGGCACGACGGCTGTCCTCAACGAAAAGATCATCCACAAGAATGAGATTGGCCGATACGTGAGCGTGCACGAGGTGCCGCTCGAGACTGAGAAGATGGATGTAGATACTTGAGAGCCTCGATTCCGTTGTGGAGACGACATGCTGCTGCTGGACGGGGAACAGAGACGTGTAACAACACCTTCGGGCACTTTAGATATTGGAGCAAAGGTTTGCCTCCAAGCCTTGAACAAAACCTGCATGTCTTGTGACGCATTCGGGATGTTCTCGGAGAATAAATGTCTTTTCAGTAACATGGCTCTCGGCCCATGGGTATATAACAAGGCATGGATGCCCCGTCCTCCGAGAGGTACCAAGAAAATGCCGACAACATGGTGCAGCTTCCCACATGGAACCAACATCTTCAACCCATGTCCCGCCACAGAAAGAATAGAACAAAAGCATCTGGTGAATGTGTGCAAGACACTCGGTGGTGCCGGCAAGCGGAGACGGCGCCTTTCAACGCCTGGCCTTGTAATTCCCGCCCAACACCAATGTTCATGCCGAGCGACAAACGAGCAAAAGGGCTGAGCCTCACGCTAAATGCTGAAATACCCCCATGCGTCAAGCGAGACAAGCTTCCCAAAACGCCCGGCCAAAGATGAGTGCGATGGATAGCCGTCGTGATCGTTAGAATTGCGAAAGGGCTGCAAGCCAAGACCCCTCATGAGCCCGGCTTCAGGCCAAACATTGCCCGCGTGCGAGACTTGCTCCGGGCCTTTTTCCTATTCTTCTCTTTTGGAGAAGAACCGTTGTCACCCTCGTTGTACTTGGACTTGTGGATCCTGCAGCATTGGTGAGCACGCAGCCTGTCAAAGCTGTGGGGGATTGAAGCCGTACCAGCTATTGCCAACCATACTCATCCCCTTCGCTTCGGCCATTCGGTAGAACTTGGCGCTCTTCTTGAGGTCTTTTTTACAGCCGACGCCTTTCGCGTAGCAGAATCCGGCCTCGGCGAGCGCATCGACGTCGCCCCAACCTGCAAGAGTTAGTGTTGGCTACCCGAGCACCGCTACTGCCGCTGGGTCCGACTTACTGCCGGCGATCTCAAAACATCGCAACGCCAGAGACTTGTCTTGTTCGATGCCCCATCCATTCATGTGGCTGACGCCCAGCTCGTAGATACTTAGGGCAAATTGGGCCTTGCGAGTCTTGCTCTCGAGGAAGTTGGCTGGCCTTCCCTCCCTGGCTCGGTCTTGGTCATCGGCAATCTCGACGCTGGCATATTCTGCTGCTTTTCTCAACCACTCGACGCCCTCTTTTTGATTGGCGCGCATGCCCCAGCCATGTCGGCAGGCCAGAGCGTAGAGAAGCATGGCGGTCGGGTTGTTTTGCCGCGCGGCATGTCGGAGATGGTAGGTGGATTCGTTCAAAGAGCCGCTCTCGTGACACTCGATGCCCTTGGCCAGGTGTTCTTCGGCCGACATCTCCGACGCCGAAGGGCCGAACACGCGAGAGCTGTGACTAGGCCGCACCGTGCCGGCTGAGTTGCTCGTCCCGACCGATGCAGGCGCCTTGCCGCGGAGATCACGGGGTGAAGAGGTGAGGCTTCGGCCCCTTGGGGCATCCTCGGACCGACGACCGGTTTCGACGGATGGCCTAGGCGCGCCGAGGTTTGGATGGCCGGCGACGCCGAGTCGGGAGCTCTCCATGCTTATCTTGCTTGCGTCCATCGACGGCCTCGTCGTGCTGCTCGCCACACTCACGGCATCGTCAGGAGCGGGTCTTGCCGACGAGCTCGATGGGCGGGTCGGCGGCGACGGCGGCGCGCCTAGGGGGGCTCGATGTGCGCTGCTGGGGGACCGCGTGCTTCGTTCCCACTTTGAGGACGCTGGCGAGTGGCCTTCTGGCGTTCCGGATCGCTGAATGGTCTTGCCTCTCGGGAGACAAAACGTTGAGTAAATGTACGACGGGGCAGCAACCTTACCGTCGTCTGTTTGGTGGTCAATGAAGGCCTCGCTGTGCATGCTCACCGGCGTGTGAGCGGAATCATCGGCCAGAATAAACGACGGTTGGCTGTCGGACGAGGCCTGCCTCGTCGGCATCTCGAGGCTCGGCGTCCCGGCGCGGCTGATGGGCCTTGAAAAGTTGAGGGATGGGCGAGGAATCACGGACGAATCCGAGGCCGCCGATGGTGATCTTTGAAACGAACTGATGGCTGGTGATGGCACGGCGCTGGCCAGAGCCACGCTGGCAGCGGACAGCTTGCGAGAAGGTAGGGAGTGAAGGGAGCCGGATATGGTGCTGAAAGTGTCCTCGTCCGGCATGGGAGATGACACGACACTGGGCGAGCGCCTGGGAATCGGGCCTCGCGGAGGGGCCAGGCCGAGCTCATCAAAGGACCCTTGTTTTGACTTGTCGGGCGAACTCGATGCGGAAACATTGCGCTGTAGGATCGGGTGTAGGAGCGACAGGTCCTTGCGGGAAGAAGACCTCTCTGGCACTAAGTCGGGATTCGACTGCGAATCGCTTTGCAGAGGCGAAGGGGAGCGTTCCTGTCGTGCTCCAAAGTAGTCGATGTGCTCTCCGACGGGTTCCAGTTGCCGTCCTCTGGACTCCTCTTCCGCATGCTCGGGCAGGGCGGGGAGGGGTATCGCATCGTCGGGTGTGGGCGGGATGCGACTCATGCGCGGGCGCACCGACTTGGGGCGGTCTTTGGGGGCAAAGGCCTCCTCGACTTCGCCGCGCAAGCCCAGGCCTCCGGAGGTAGGAGGCCCGGGCGACTCTTCGGTTTCCGAAGCCGAATCGTGCGAGAAGGCGCGAAAGAATTCGGAGCGGCCCTGCTGGACCAGAGGGCTCTCGACGGTGAGGGGAGGGAGGCGGCTGACCCGATTTCCCTCCTTGGTGGTCTCCTGCAACTGCCTCGCGAGCAGGCGGCTCTGTAGGGCGAAAGCGTCGAGAGGAGATAGTTCGAGAGGCGCCTCGCCGGCAACGTGCATGCGAGGGGATCGCAGAGGCCTAGACGAGGTGGAGGCGGCCGACTGAGACGAGTCGGCGCGCAGTTCCAACAGGCTCGGGCGACTCGCCATGATTGACGTGGTCTGGCACCGCGATCGGGGTACAGCTGGATCCCATGCAGACTCGGGAAGACGAGGATTCCGGGTGGTATTTGCGATCAGGGCCGCCAAGAGGCGCTGGAATTTGGTACTAAGAAGTCTGGAGAGGGCGGCTCGATCGACGGGGCGGGTATTTCGTCACCATGAGCGGTGGGCAGGATTCCAGAGGAATGGTGATGGAGGGGCGCGGAGGATGAGCCGAGAGCATACGCACTGCAAAGGAAAGAGAGGTCAGAAGGGCAAAGACGGGACCAAAGCAAGAGGCGAATAGTCGTTGTCGGGCAGCGCGCAAGGGAGAGACGAGGGTAGAGGGTGCTCCGTACGGGGACTTGTTTAGGTATTCAAAGTTTGGTTGGTACTGTGGTTGGTACGCAGGATGAACAAATTACAGCAAACTCGCGAGCTCCAATCCGGCGTGGTCTCGAAGTCGCCGGCCGGACGGGAGGGGGGTGACAAAAGGAGAGGCTTCGGCGGGTGGGGGAGAGGCGAGGCGGTTCAAGACGCAGGCCGGGGAATCGGTGAATCAGCAAGGTGCGTCGCGGGAGCCGTGATGAATGCGAGCAGGCGGCGTATTGGGGATAAAAGGGAGCGTGGGCCCGCGAGGCAATCGTCCTGTTGGTTGGTGAGGGCGAGGGTGAGGGTGAGGGCGAGGGTGAGGGTGGTAGTAGGTAAAGAGATGAGGAGGCGAGGCGAGGCGAGCAGAGGGAGAAGCAAGGAGTGCAGTCGGTTGGCCGCCTGGGTCGGTTGGTTGGTGACGTGAAGAAAGGGGAGGCGCAGGCCGGGGAGTGACAAGCTGGGAAGACGCAGGCAGGTACCGTACAACAAACCACCTGCCCCTTCCAACCGGCCCCCCTGTCGTTGCCAATTCTGGGGGCGGCAGGCGGGTACCTTGATTGCGATAGGGCGAGGGGCGCAACGGGCGCCACCGACGCTATCTGAGCAGATGTACTCTAGACTCGCTACTTTGGCCTCCCGCAGGCCCAATGTACTGTACCGCATGCCCACCCGCCGCGACACCTAAGATTAATAAGGCATCTTGGGCGAAAGGAGGCGAATTGAGGGTGCAGGTGCACCTCCCTCCAGGCCTACAGAGGCAAGGTACGGAAAAGCCTGTCTCTGCCACCTTGGTGTTAGCGTTCGGATGGTCCCTTGTGCCATGACCGGCGCACGTTGCGCCAAATCCAAGTGTTTCCAAGTATTGTATTGCCGAGGGTCGGAAGTGCAACCTTTTCGATTGGGCTCATGGCCGGGTCGGGGGGCGCACAGAGACGGGAAATGAAATAGGCATCCTTCCCGTCATCAATCATCTGCTCTGTCCGTAGGTACGGTAACGGTAGGGGAGCACGCACAGTGCTTGCAACACAAGGCCCTGCGTGCTCCGCGAGCCAGCGCTACTGTAATCAGGTGCAGTAGGGCCGTCGTTAGCACAAAGGGCCCCCTAGTCTAGCACGGCCGACGTCTTCTTGCAGCCCAGCCGCTCAGGGGAGTCGAACGAGTAATTGGCGACGGCAGGTCTGGGGTGCATCTGGTTTTGCTTTGCCTTGCTGCTCTGCTCGCCAGTCAGTCGGCGGGAGAAATAGAGCCTCGCGACACGGCTTCCGGCTGCTGCTAGTCAAGGAAACCGTGCCGATACGAACGTGGGCACCGCAATGGGTCCCGGGAGCCACTTATCATGCCAAAAAAAAAGAGGCGCGCAACCGTATTCTATGCGGCGCTCGGTGGGTCTACTGTAGCGAGCCTGGACGAACAAACGCCGACTCCCCCCGCCCCCTGATCGCAAGAAGCGCAGATGCAAGGAAATCCATCGCGGGCCACCAACGCCATGGTTTATATTTAGCGCCCCCCTTGGCAGCTCCCGCGGCAGCGCCAGGCCCTGGACTCCACGGGCTTGCGGAGATGGAGTCTGCACAGTCATTTGCCTGCGTGGCGAGAAAAGAGGCACAGACCCCTGATGCCACATTGTCATTGTCTGCTCTCCAATCTAACGCGCTCGAAACGTGGCTTGCTGGATCCGTCACTGGTCCCGGCCAAACGAGCAGACCCTGGACGGACCTCAATCAGCAGCCCAGCCAAACATCAATCGCTTGCCCAATCAGGCAGTAAAATGTCCCTGTCCAGGACGGTAATAGTCCGCTTCCAAGGCCTGGAAATCAAACAAGCCCTCTCAGAGGCGCATGGCGTGCCAAAATGTGACCCCCGGCTGCCTTCCAAGCCCGCCGGCCAAGACGTTTCAGCCTGCCCTCCCTCCAACCCCGCTCTCCCCCGTCAGTGGGGCGCGCGAGTCTTGTCCTGGACATTCCGCGTCTCTGATCGCATCGAGCTCGGGAAAAAGAACAATTCTAAAGATATGACGCTTCTACGTAGCCGTGGCCCGCGATGACTCCTTCCGTCGTCCACGAGCTACCCTCTCTTTTTTGGCTTTTGTGCGATCGCTTCGTTTCGCTTCGCAATACCTCCCTTCCCTGCCCTCTCCCTCCGCCCTCGAACCCAACGAATCCAGAACGCCTTGGCCAATCTATACACCTGCGGCCTCGCGGCAGTCACCACTCTCAGCTGTCGAGCCCTCACTTGCATCACAAATCCTTGGACCGCATCTTTCTCAGCCTCGTCGAGCCCTCAAACAGGCCCCGATCCACGGCCGCAGCCACCGTCAGCGTGCCGCCCACGATGGCACACAGTCCTGCCAGGAATCCGAGAAAGGACTTGGGCTGTTCCTCCCGGTTGATGACCTTCATCGGAGAGATGTCCTGCACTGCTGTCAGCCTCTGGTCCGGACGGCGGTCGTCACGACATGGGAAAAGGGCAGGAGCTCACATATGAGAAGAAGACGCCCGGGATCCCACCCTTCGAGTGCTGCCGCTCCGCGTGGCCCTCGGCCGCATCGTCTCCGCCCGTCAGGCTTCTCTTGTGGCTCGTGACAGAGTACTGGTGCGTCTCGAGGCTCCCGTCGGCGCCCCCAGCCGCCAGGCCGGCAAGCTTCTGCAACTGCTTCTCCCAGCCAAGCGGCAGGTACGAGGTAGGCACAATCTTGACAAAGTACATGTAGTTGAAGTTGGGGTCCTTTGTCTCCTGATTGGCGCCCTCGAGCGGGTTGATGTGGTGGTTGGTCCACGGCTTCGCCTTGGAACCGCTCAGCTTTTGCTTGAGGTCGTCGGGGATCTGGGGCCCGAAGCGCAGCTGGTGGATGGTGTGGGTAAAGTCGTGCTGCTTGCCCTTGGGCATGTCCCAGTAGTTCTTGAGGTCGTGGACGTGAATGTTGCCGTTGCTGAAGCTGCGACCGGGCGCGAGATGGAAGTTTCCCACGACCTTGTTAACCTGCAAGCCGCCCTCGATGCGACAGCCCTCCTCCCTCTGTGCATCCAGCTTCTCGGCGTAGTGTTCGCGCTGGCACTGCTCCACACCCTCGCCGCGGCCAAAGGCCCATCCCTGGACCGCGTAGGCCTCGCGCACCTCGTCGCAGCTGTTGCAGCAGCCGGCCTTTTGCGCCGTGGGCGGGGCAGTCGCGCCGTAGCACTCGCCGCAGTACTTGGGGTCGAGGTGGTGGGCCGTCTCGTCGTGGAGGGCCAGGGACTTGATGTCAATGATGCCGCCGCCCTGGGCCTGAGGTCGCAGCCGGACCTTGTTGACGCCGTGGGCAACGCCGTGCTGCTGCTCGCCAGAGACGTCCATGACGTCGAGGGTGAGCAGCTCACAGGGCATCTTGGGGAAGGTTATGTTGAGGTGGATTTCCATTCGCTCTCCTACGGGGGTCTGGTCAGCACTGCGCGGCCCCGAGGCGTCGGAGCTAGAAGCCTACCTCTGCCCTTGTCGACAACGAGCTCGTGGTGTATGACGGTGCGGCGATAGTCGACCCATTCGCCCCAGGCGAGGAAGAGGACGACGAGGAGCGAGACGATGGTGACGATGCCGCCACTCGTGGTGCGGATGCGCGCCTCGTCGACCGTCTTGGTGAAGGCATCGAGCTTGGTGAATCTCGACTTGGCCGGCATCGTGGATGGAGAGTCGGAGACGTGGCCGTGTCGACGAAACTTTGCGATCAAGGCTTCCGGCTCGGAGCCGCAGGGCGTGCAGAGTCGGCCAGGAGAGCGCAGGGGAGAGGTGAAAGGGAGACGGCTCAATGGCTTCCCGGGATGACAAGCAGGCCGTGGCACAGAAGCGTGGAAAGGGCAAAAGGTACGGATTATCGGCCTACAGGTCAAATCCAGGTACAGGTTTCATTACAGCACAGGCAATAAGAGGCCACCGTCGCAACTAAGAGGTACCTCGAGATGCACCTGCATGCCGGCCGGCATGGAGCCAGATTGCTGCACCCTGAATCGCCTCCCCCATGCCGCCTGCAAGTACCTGTACGGGTCCGGTACCTGCAAACGCCCGCGCGGTTGAGCATGCGCACGGGTAGAGTGCCTCGAGTGGTGACATGTCGTTCGCCCTCCCGACGGCAAATATTCGGCCCGACCCTTTTCCTAGAACGCTGGTGCCTTCTGCTTGGCCATCCTGGGTAAACTGCGGCTCCGTCTTCCGCAGCTTCTTCGCCGGCGAGGCACAGCCGGACCTTCTTGCTATCAGCGAAATCAGCTCCCCTGGCCTCGTCCAGTCAATCACAGCCTTGCGCCGCCAATCTAGCCCTCTCGTCATCAGTCGACGTCTTTACGTCTCGCATCCAACGCATCCTCTGCAGAGCTGTGAAACCCAACATCTGCTGCACCTTGAACACCGGGGACGTCGCGCTGCACTTTGGTGTCGCTGGCCGCCCCCCGCCAAGTCCTGTCTCGTCGGCCAACATGTCGTCCAGACCCCCGTCGCGCGTCGTCTTCGTGGGCAACATTCCCTACGGTATGCTCGCTCCTGTAGCTTCTTTCTCGCCCAGCTCCATACGAGCTCCCAGGAGAGACGGAACAAGCAGCTAACTCCCGCCTCAGGCCTGTCCGAAGAGCAAATAACAGACATCTTCTCCAGCGCCGGCAAAGTCGAGCGTTTCCGCCTCGTCTACGACTCTGAGACCGGCCGGCCTAAGGGGTTCGGGTTTGCAGACTACCCTGATACCGGTACGTGCCCTCTGTTCAGCAACAAAACTCCCCCGGCTGCCTGCTTACCCTCAACTGCAGACTCTGCGTCGTCTGCCGTGCGCAATCTAAACGACTATGAAATCATGGGCCGCAAGCTACGCGTCGACTTTTCTAACGAGCAAAAGAGCGGCGGCGACGACGACGCAGGCAACAATCAGGTATGTCGGGCCCTGCTCGGGTTGCTTTGCAGCGCCTCGTGCTGACCCAAACAAGCCGTCTTCGGCAATGAACCTCCACGCTGCCAACGGCGGCGGCACGTTTTCACAGCCCTCCACGCTGCCTCAACTTCCCGCCGGCAAGGAGATCCCTGCCGGCCTGACGTGCACCGACGCCATCTCACGAACCCTCAACACCCTCCCACCCCCTCAACTCCTCGACATCCTCGGCCAGATGAAGTCGCTAGCATCTTCAGACCCCCAAAGAGCAACCGAGCTCCTGCAGCAAGCGCCCCAGCTCTCGTACGCCGTCTTCCAGGCACTTCTCCTCATGGGCCTTGTCTCGCCAGAGGCCATCCAGTCAGTCGCCGAGCCTGGCGCGCCTCAAGCTCACCCCCCGGCCACTGGCTTCCCCGGAGCCATCCCTGGCTATCCCGCCGCCAACAACACACCGCCCGTCCCTGGCATGCCTTACGCGACACCAGCTGCGGCCCCTCCGGCGTTTGGTGCTCCCGCAGCCGCGCAGGATCCGGATGCCCTGATCAGACAGGTCATGGAGCTGCCGCAAGCGCAGATCGATATGCTTCCCGAGGCGGAAAAGCAACAGATACTGGCACTCAGAGCCACGTTCGCGGCCCAACAACGGAGATGAGGCCCTGCGAGGGCGCGAGTGCCCAGAGACGCGTTTAGAGATATCCGCAGTCCCAACAGCTGGTGCCTATTTTCAAAGTCCCAGACCGCACTGGGCATAGATGCTGGCCGTTGACATACAGCGCCGCGAATAGTGCACGTTCGCTTATCCCCATAGCTATTGTTAAGCAACAGCGCATCCCGGGGACGAACTGATGTGAAAAGCGAGGGCCCTTATTAGCGCTGGCTGGGAACAGACAGGCGATGCACGGCAGTCATCGACGCAAGATGCGGCGCTGCGTGTACAGGCAGCCCTTCCCAACCCCCGGCTACTTTGACCGAGAATCGCCGGCGCCAAGAAGGGGGGCGTTGCGGACGAGTGCTTTATTTGATGCAGAGGTAGCAGGTCCGGGACGTGATGAAAGCAGATTAATACAGTCATTCCAATCATGCTCCTACAGCTGTCCGAGGCAAGCCGCCTACGTCGTCATACCTAAATGAATGCAGTCACCCGAGTGCCGTGAAGAGTCCAAAACATGATTTTATACGTACATGTAGGCAGTAGATAGTATGCCTCGTATATATACAAACCCTCCCGTATGCCCGGCGGGGTTGCCTCTGCCCTCGATGCTTGCGCCTTGTCTCGTTTATTGGGCAATGCCCCCGGGCTCTCGATGCGTCGCACAACCAAGCCCGCCCCCTTTTATCGTTGCCCAGCCCAGATTCCAGGCACGACCGCCTCAGCGGCACACATCCCGTCCAACAAGGCGCCCACGGCTGGCTCGCATGTCTTGGGTAAATATAAACTGTACGCGCGTGTGTGAGCATGCGCTCACCCGGCCTGCCTGCTCGTGCAACGCACCAAGTCTTGCCCGGGCGCTCCCTCTTCCTGCTCTTTCTCCTAGACAATCTTGTACACCCTCTTGGCAATGAGGTAGCACGCCAGCCCAAAGCAGACCAGGCCGGCCGTGATCCACACGAACCAAGCCAGGTCCCCCTCGTATTGTTGGCCGGGGACCCAGACGTTCATGCCCCACAGGCCGGTGATGATGTTCATGGGCAGCACAATGGTGCCCAGCACCGTGAGCTTGCCGAGCACGTCAGCAGTCTGCTCCTGTCGCTCGTTCATGCGGATGTTGATCTGGGCAAGGTAGTTGCCGTGGGATCGCGCCAGGATCCTAAAGGGAGGCACGGGGGCCTGCGTTAGCAACATCTCATGGCGGGAGAGAACGCGCGTGGGCTCACTTTTCATAATGGCCGAGGTTCGAAGTCATCGTCACAATATGATCCTGGATGTCGCCGAGATAAAGGCCTATCTCGGACCTTGGCGCAACTTCCCACCGCTCGTTGCATCGTTTCGCAAAACCCTTGATGACGTCCGCCTTGTTGCCGAGAAGGCGATACAAGCTCATGACCCGCTTCCTGCAGTCTCCGACACGTCGCAACATGTCGCTCGAGTCGACAATGGCCGTGTTGTTGTCGTCGTTCTTCTGCGGTTGCGTCTCGTCTTTGAGGCGCTTCTCGGCCGACGAATGGAGCTGGAGGATCTGCTCGTCAATCTCATCGACCTCGTCCTCGATGTTCTGGATCAAGGGCTGGAAGACATCGGTAATGTCGTCGATGATTGCATAGGATATCCAGTCGGATGACAGGATGAGGTAGTCCCTCAGCTGCCGGATTCGCCTGCGCACATTGGCTGGGTGAGGCGTCATGGAGAAGTGAAAGCTCAGCACGCCTTCCCGGAAGACGACGACGTACATGTTGACGGGTTCGAGATAGTTGTCGCTGTTGATGTCCTGATCAAAGGTGCGGTAGTTGACAAAGTAGTAGTGGCGGAAGAGCTCAACCTTTTCTCGAGCCTCCTGTACCATGATGTCTTCGGCAGTGAGGGGATGGATGCCAAAGGCTTTGCAAATGACCTTCATCTCCGCCTCGGTCGGGCAAACAATGTCGAGCCACCAGACCGGCCGGTCCCCGAACCGCGGCGGCTTCGGCGTCGGCGTCGCATACGGATCGTCGGACCGCGCCTCCCTTCGCCCACCGGTTTCCGGCGACTTTATGCCTATGGGCGTTGCGCGCCCAGAAGCGCCGGCGCCGGCGCCGGTGGCGACACCATCCCGGGACGGCGAGGCAAGTACATCGCGGCGAGACTCGGCAACTGAGGGCTGGCGGGTGGACGTCCTGGACTCGCCGTCGCCGCCGCCCGTCGTAGTTGGCTTGGCAAGCAACGAGACAGTCTCGTCGTCGTCGTCGCTCTCGTCGTCGGAGAGAATCCTCGGGTCAGGAATGAACAGCTCTCGGAAGTCGCTGCCCGGTTGGACCAGCTCCGAGATGGTGGGACTGTGAATGGTGCTCTGGAACTCTTCGTTGAAGTAGGTGAATCTGTAGGGTGCGTCATCATCAGTCTGGAACCAGCCCTTGCGGACCGGACGAAGGCGACCGTTGATGAGCTGCGGCTCCGTAATCTTCTTGACCCTGCCCTCCTCGCTTTGATCTTCCTTTTCGAAGCGCCTCCATTCCTCCAGGATGGAGAGATCCGGCCATTGACTGCGGCGTCGGCGTGCCCTGTACTGATGCAAGTCGGGGTCGCGCAAGTGGGCGTCTTCCTCGCCCAGCTCGGAGAGTCCATGGCCAGTATAGCATTCGGCGGCCGATGCGGCGGTCAGTCTGCGGCCGTGATCCGGACCTCTAAGCGGGCCGTCGGTGGCGGCGCGATCCTCATCGCCGTCAATGACATGCCGAGGGCTGCCGCTACCCAGGGAGAGTTCGTCTCTGATCATGACATCGCCAAAGGTCATTTCCGGATGGTCCGTGGCGCCAAAGTTAGGAGAGCCAGGGACCGATGGTGGGTGGTTGACATCGTAGGCGTCTTTGGGGCCAAGGGCGGCAGCGAGCTTGGTCCTCGACGACTTGCTGGAGTCTCTCCGGCTCCAGTTCCGACCAGGCCTTGTGTCGCTCGCGCCGTAGCTTGAAGGGCCGGTCGGAGATGCACGACGCTTTGTAGCATCGGGTAGCAGCGGAACGGTCTCGTCCCAGGGATGAGATTCGCCTCTGTCCTCGTCGCTGTGGGGGGTCTGCATGGATCGGAGGCGGCTGGCAGCCGGGGTCGAATAGGGGTTGTGGAAGGGGCTGGCGGCGGCGGCGGCGGCGGTCGAGGTTCTCCGGAAACGCATGGGTCTCTGCTCTCTGGGGATACGTGGTCAGCCAAGGCGGCTGCTGAGGGAAGGGGGGGCCCACCTGTGATCGAGCAATGCCTCGCTGTCGATGCTGGTGTCGCTGAGATTGCCCGGGGGCATCTTGTAGAAGGCGTCGGCGGGCGACTGGTGCATCTCGTCTTGGCTGTCGTCGGCAAGAGCGGCAAAGCTCTTCCTCCGGGATCGCTTCTTCTTGCCGCCGCGGTGGCCCTTTCGCTTCCTCGGCTGAGCCCGGGGCCTCTGGTCGGTGGCCGACGGCGCTGGTGCTGCCACGGAGCTCGGGGAAGCGGGGTCCCTGGCAGTGGGCATGTGGCTGGCCATGGCCGCACGGCTTCTTCAAAGCCTGGCCCGAGCAGGGCACGTAGGAGTCGTCGTTGCGAGAGGGGGGCCGTCTGGGGGAGAAGGTGTGGTGGTGGATGAAGGCGGCTCCCAAGCTTATATGCTGGGTCTGGCTGGAGCAGCACTCGGAAAGATGGAGTGGAGAGAAAAAAACCGAGTGCCGGGAGGCTTGTTTCTTGGCAGCCAGGAAACCGAAAGCAACGGTGATGTCACTGGCCAGACGAGGTACTAATAACTGTCCTCAAACAGGCGTGGCCCAGGAAGCACGTTCCTTTTTCGAGGTTAGTGGTGCGAAGTACTAGGCGGAGGCGGCTGAAATTCCAGGCACCTTGTTTGCAGGGAACCCACTAATGGTAAGGCCCACAGGGTCTTGTTGTTCCTCCACCGTGTCTCGCCAGGCGCAGGAGCGCTGTAAGTACTGCACTACTTACTGTACTCTGCACACGCACCTGGGTCATGATGCCCTACAAGTTCAGGTCAGCGATGTCTGCCTGCAGCCAGAGGGCTACGGGTAGACCGCATGTTGAGACACCGTCACCAGCAAGCCACAATGCGCACGACCAACAGGCCTCAATCGCTTGCAGTCTAACTTAGCGTCAAGCATCAATGCATGCTCCGAGCGTATCACATCTGGCCGTCGTACACGCCATGCACACCCAGCCTCTGCCGGGTCCAATGCAACCAACCCCCGACGACCGACTCTCTTCTGTCATTCTCCAATTTGCGATTAATGAGCCCTCGCTTTGCTTCTTCATCTGAGCATGTGTCAGCTCTGTGCAACCACCCCTCGGCCGGCTCCTCGACGGAAAGTCTCGACGGAAAGTCGCCGGTGCTCGCAACATTTCCTCACTTGCATACCCGTGCATACGGGATACCGGCAGGAATACCGGCAGGAATACCGGCAGGAATACCGGCAGGAATACCGGCAGGAATACTCCGTACTGTACGTGTATGCACGTCTGGCTGGGGCCATGTCACCACGGCCGCAGCTTCGTCGCACAACGCACCTCTTACACGTCCACACTGTACATACACGAACCGTGATCGTGCATACTGTCCCACCTATGCACTTTCTCCATCACGCACGCGTGCCGAAATCCCAAAGCTTCACCACCAGGCTGTCGGGGGTCCCGCTCGCAGCCTCGTGCGCAACAAAAACCCTTGGCGGAATGTGAAACTCCACCACGGGCGCCTTTCGGACCTCCTTGGCCATCTCGGCCTCCAGGAGCTGGGCGGAAAGTCAGCACAAACAGGCCTGTAAGACATGACAGCTGCACGTACGCTTGCATATGAGTGGTCCAAAAAGTCCTCCATGTTGTACGACTGCTTGGTGAACTGCTCAGAGATAATCTTGGAGATTGTGGCTATGTTGGGGTGGTAATGCGACTGCAGCTGGACCAGCTCCCACAAGCAGCTATCCAAGGCCCCGCTCGCCATCGGATCCGTCTCGTCGGCCACAAAGGCGTCTTGGAAGCCCTCGTCCTGGATCCGCCGCTTCGTCTCGGCGTCCCGCATCTCTCGGTGCACCAGAAACGTGCAGCTGGGATGCCGCTTGAGGAGGTTGTAGATCCACGGCGTCACAAATGCAACCGCGCTGGGCGGCGCGTTGAGCGCGAGTCGGGCCAGCCGCTTGATGAAGCTGGCCACCAGCGCCGCCGGCAGGTGAGTCGACGCCAGGAACGTGTCGAGTAGCCGGAAGAAGCGCGAGCGGTGTCGCGAATGCAGCATATCACGGTCCAGCAGTGAGTACAGCTTCGCGTAAAAGGACGGGTAGTCCAGGTTCCGCTCCTGGATCAGGTAGAAGACGCCCGACAAGGCCAAAAGAGACATGGACCCTCCCGCATCGTAGCAGTCGGTGAGGAAATCGGCCAGCAGCTCGGGCTTGGTGAACCACGGAGCAATGACAGTCGTCATGATGTCCAGGACGCGCTTGCGCTGGACCTTTGTGTCGACAAGCTTCATCAGTGCCAGCCAAGCCTCTTGGGCCTGCTTCTTGTGCTGCGCAACTGATCGGAGAGGGTGGGATTTCTTCTGCGGCGCCGCAACATAAAAGTCGTCGAGGTCGTCGGCTGATGCCGGTACGCCATCTAGCGACGAGAGCAGCGAAAAGACTCGATCAAACAGGACCCCGGGCGTCTCTTCCTGCTTTGCGACGCTCTCAATGGCGAGGCTGGCCCTTGTCAGCACATATAGTTCCAGAGGCAAACGACCGAGGGGAAGGAAACGCACCGCATTGACTTGAACGTGTAGTAGCGAATATCGTCATGCTGCTCGGCAAACTCTTCGATGTACGCCCGTCTCACGTCCTCCCCGTCAGACATCAGGATGGTCCTGACCATGTCCTCGAGAAAGGGCGTGGGAAACGAGTACTCGTCCTTGTCGGACCAGTGCTCGCCCACGGCCTTGAGGATCCTCATGCACAGAGTCAGCGCCGTCACGGCCAAGTCTTGGTCGGCCAGGAGCCGCAGCAGCAGTTGCTTGTATTGGGACAGCCGGTCTCGCAACCATCCAACCACCACACCGTCCTTTTCAGACTGCGACTTCTTGGAGGCCAGCGATCCTTGCGCCAGCAGCCGCAGGAAGACGCGGCAGAGCGCCACGGTTGCCAGCATCGACTCGTCGCCTCCATTCTTGGCCGTGGTGAGCAGGACGCCAATGTCATTGTAGTTCTTCTTGGACTCCAGGATGCCCTGCTCCATCAGTAGGATCTTTGCGCTGGGGTCCGTCTCGTTGTCGCCCTCATCGGCCCCGGACGACCGCCGGCGCTTGGCTGGCTTGGGCGCAGTCGAGACTCGCTTACGCTTGGCGCCCTCGCCAGGCATGGCCGTAGGCATGGCAAAGGCCGAAGTTTGTTGTAGACCAGAGATTTCAGCTTTTTTCACCAAGGACACACGCAGAGATGAAAGGTAAGGTGGAGACCGGACTGAGTGATGAGATCCGGTAAAGACGTCACAGGGTAAGGCGTGCGCGTCGAGGCAACGGCGAAGAAGAATAAGCCTTGGAATCTTTTGATATCCAACCGTGAAGTGAGCCCGTCTTCAACCCTCACTCTCGAGTTAGAATTTCCCACCACCAGCCAAGGCCCCACCAGCCACAGCCTCACCGGCGCCCTTTCTGCAGTACGTACCTGGCCCGGCAGAAGCTCGGCCAACAGCCACCCGTGGCGACCTCGACCAAGCTGTCATCACGTGATTCTACCTCTGCTTGCCGAATTCGCGTGGCAAAACCTCAACCTCCTCCGCCCGAACCGCCCCCAGCTAGGCTTATCGAGCAACGACAAGCCCGCAAACTCGCACCCCGAATCCTCCCCCCTCGCAATGGCTTCCCGCATCGCGCGAAGCGCTGTCAGTACGTCGGTCCGCGCCGGGCTCAATGCCTCGGGGAGGGCGGGGGCGCCAATTGGTCGGCGGAATTGAACTGACCCTTTGCTCGACAGGCGCTCCTCTCCTCCGACCGACGATCGCCCGCCGAACCCTCCCTGCTCTCGCGGCCGTTGCGACGCGAAACTCCAGCAACGTCCCCACCGAGGAGCCCAAGAAGAAGGCGCAGAGCATCGTCGACGCGCTCCCCGGCAGCAGCTTGCTCTCCAAGACGGCCATCCTCAGCAGCGCCGCCGGCCTCAGCATCTACGCCATCAGCAATGAGTTCTACATCATGAACGAGGAGACGGTCGTCGCCGTCTGCCTGCTAGCCGTCTGGGGCGGCCTCATCAAGTACGGCGGCCCAGGCTACAAGGAGTGGGCCGAGGCCCAGAACCAGAAGATCAAGAACATCCTCAACAGCGCCCGCGCCGACCACACCGAGGCCGTCAAGACCCGCATCGAGGACGTCAAGCAGATGGGCGGCGTCGTTGACATCACAAAGGGCCTCTTCAATGTCTCCAAGGTAAGCAGCGCCACTGCGTGGACCGAGGACGCCTCAACTTACACTCCCTTGCTGCTAGGAAACCGCCCAGCTCGAGGCCAAAGCTTTCGAGCTCGAGCAGCAGACCGCCCTGGCTGCCGAGGCCAAGACCGTCCTGGACTCGTGGGCCCGCTACGAGGGCCAGGTCAAGCAGCGTCAGCAGCAGGAGCTGGCCACGTCCATCATTGCCAAGGTGCAGAAGGAGCTCGAGAACCCCAAGGTCCTGCAGCAGATTCTCCAGCAAAGCGTTGCCGATGTTGAGCGTACGTGTCACCAGTCGAGCCCCAAACGAAGCCCGGAGAATCCAATGCTGACTCGGTTCTGCAGGGATCGTCTCCTCCAAGGCCCAATAGATGGAAAACACCAGAGTCTAGATGATTGTCCGCCCTAGCTCCACCGTTTCCTTTGTCGAAAACCCCTTGTGCATATACAACACCTGTGCAGTAGCCAATCAATCGAGACGCCAATCTATCCTTCACCCCCCCACCTACTCTTCGCCCACGCTGTTTATTCGTGAGGTCATGTTGGCTGCAGCTATCCTGTTGCATCTCCGGGCATGACCTGTTTACTCCATGACCGGACACCTCATCCATGCTAGTTGTAACACGTAGATTGCCTCGGTTCAACCTTAAATAAGGGACCCAGTTGCGGGCAAGTTGAGTATACAGCGTAGACAAATGAGATTAATTACAGCAACTCCACCTAATCAACGCGACGACCCAAGAACCGACCATGCCCGCCCTCCCACTCAGTAATACGGCCTTGACTCTTCCCACTTCTTCGTCTCCGTCTTCTCGTGGCCTTCGGGGGACTCAGAGCCCGCCCCCGGAGCCCACGACACCCTGCCGCTGCGTCTCCTCCTGGCGCCCTCACCCCTGCTGGGCCCGATCCACTCCCAGGCGCGGCCGACCTCTCCGCTGCGGCCTTCCCTCTGCCCGGTCCGTACATTGCTGTTTTGCTCCACAACGGCCCTCACCCTCTGCCAGATTCTCTCTCGCTCAGACAAGGAATGAACAGACCTCAGCACGTCGTCTCTCAGGTTGGGTAGAAACAGCCAAGGATCGTCGAGGTCCTCCTCTCCCAACTCCTTCTGGTTCGCGAGCCGGCCCAGGACTGCGTCCACCAGGGCCGGCACTTGTGCCGACGTGGCCAGGTGGCGACGATACTGGGCGCGTAGGTACAAGATGGCCAGCACGACCAGAATCAAAAGTCCAATTGGGACTCGATATCTTGCCAGGCCAAGCCGGACGGATCGCTTGACGGCGCACGAGAGCGGAAGACGAGCGAGAGAGGTTGACGAGAATCGTCTTGTTGGGACGAGGGAGTCGGAATGTCTGGATTCATGACGGAACTGATTAGTCCGCTTGTCAGAAAGATGAGCACTGTGGCGGGGGACAGCCAACCGTAGATCGGTCATGGTGCATTTGAGAAGAACTTGGTCGACTTACTCGTCGTCGCTCTCGGTACTCTCGACCTCGTCTCTGGTGGCCACCTCACCGATGGCCGCAGTCCATAGCTCATCAAACTCCTGCCTGCTTAGCCGCTTGTTTCGCTTCTTGCTGACGCTCTCCTTGAGCTCGTCCTCGGTGATTGCTGGTGAGCTCTTTGGCTGTCCGGTCTCGCGGACCAAATCACCACACTCAAACTTGGCACGGCGCTCGCGCAGTTCCTCGATGGCCTTGTCGGCCACGGCATGTACACGCCGCGCCTTTTCGCCATCGGGCTCACACGAGGGAGGAAGGGGGACCAGGCCGCCCAGAGACAGAGGGTGCGGCTCCAGGATGAAGTCTGATTCGCACCGGACGGAAAAGTCTTGATAGCAGTAGGCGTGCGGGGGACACTGCTCGCATTGAGGTTCGACCAGGGACACCAAAACATCGGGAATCGGCAGCTCTGGCGGTAATATCGTCTTGGCTGGGCGTCCGAGGCCACAGTATCCGACGGCAATCTTCTCTTGCCGATACCAAGCCCCATACGCCGAGAGCAATGCGAGGAACAAGACAAGCAAGGGCGTTTTCGAAGTCGTCCGACGGGCGACTTGGGAAGGAGGTTTCCGCTCAGCAATAGATATCTCCCCTTCCCTGGCCGCCCTTTCCAGCTCCAACTGCTCGTCGGGCGTAAACTCTTCTCCAGGTTCGAGTGGTTCCTCGGGCGTTTCGGAGCGCGGTCGAGGTGTGGCGACTTCAGACTTTCTGGCCCTGATTCGGTTGGGCCCCCCCTCTGTCCGGCGGGTGGGTGTTTTCGCGCTCTTGAAAAGATCGTCGCCTGCCGTCCGACGCCGGTAGGTCGGAGTTTTGGCTGCCGGCGGAGAGCTACCGCTTTGGAACGGATTGTCGTCGGTGAAGACGCTCCTTTCCTCTTGTGGGAGTTGGGGCTCCTCCTCTTGTCCGTCCTCATCTGATTCGACCTTGATTTGCGGCGTGATGGTTCTGCGACTCCGGCGCGCAGACCTCGTGACATCTGCCGACGGCGCATCCTCATCATCGGCGCGAGAGAGCTGCCGGCTAGCGGATCGCGAACTTGGCTTCCGCGGACTCAGCAGCGAAGGCTCGACGTCTGGATCGTCCACCTTGCTCCTGGCCAAGCTCTTCCGCGGAGACCTGGACCGCCTCGGCGCAGATCGCGGGGGCGGCAGCTCGTGGTCGGCCCAGGTACTCGTGTCATCGGCGCTGCCAGCGTTGACTATACCGTAACTTGACCGCTTAGCCTTTGCCCTCTCGGCTCTCAGCTTCGGCGCTTGCGATAGCACATGGTCGCTGACGAGCTGGACCAGCTGCGGCTTCTTTGCGGTGGACGGATAGTCGACGTTGTGCGTGACGAGGATCGAGCGCAAGCGCGGCATGGTCACGCTGCGGGGGTCGAAGCCCTCTTGGAGATAGTCGTCGCCATCCGCCATGGTGTGTCGAGGGGATGAGATGTATAGCACGTCGAGCCTTTCGAAACCGTGCCTTTGCTGACACGGACGAGTGAGACAAGACCAACAGAACGGACAAGCGGTCGCAGACGGGCCGCAGATGCCGACGCTGTGACGAACGGCGGGGGGTTCGCGGCGCGAAAACTAGGCCTACCTCTGGAGCGACGATCCGCCAAGGAGCGCGCACACTGCGAGGACCACGATGTGTCTCGGGTCGAGAGGGCCTTGTTGTTGACGAAAGTTGAGCAGCAGATTTCCCTGACGCAACAGTTTCGTTTGCTTACAGTGGATGCGGTTGGTTGGTTGTCTGTGGCAACTGCTGAGCTACAGGGTCCCAACGCCCCACAGTGTCCACAGCGGCACCGCCACAGAGCCCTAGCCTGCGCCACAGACAGCTCACTCCGCTTCGTCGATTGATCTGTGGCGTCTCAAGCACCACTCTTCAACGACAGTCCGCCATGTCGACATTGGATCTGTAGCTCGTGCTTCCATTCACGACTTCCGAGCTGCAATCAGCGAGGCGCAGCCATGTCCTCACGCCGTGCCCTCTTGGCGAGCTCTCGCCTGGTCTGCCCAAGCTGCTCCCGCGCCGCTCGCAACCAGCTTCGGCGGTCCTATTCCACCAAAAGCGACCAAATCTACGATGTAGTCTGCGTCGGGGGCGGGCCGGCCGGGCTGAGCCTTCTCACAGCACTTCGTAAGTCGATGCTCTCACTGCAGCGTCTGGAGCTTCGCCCTCCAGCTTCTAACCGACATCGCCAGGATCCAACCCAGTCACGTCCCAGCTGCGCGTCGCCCTCGTCGAAGCTCAAGATCTATCCAAAACAGCTTCCTTTTCCCTCCCGCCTACCCAGTTCTCGAACCGATGCAGCTCCCTCACGCCCACCTCGGCCCAGTTCCTCAACTCCATCGGTGCGTGGTCACACATGAAGCGCGAGCGCATACAGGAATACCACGAGATGCAGGTCTGGGACGGCGTGTCGGACGCGCGCATCGAGTTCGACTGGCCTCCTGGCTCCGGCGCCGAAAAGACGATTGCGTACATGACGGAGAACCTGAACCTCACCTCCGGCTTGCTGAGGAGGCTGGAAGAGCTGGGGCGCGTCGACGTCTTCGACAACTCCAAGGTGGACAAGATTGAGCTCGGGGAGGAAACGGAGGACCTGGACCTCAGGGAGTGGCCCGTCGTCCATCTCGCGGGCGGCAAGACCCTGGCTGCGCGGCTCCTTGTGGGTGCTGACGGCGCAAATAGCCCTGTCCGGTCCTTTGCCGGCATTGAGAGCCGTGGCTGGGACTACGCCCGGCACGGCGTCGTGGCGACCCTTGAGCTGGAAGGCGACGGGTGGGGGGGCTCTTCTCGCAAGATTGCCTACCAGCGCTTCCTCCCGACCGGCCCGGCTGCCATGCTCCCCATGCCCGGCAAGTACGCCACGCTGGTGTGGTCGACGACGCCCGAGAACGCATCTCTGCTCAAGAAGCTGCCCGCCAAGGACTTCATCGCCATGGTCAACGCGGCGTTCCGCCTCAGCGCCGTCGACCTTGCGTACATGCACACCAGACCCGAGGGCCAGGAGGACGAGTATTCCTGGAGAATGCAGCACACACCCATGGACCCCGAGGCCGTTCCCCAGGCCGTCGTCGGCGTGCAGCAAGGCTCCGTCGCGTCCTTCCCGCTGAAGCTCCGACACGCAGACTCCTACATCAGCGAGCGCGTGGCCCTCGTCGGCGATGCCGCGCACACCGTTCACCCGCTGGCCGGCCAGGGCCTCAACCAGGGCCAGGGCGATGTCCAGAGCCTGGTCAAGGCTATTGAGTACTCGGTGGCCCACGGCCAGGACCTGGGAACGCAGCTGTCCCTCGAGGCTTACAACAGCGAGCGCTACGCCGCCAACCACGTCCTCCTCGGCGTGTGTGACAAGCTTCACAAGCTTTACTCGGTGGGCAGCGGCCCGCTGGTTCCGCTAAGGTCTGTTGGCCTGCGGGCCGTCAATGCCCTTTCGCCCCTCAAGACATTCTTCATGCAACAGGCGTCTGGCACGGGCGTCAAGGTCGTGTAGGCGTGCCTACCGACGCTGTAAATTACTGAGCACATGGTATCATGGACGATTCTCGTCTCCGTTGAGAGGCGGAGAAGCACGGGGCGACACGCAGCATCATCAAGACAGGCAGTGGCCCGGTGAACAAGACAACTTCTATGGAGTATTTACCTTGATCTTCCGCATCAGATACTACAACTACAGACTGAGCGATATGGGAACAAAAAAAAGTTCAATTCATTGTCTTGCTTTGCTCGCCGTCTCGGGCTCTACCGATCAACCTCACCTGCATGCAACTGTCAGCAACGAAGCTATTCCCAACCCAAGGTCGAGAGCGCTTACCAAACACCAGATCCATGGTACCGATAACCGCCACGGCGTCGGCCAGCAGGTGGCCCTTGCAAACATGGTCGAAGCCCGCCAGGTGGGCAAAGCCAGGTGCCCGGATGTGGCATCTGTATGGTCGCTCGCTGCCATCGCTCACGACGTAGACGCCCATCTCGCCCTTGGGTGCCTCGATGACCGAGTACGTTTCGCCGGGAGGCACTGCGTAGCCCTTTGTGTAGAGGAGGAAATGGTGGATCAGGGCCTCCATGTTCTCCTTCATGGCGGCGCGCGGGGGCGGCGAGATCTTGTAGTCCTCGACCCGGACAGGACCGGCGGGCATCTGGTTCAGGCACTGGTGAATGATGCGCAGAGACTGGCGGAACTCCTCCATTCGGCAGAGGTAGCGGTCGTAGCAGTCGCCGTGGACGCCGACGGGCACGTCAAACTCGACCTTGTCGTAGGCGTCGTACGGTTGGCTCTTGCGAATGTCCCAGGGCACGCCGGAGCCGCGGAGCATGACGCCGGTGAAGGAGAGGTTGAGGGCCTCGGCGGCCGAGACGACGCCGACGCCGCGCAACCGCTCGATCCAGATGCGGTTGTCGGTAAGCATCTCCTCGGTCTCGTCGATGCGGTCACCGAACTGGGTCGCCCATTGGTAGATGTCGTCGAGCAGGCCGACGGGGATATCCTGATGGACACCGCCGGGGCGGACGTAGGCAGCGTGAAGACGGGCGCCGGAGACGCGCTCGTAAAACTCCTACACAAATAGTCAGCCTCTCGAGTGCACCCCCGCTTCCATTGACAGCGTACCATGAGCTTTTCTCGCTCTTCAAAGCCCCACAAGAAGGGCGTTAGAGCACCAACGTCCATGGCATGAGACAAGACGGACATGAGGTGGTTGAGGACACGGGTAATCTCGCCAAACAGGGTGCGGATGTACTTTGCGCGGTCAGGGATCTCGATGTTGAGCAGCTTCTCGACGGCGAGCGAGAAGCACTGCTCGTTGGTCATCATGGAGACGTAGTCGAGGCGGTCAAAGTAGGGCAGGGCCTGGAGATAGGTCTTGTACTCAATCAACTTCTCGGTACCCCGGTGCAGCAGGCCGACGTGAGGGTCGGCGCGGATGATTTCCTCGCCGTTGAGCTCGAGGATGAGGCGCAGCACGCCGTGGGCTGCGGGATGCTGCGGGCCAAAGTTGACCGTGTAGTGCCGGACCTTGCGGTCCTCGACCGAGTTCTCGCGAGACTTCTTGGTGGCGCCGGGCAGCTGGCGCGACATGCCGTAAGGGTCGTGCGGGTGGCCCAGGTCGTCGTCGACGGGGACGAGACGGGTGCCCATGGGCTCGGGCGCGGCGTACCTGCGCAGGCACGTCGTTGACAGGGGACGGCTCCTCGTCGGCGTGGCTGTCGTCGGCGTCGTCGATGCCAGGCTCAGGCGCTTGGCCGCCCGGCCAGCCAGTCTGTGGAGGGCTGCCATGGTGGCAGAGGGGGAGGACGGCGGCTGGGGGGAGGCGACGGAGATCCTCCGGGTGCGCCTCTGGCTCGGGGTCAATGGCTTGCGAGAGGGAGGGGGGGGGAATTGGTTCGCCACCCGAGTCGTCGAAGTCGTCGTTGCTCGTTGCTTGGAAGCTTGGCTGGAGCTTCGGTGTGGCCTCGGGACATTGTTTTTGCGTCGGCTCGCGCTGGCCAATCATGGCTCGACTATTAGTTCGCCTCAACCACGCACCGTCCCGCATCGCCATTTGGCCGAGCTGCCCAATTGGCAGCAAAAACCTGTTTATTCCATTTAAATTATCACGGCTGTTTTTACGTCTAAAGAGACTTCTCCCGTTTCCAGGCGAGCCGTCGCTCTCGCATTACAAACGTGGCTTGCAAGTGCCGAAGCAACCACGTCACCCGTCATTGAGCAAAGCTCTCGATTCAATGCCAAGATGGCGGCACATTAGTTCAACTAGCTACTCAATCTCAAGGCTCGCCTCGCCTCCTTTTTCGCGGCTCAGAAGATTCCCCGTCGTCCCCGTCTCGCCGGCGCTTGCTCCCTTGCTCACCAGTCCCGGTGTCGAGAATCAAGGCCAAGCTTCCGTCGTCGGGTCCGACGAGGGCATCCCAGAACTCATCGCTCTGGTCGAGGACCGATCCCTCCCATGGAAACTGCAGGGATTCCATCTCGTGAGCTGCAGTGTCCAAGGTCCGGTTGAAACTCGAATGTGGCAAGGCCGGTGCCGCGGCGTCTTTTGTATTGCAAGTCGCCTCTTCAAGTGCAGAGGTGTTTCGTGAATCTTGCTCTCCCACCGGGGAACTCGGCGGCGTTGCCGTGTCTACCGGCTCACTGGCGGTTGAGGGCTTTTCCATCGTCTCCCTGACGTTGTTCGGTCCGTTGTCTCCGTCACCAGCAATGATGGTAGCGGCAACCAAGCTCTCACCCGTCGGGAACGAGCTTCGGCTCGCAGGGCTCAGCTGCTCCTCTTCCTCGCCGGGCCCCTGTATCTCGTCCAACCCCGTCGTGCCGGCCGTTTCGAACACCTGCCTACAGCTCCGGAGGCCCAGTTCCCAGAGCAGGTCCCTCCCCTGGCCCCGTGCCCCCTGGACGCGCCGCCAAAAGAGCCCCTTGCCGCCGACGCTTCCCATGATGCTTCCCATGGCCTTGCCGAGGCGGTTCGGGTGGCAAAGGCGCTTGCACGTCGTTTGGCCCGCGGCCAGCTCCTCGGGGGGTATGCAACCCGACTACCAAGTACACTGTGGCAGGAATCTTGTCCGCGAAATATCTCGCAGGCTTTGCATATCTAATAGTCGCGATGGAAGGGTTGCTGTCATGGAGGCGACCTTGATCCAGAGTAGAATGTATATATGTCGGAACAGAGTGTTCGTTCGGCTCTTGGGCACTGACGATGCAAATACCGTGTTCTCTTTCTCTCGTCGTGGCACGGGCAAGCAGGCGGTTACCCGGTGAAACCAAGAGACGTCGTGGCCAGACCAAACTTGTCGTCCCATCAAAGAGAGCTAGTATATCCATTGTGCATGTGCGTGCATCAGCGAGCCCGTGAAGCATGGCAGAGCAGTCATCACGATGCTTACAGAGCCTAGGAGCGTGGGCGTTGGCCAACCACTCATCTGGTTACGCGTTCGTCGCGGGCAACGCTCGATGGGATGACGGGGACCGACTTTGATGATTGTGGAGCACAAGCCCAGTCAATGTCCTGGGCGCGGGCCATCTCGACTTTGGATGAGGCCAACGAATGTGCAGCCTATTGAACCTGTCCCTGGGCCATCCCTTTCCATGGCGCGTCAAGAGAGAAGCAGCCTGGCCAACGACTGAAGTGCTTGTCGGTGAATCATGCGTGAAGAGCCCGGTGAATCACTTTCAACTGGCAAGGCAGGCGGTGAATGTGTATAGAATTCGGGTATCAATGATCGCTAGCTGCATTCCATCTAATGCCGCGAATCAGACATACGCGTTTGCAGGTCCCATGGTGAATCCAAACTCCAGTCGCCTAGCGCGGGAGGGCAAACGAATGCGTTTGCCAATCCAGGGTCTCGTGGTTATCCGGAGCCGTCGAGGGCTGGGGACGGCGAATTCCCTCGACCAACTTTGGGTGCACATTAAGAATCGTGATAGACCCCTTGCTCTTGCGCGACTTGTTGATGGTGATGCCATAATTCTACCAGGTATGCCTGATTCAAGAATCGCGAGCCTCGATTGGCCACAGTGCATACCATTACGTTGGTGTATATGCTTCATCCCGCGGATTCGGCATGGCCGCTTCCTCCCATGAGATTGACAAACAGGACGGAGGCGCCAGCAGCCAGACTGCCGAGGATGAGCATCTGAAAGCCCTGAAGCAAGCAGCGCCTCCAGGTGGCATCCTCCCCCCTCAGCAGCCAGGTCTTGCCGAAGCCAAAGGTCATGAGGGCGAGGAGGCAAAGGCCAATGCTCCAGCCGAGGCCTAGGCCGACCGTCGGGGTGAAGAGATAGGGCAAGAGCGGGATGACGCCGCCAACGACGTAGCCCAGCGAGATGGAGAGGCCTGAGGCGACGGGCCAGAGGGGCAGTGGCTTGCCTGGGGCGACGGGCAGCTGCTCGTGGGGCCGCTGCCGCTGCTGGAGCTGGTGGGCGGCGCGAGCAAGGCCATCCGGGTGGCGACGCAGGGCGGTGACAATGTCCGAGACGGTGGCGCCGGGGAGGGCAAGGGGCTCAAGGTGGCGACGGACAAGGAGCTCGTCGAGCCCCTTTTCCTCGTCGCCGATGCTGCCGCAGGAGCAGCTCTCGTTGCTTGTGCTAGTAGCGCTCGGGCTCCCGTCATGGAGAAGCATGGCAGACAGCTCCTCGTCATCGTCACGGAGGGTGCCCCGGCGGCTCGGCGGCGGGGGCAGCTCGTCCACGGCCGACAGATAGCCGCCAATGCCCATGCTGATGCAGCCGGCGCAGAGCTCGGCGACGCCGGCGTAGATGACGGTGTCGGCGCGGCCTAGGGAGCTGAGCCCCGCGGTGAGGGCAAAGGGGACCGTCAGGCCATCGGAGAAGCCGAGGGTGAAGTCGGACAGGAAGCGGGTGAAGCAGGGGCTCCGCGACTTGGCCATGGTTGCTGTCGTGCAGGACACGTAAGGACGAGGCGGCTGTGATGGGCAGAGAGCTCATCGCCAGCCAAAGTCAGCAAGGGAGGGCAGGCAGCGTCAAGGGAGCCGGTCAGTCGTCGGCATGTACTGCACTAACTGGATTGGCGGAGAGGTCAGCGAGCAAGCAAATAGGCGACGACTTGAGGGTCGCGTGACGTCGAGGGAGACACTCCAAAGCAACGCCAGCCTCCCTCGCAGTCCGATACCGTTGGTCACACGTGCTAGTGGCGACATGCCGCCTCCTGCAACGCTGCACCTGGCAACACAGAGATGCCCAGTCTCGGCAAGGAATTTCCGATGAGAGCTTGCTGAGAATGCGGGGGGAGCTGGCTGGGTGTGGAGAAAGGTGGGTGGGAGAGCCTCACCCGGGATGAGCGCCCGCTGATAAGGCACGAAAGAGCCTGCGAGTAGAATCAATCCGCCAATAGAAACTTCGCTAATTATCACGAGGGGCTCCCCAGGGTGCTGCACAAGGAGTCCGCACAAGACTTGCTATGCACCTGCCTTTACTAATTAATTGGCCAGGGCCACTTTCGGCAAGGCAGTCATGGCCGGGGGGTGCTTGCCCGGTTTACCAATCGCCGACCGCTGATTCGGCCTCGTGGCAGGCACCATGGCTATTACTCGTGCTTAACCTAAGAGGCAGGGACCGCGCTTACTTCTTCTTGTGTGCCATCTCCGTACTGTACATAACTTACATGCTGCCTTCCTTCTTGGTCAATGCAGCCGCACCTCCGCACCTTGTCCGGCTTATCCACCGACCCCCCGGCGCCCCCGGCCGATCCCCCAAGCCTAGATAGCGGGGCCGCTTGAGGGGTCACGAGAGATGGGCCGCCGGCGGGGCCTGACTGCAGGCAGGGATCCGTCTCCAGTAACAGCGCTAAAGAGGAATCTCCAACCCCCCACTTTAGGGGAGCCTTGCCGCACATTGGACGAACGGCAACGAGACAGTGCCACGGGAGCTCGGCACAGTCAACGACCCAAGCTCTGCGTACCTTGGGCATTCAGGACAAGACCAGAGCACATATCGACAGATTATATTATTGATCACGACCGGAGGCCCTGGATCTAGACGCAGTGTATCACGACCCCCTCCGTCGTCGCCGTTCCATGTACATGTCTCGTCTCATTCCTTCGACAATGACTAGCGATGTACAGGCGCATAGCCCCGGGGCGGCTTCAGCCCGTCGGCCACCTGGATCGTGTCCTTGTAGTACGTCGGCGCCCGGCTCCCCGCCCACGCCTCCCGGATGGCCGGCAGAATCGGCCGCCCTGCGTGACTCTTGTCGAGCGCCAGGTTGGGCGCCGGGATGCGCGCGTTGCCGCCCTGCTCGTTGAAGTAGCCCGCATACGAGTAGTTCCAGTACCTGGCCTGCAGCGCCTGCTCCGACGACCACTTGCGCAGCACGTCGCCCGTCCTCTCCGCCACCCACGACAGCACGTTGGCGCCCACGTCCCAGCGTCCCAACGTCGGCAGGTCCCAGTTGGCCGAGACGGTCGAGATCTGCGAGTAGTGCGTGTAAAAGTGCTTGTCCTCGGTGCCCACGTAGTGCTGCGGGATGGCGTCGCCGAGGAGGATACCGAGCACCTTGTTGCGCACCGTGTACGTCTCGTTCTCGTCCCAGGTGATGAGCACTAGGGTCCTGCGCATGAAGCGCTTGTCCTCGAGCAGCGGCTCCAGAAAGGCGCGGCACCATTCGCCCGCCGTCGTGACCGACGAGTCGTGGCCGTCCGACGTCATGTTGGGCGTGATGAACATCCACTGCGGCAGCTCGTCGGCCTCGAGGTCTCGGTGGAACATGGAGCGCGCCGTGTGCGTCATGGACAGGTTCTTGATCTGCGACAGGCGCTGCTCCGAGTGGGTGACGCTGTCGTGGAGGATGGCCGGATTGTGCTTGCGCTCGTAGTCGTTTGCACCGTTGGCCTGGTTGCGCCAATGCATGCCCTCGAAGCCCGAGTAGGGCATGTCCTCCTGGTAGTGGCCCCACGAGATGCCCTTGCTCTCGAGCAGGTCGATGACGGTCGACACGTTGCGGGGGGCACGGCCAAACGAGTCGTTTTCCATGCCAAAGTAGTCACCGGCGATGGAGGCCATGTAGTTTGGCTGCGACGGGTGAGTGACGGCATAGTAATTGGACAGCGTGATGCCCTTTTTAGTGAACCAGCTGAAGTTGGCTGGCGCATGGTTTTCCGGTTAGCGGACGCCAGGCAGGCAAAGGGACAGGGGAAAGAAAGCACTCACGGTCCCCGTAGGCCTTGTCGTAGTTTTGGTTCTCAAAGTAGATGATGGCGAGGCGATCAAAGGCTTTGCCCTCGACGTTGCTGGTCGGGCTGGTTGTCTTGGCCGTGGCGGCGGCCTTTGCGACGGCGCGGGCGCCCGTGGCCGTGTATCGCGTCTCCCATCCTCCGTCGTGTTTCTTGGACTTGCAATGGCCCGTAACGGCGAGCCCGGCGATGACAACGAGCCGAGCGGCGGAAGAGAAGAGCATGTCGGAATGTGCGGAACGAAGAGGTCTGAGAAGACAGGCTGCGACACGGGCAAGAGGACGACGCGAGAGGCAAGGGACTGGTAAAGGGGATCTACATATGTGCTGTAGAACGAACTCCACCTAAGCAATGTGCGATGTCTTGCTTCTCGTCTTCAACCGGCCCCCCCCTTGTTCTTCATCTTCTTCCTGGTCCTCGTCCCGCCGAGACCCGCGTTGGGGGGTGGGGAGCCAGGGAGGGTGTGGCGACCTTGCCGACGCCGTTTGAGCAATGCTCTGTAAAACGAGCGACGTGATACGGCCATTTTTGGTGCGCATCATCATCATGGTCAGCAGCCCGCAGCATCAGCGAGCCATGGCATGGCGTGCATGCATCGAGGCACATATGTTCCGGTTGCGGCTCGGAGGGCTGCTGGGCGTAGCCGAACTCCGGCCTCCGAGGCCTTTTTGGTACTGGTGCAGCGGCGCCAATCGCGGTGGCAGCGTTCGTATTTCGGCTTCATTCGCCGGCGCCGGTCCATCGACGCGGGTGGAGAAGAGACGGGGAGAGGAGAGGATGGAGAGGGGAGGAGAGGGGCTCGTCATGACCTTTTGCGCGCAGGATACCGAGTACTTGCCATCACGTACCGCACAGGGGACCAGTCAGCAAACGATACTTCTTCGATACGGGGACTAATGTACTGCCCATGCCCGGTGTGCGTACGTAATTGCTTCAACCCAAGTCTGCAACACGTTTGCCTCGACGCGCGAACCCATGCAGCAAATCGCTTACCGACTCTTCCGCCCGCCGCCTGTCCGGGTCTGTCTCGAGTCTCCTCGGGTCCTCCATTAGTCAACGCCCCCTCGTGGCGCAACATGGAGCCGCTCCTCACCCCCCCCGGTAGCGCTTCCTGGCGTGCCCCGGGTCGGTCCCTTTCGAATCCATCGACCAGACAATTCCGCCAAACAATCCTTGTCCCTCGTTCAAAGACGACTGTCTCTTCTTGGCCCTTTGTTTTGACTTCTCAGCCGGCTCATAGCCCCGTCTACGGGCTCTTCGAGGCAGTCCCTCCACCCTGAGCGCACGACCTGAAGCAACAGCGCCGACGACGACGAGGCTGAAGAGCAGTGATGCCCGCCCGTCATGGATCGCCGGCCACGGCAAACGCCCGGCGACGACAATGACGAGCAACGCCGGCCCTTTCTCCCAGACGCCGAGTCGTCTAGGCCCGGCTCACCGCGCCACGCCCATCGTCGTGGCTTGAACCTCTTCTTCCTCCTCTTCCTCGCCACCGCCGCCGCCGTCTGTGCCCTCGCTGGACTGCTACTCAGCTTCCCGCCCCGGACGCGTGCCCCTTCTGCCGGAGACGCAGATGGCACCAGTCTCCCGGGGCACCACGACGCGGGCCATGTCGATGTCCACGATGACGCCCCCGCCATCGTCCACCACCAGGAGGACGGCGTGTCTGACGTCCCCCGGCTGAGGGATCCGTCCGAGTATGTCCTCGACCCGGCCTCGTGGGACTATGCCTCGCCTCCAACCACGCGCGAGTATCACTGGACCATCCTCGATGCCGACCTCAACCCCGACGGCGTCTACCGCCCCATGATACTCATCAACAACCAGTTCCCTGGCCCGCTCGTCGAGTGCAACGAGGGCGACACGCTCGTCGTCCACGTCGTCAACAAGGCCGCCAACGCCACCTCGATCCACTTCCACGGCCTCTTCCAGAACGGCACAAACTTCATGGACGGCACCGTCGGCGTCACGCAGTGCCCCATCGCCCCCAACTCAACCTTCACCTACAGCTTCCAGGTCCGCGGCCAGTCGGGCACCTACTGGTACCACGCCCACCACAGCGCCCAAGCCTCCGACGGCCTGCTCGGCCCCGTCGTTGTCCACTCCGAGGACGAGCGCGCCGCCCAGCGCGAGCTCGGCTATGCCTCCGACAGGGTCGTCATGGTCCAGGACCACTACCACAACACCACGGCCGAGCTGCTCGTCGACTATCTCCAGCCCGACATGGAAAATAACGAGCCCGTCCCGGACAACGCCCTCATCAACGGCCGCGGCCTCCGCAACTGCGCCGACTTTCCCGGCTGGCGCTGCGACGCCGCCAACGCCTCGCGCCCCCTCGTGGCCGTGGCGGCCGGCGCGCGCCACCGCCTGCGCTTCATCAACGTCGGCGCCTTTGCCGAGTTCCAGATCCAGGTCGACGAGCACCCATTTTACGTCACCGAGGTCGACGGCACCGACGTCCACCCGGAGCCCTTCCACCGCCTCAACATCCTGCCCGCCCAGCGCTACAGCATCGTCCTCGAGGCCAACGCCACGGCCCGCGACGCCTTCTGGCTGCGGGCTAGGATGGTGACGCACTGCTTCACCACCAAGAACCCCCGGCTCGAGCCCGAGCTCAGCGCCGTCGTGCGGTACGTCACGCCCGGCGCCGCGCCCCCTCCGGCCGCCGATCCCGAGAGCAAGGAGTGGCCCGACGCCGTCGAGGTCCAATGCCGCGATCTCAACACCACCCTCCTCCGCCCCGTCACGCCCGTCACGCCCCCCCCTGCCGACGACTTTCTCGCCCTGCGCGCCAATTTTGAAATCGGGGCCTGGCGCCTCTCGCGCGGCTTCTTCAATGACTCGTCCTGGCGCGCCAACGCCACTTCTCCGTCGCTGCACCGCTTCCTCGACGCCCCGCCCGCCGCCCAGACCGGCCTGGGCAACGAGACGGTCGCCCTCGCCGTCAACGACCGCGTCTTCGAGCGCCAGCGCGAGCTTGTGGTGCAGACGACGGGCATCCGCACCGTCGACGTGGCCATCAACAACTTTGACGACGGCGCGCACCCCTTCCACCTCCACGGACACCGCTTCTTCGTCGTCGCCCAGGGCCGCAGTGGCTACCCGCCGACGGCCGCGGGCTGGCCGGCCTACCTCGCGGCGCACGGCGGGCCGCCCGCCAACCCGCTGCGGCGCGACACCGTGTCCGTCGAGGCCTACGCCTGGGTCGTCGTGCGCGTCGTGCTCGACAACCCGGGCCTCTGGGCGCTGCACTGCCACAACGCGTGGCACGCAGAGGCCGGCATGGTGATGCAGCTGCTGGCCCGCGCCGACGTCGTCGCCGGCTGGGAGGTCGGGCCCCCGCGGCGCGCCATGTGCGCCCTCGACGGCGTGCGCACGGGCATGCGGCCCGACGACGACGTCTGGTTTGGCTCGTTTTGAGCGCCTGGGCACGCCCCGCCCGCGCACATCCGGACCACGTCACGGCGATTCTGGCCATTGGCGGTGGCTTCGAGGTGGGCCATGCGACCCTGTCCGGAGATGGTTGGTGACACACGTGCTGTATTTGTACCTTGACTTGGGGGGAGGGCTCATGGCTCCTACAGATGCCGTGATCGAGTCGGTGGTGACCCTGCTCATACAAGCCGGACAGGCCCAGGAGCAGCACGGCGTTGGACATGGACAAGTCTGGGACCATTTCCTTTACCTTGGGCGCAAGACAGAGTAAAAGTTCGCAATGGAACACGGCGCTCCAGCGAGGGCGAGAGGTACGTAGGGCTGCGTCCGTGAAGGCCGATTTTGCCCAAAAATCTCTCTTCACACCCAGGCCGACCATGACCCATTGCTTTGCCGTGGAGCAAAACCTCTAGCCAGCTAACCCTGCCATGCAAAGAAGCGATGCTTGCCATGCTCGCGTGACTGCTCGAGTGTCTGCCCTGGGAACAGGCACGTCGCCCTCCCTCCCTGCTATTCCCAGGAGTTGGCAAGCAAAAGCTTGCTCGTTCGTCAATCCCCATAGTCTGGTTACCCTCACTCCCCCCCGCGGAGCCAAGCCACAATAGTGAAAACACTGAAGAACATACAACGCGGCCGAGGCTGCAAACGTAAATTATACAACAAATCAGCAGAAAACCGGAGAAAGTGAAAAGAGGCATGACAAAATCAAAGCCAGCGTCAACACGCCCCTGAGGTATCAAACGGCCGCAAATGACCCGCCCTCTCCGCGCTCAAATGGCGATCAAAATGGCCCAACGCCTGCCAAAACAATTTCTGGAAATCTTGCCTAGTACCTCGCTATGCATGCATGCTGTGCAAAGGATGCGTCAACACGGGAACCAACGCCACAAATGTCTCACCCGATAGAAATCTCCGCCCATGCCACATCTCTCGGCTGTTTCTGCTCAGCCAGACCGTCCTCATCAGCCGGCTTCGCGTACTCGTCAGGTTCTCTCCGCGACGTTGGCGCCCGGGTTGACAAATGCTCGCAAAGCAATGTCGCTAAACCGCCGCACCACATTTGTCGTCCCGCCCGTGACCTGGGCTTCGTCGAGGATAAACTTGGAGGCCACCGCCAGTCTGTTCTTGGGGTCGCTCTCGTCCAGATGCTGGGGAATTGTGCCTGCGTAGCCGGGCTCGAATTTGGGCGCCAGTTCCCTCATCACGGCGATGGAGTAGAGGACGTCCCGGTTCTCCCGGCCGTCCAGCAGATGCCGCATCCTAGCCAGCATGTCCTCCCTGGCTTTGACAGCTTCCGGGGAGCCTGGGTTGTCGCGTCTGCGCACAAACTCGGCCAGACTGTACCAAAAGTCGAATTGGCGCATTTTGTGCTGGTCATTGTCCATTACGGGAGGGGCGAGCGGGTTCGCTGCGAGGTATTCTCCACACAGCAGCGCCTCGACCACGCGTAGACGATTTCGTAGCTCGGTGGCATCGCCCTCGAGGGGCATCGCCGTGCGCATGGCGTTGTTTGTGCGGTCCGGGACTTGATAGACTATGCAGGCCAGCTCCCAGACGATCCTCGTTTCCAGAGCGCCAGAGTAGGCCATCTGGGTGTGGTCGTTGGCCTTGACCGCCTCGAGTATCTTTAAGAAAGAAGCCAGGTGCTCAATCAAATTAGTGTCTTTGGGAAACGTCATCTTTCCGCTCTCGATAAAGTAGTACCAAGTGGACTCGAAAAAGGCGCTGAGCCCGCCCGCGTACATTTCGTGGTAGATCATTGTGACCTCATTGAAAGTCTCCTCGGTGTGGCTTATCTGCTGCGGGGGAGGCGGCGGCCCTAGCAAGTCTATGATCTCGTGGATCTTCATTCTCTTGGCTACCCGGGATACGCGTCAGTATGGTCCAAGGCCGCCAAGGACGCGGGGACGCTCACCTCCTGTGGGTTGGGGACTGGCATCCGGCAGCGAGGCAGGCCTGGGGTCAGGTGCCTTCGAGTTGTCCGCAGGAGGTGCCAAGGGCAGATGCCTCAGGACAGAATCGCTGGGCTCGGCCTTGATCAAGTGGTCGTAGCCGGGCTCCGTCTTGATGACGGGGGCGGTGGCGGTGGCGGGGGGGCTGTAGCTGGCCGTGGTCGTGGCCGGGGTGGATGCGTATGCGCTGGGCAGCACAGCCGGCTGGTTGCCGTACGGGTTAGCCAGCCGGGGAGCAGGTGCAGGAGCCGAGTGCAGCGACGTGGACGAGGGGAGGGACGATGAAACAGTCGGCTGGCTGGCAGGGGCCGGTTGGATGTGAGAGATTGTCGGGCCGCCGCCGCCTTGTTGGCGGAAGATGGGATCGTAGCCCAGGCACTCTCGCTTGGATTTTTTGCAGTTATTGCAGGTCGGATGTGTCTCGTCGCACTGCGGAAGACCAAGGGTGTCAATAGGCTATTCGTCAACAAGCGATGGTCGCGAATCGAGAGGGAGGGTGTGGGCGAGATCAGAAATACGGAAAAGAGGGGCAAATGACGAGCAAAGCAAAAGCAGAGAGACAATTCAGGGCAAAAGGCCAACCAAGGTGCAAGGCACGGTGAAGCAGCAGTGTTTGCAACGGCGGGGAGCTCAGCCAAGCAAGCGAGAGGTTTGGAGCAAATTTTAATGCTCTGTCCCGCCTCCTAGCTTGGCTTGGCTCGGCTCGGCTGCGTGGTGCGTGGCGGCTGCGCTTCGGAATAATGGTTGGTGCGAGGCCTTGGGGGAGGGGGGTTCTCACACGCCCAGCCGCAACTCGCAAGACCCCAAGCCAACACAACGACCGACGCGGATTCAACCGACTCGAGAAGCTGTAGCATAGTGTCCCGATGGCGTGGACCAGAACAGAGTCAATGAAAGCTCCCTCACCTTGATTCTTCGCTTGCGACACGTCAGGCACCCAGTCTTGGTTCGGCGCTTGATTTCCTGTAGACAGAGCCATTGCGTGTTAGCTTCTTTCCTCATCCTCCCCTTGCGTCCCATCCAATGGCAGAGCAAGGGTTCGGTTCTGGCAGCTCGGCCAAGCTGTTAGGAGCGTACCTTTTTCGGGCCTCTGCTGCCAAGGATGCGAGGGTCATGGGGCAGAGGAAAGCGGGACATGGCGTCGTGAGCCAGACTGTAGTTTGATGGCAGTGCCATTGCGTGGTGAGGGTAAAAGAGAGGCGCGCCCGAGACGGGAGCCAGGGGAGTGGTCATGGCCATGGCCATTGTATGGTGAGGAGCCGGCGGCTGGCTGACGGGTTGCTGCGGCATGGAATCCATTGTACGCATGCTCGGGAGCGACATCGGGGCACTGGTGCCGACGGGACAGGCTCTATAGGCGTCGGCCGACTGGGACGGGGTCGGGTACGGCACGTACTGGCCCGAGGGCATGTTGGAGGAGGCAAGGTAGACGGAGGGGGAGGCGGCAGTGGAGGCCGGATAGCTCAGAGCCAGGCCGTGGTGGGCGGCTGAGAGGGCGGCCGAGTGAGTCGACATGTTGTCGGTTTCGAGCTCGGAGCCAGCGTCGTCGCCGTCGTCGCCGTTTTTCTGGGGCTGCGAGGCCGAGGCGACGACGGCCGAGGCGGCCAGGGACGCGTCGGGCGAGGGGGGGGCGGCCGGCGGCCGAGGAGCGGGAGACGCCTGAGTTGGAGCTGGAGGGGCTGCTGTGGGTGCGGGAGGCGGAGGAGAGGCAGACGAGGCAGAAGACGAGGCGGGCGCGGACGAGGAGGCGGCGGCGGCGGCGGCGGGCGGGGGAGTCGAGGAAGCTATAGGGGGCGCAGAGGGCACGCTGGCGGGAGCGGCTTCATGGTGGGGTGGCCGGGCCGGCTCCTCGTCGGCGGGCGCCATGGCTGGGAGCTCTCGCCCTTATATACACGGGATGTATGCGCGCGCTCGGGAGTGAATATGTATATAGATGAGGTAAGTATCCTCGTATGCAGTACAGTAGGTGGTATGGGTGGTGTTTTTTTCTGGGTCCGAAATATAAATTTTTATGGAGCGGGCGGTCGACATGGCGTCGGCAGCGGTGCAGTCAATGAGCGAACAGCGACAGGGGGGGCGCTGGTTAAGGCGACGCTGCGTGGGACACGGCTTCAGGGGAGCCTCGTTGTGGGCTGCTGCTGTCCAGGGGGAGGAGGAAGAGGACGATGAATGGATGGATGGCTGGACGAAGAGGGGGGGGGGGGGGCTGCAGTGACAGTGGCAGAGAGCGCGGCCATTGGGTGCAGGTAAGCAAGGTACCTTGTCAGGCATGCTTGATGTGCCCGGAGTGTGGTTTGCCCTCTTCATTTACGGGCGTGGCGAGCGCTGTCAAGAGTCGCGGCATCGGGGGCTGTAGCGGCGTGTCGACGTGGAGCTTGGCTGGTGGACGATGAAGGTGGAGAGATGGCAACGTGGTGAGAGAGGGAGCTGGAGGAGACGGCGAGCGATTGGCAGGTACCTCGGCTGGCTGCCTCGTGCGCTGCAGACACCACGTACCGGCCTGAGTCATCAAGGTGTCCTGCAATGCTTTTTTTACGGGACTTTTGGGCATTGCCTCTCCGAATACCTCCTTCTCTTAGCAGCAACTTGGCCCTTGGCCAGCAACGGGATGCTTTTCTGCAGTTCTGAGGTGCAAGAAGAGAAAGCGTCGTGCGTACGTACCGCTGGCGAGGGCCTCGTGTGCCTCTACAGGCGCACCAAGACGGGGCCCGCTTTACAGACCGGCACAAGCATCGTGCACGGCCAGGACAAGCTTCCCTACCTTACCTACCCATGAGCCTACCTATGAGAGGGGGGAATGATATGATGCTGAAAAAGGCCGAGTCGCCTACTGTATTACCTACCTAGCAACCTAGGTATTAGACGGCTCTCCGGTGTGGGGAACGAGGCTGTCGGGGACCCTACTGTGGCTTCGGTGGCGGACAGGCGTGCAGTGTTCCAGAAGGCCCTCCATGGCAAGGGGGGGGGCTCGTCACCGACTCAACAGGCTTTTAGCTCCCGGCCTTGAACCCCTGGGCGCACATGGGTGATTGCTGCCGAGGCCAATCAAGGCCGTCTACTTGCGAATACCCGCCAAGTACTTGAAGCAGACTGCTGGAAGCTCGGCCGCTCCATGGCATTGGCATACGGTCGGTACATCATGGGCGGGTCTGTACTCCCTCTCCTGTTCCTCTTTCTCTTCCTCCTCTTTCTCTTTTCCTTCTTTTGCTTGTCAAAGAGGCCGGGACTGAGCCGAGGGTCCACCAGGCCCGCCGGAGCCGTGCTTGTCGTCATTGCCAGGCCCTCTAGACCCGGCGAACCTGCAGCCATTGTCAAGACTGTCGGATAATTAGATACAGCACCTACCCAAGTAGAGAGAACCCTTGGCTGGAAACATTGGCTGAAAACTGCACGAGACCCGTGGCCGTCATGGCGCCTTCATTTGCCGCCCGCCCTCCTCGCCGCCACGCATGTGTCCACCTACCCTACATGATGCTGGTCGCGACACCAAAACGTACATACGTCTACATGGGGCCACTCACTCCCGCCCCTTGTCGGCTGCGGATGCTTGACGCGGCAGTACAGATGCACGCAGTATAGGTGCACGCCTCTGTATTCATATGCATGTGCGCATGGATGGCTTCACCGTTCCTGTGCACGCGCTCTCTCGACACGCATCGGCGGTATACTTTCCACGCTCCGTGCCGGGGCGGCCGGCACCGAGCAGGCCGATTCCCCGAGAGACGAAGAAGAAAAAACAAGACAAGAGAGAGCGCCGACGAGGAAAAGAAAGCCCCGGGAAGATGCAGCAGGAGAGAGAAGATGCACCGGGAGCTGCCGCCCGAGATCTGGCTCGCCTTGGCCCATCGCAGGTGGCCTGATGGCTGCATGCTGGCCATGTACCCTCCCGCACCGTCCAGCCAGGCAGGTACATGAGCGCTGGACGCGGCGTCCCCTGAACGGTCCCGCCAAAGGCCGCCCGACCTCCCGCGGGAGAGAAGCCGGCTGTGGGACAAGGTCTCTGGCCGCCGCCATCTTGTTTCGGCCGGGAGAGCGAGGCGCCGTCATATGCAAGATTGCCCATTTGCTGCTCTGCTCGTGACTTGTCGCCGTCGATCGTCGGTGGCTTTCGCATCTGTATGCAGGTATGCATGCGTCCATGCATCATGTATGTGCATATATGCGTTTGGGCGTGGTTGTCTTCAGGTACATGCATCCCGAGGTAAGTACCTAAGTATCTAGGTACATGTACGGATTTACGGAGTACTTGCACGAGCAAAAGCTCCGTCCATCAAGGAGGTGCGTCATGCTTCGTCCACCGCGACCCCGGGAATCCATGAGAGAATAGAGGAGATTTGAGTAAAGAAGAGAAATGGTTCATTGGAGAGACAACGCACAGTCGTAATCAATGCAGAGCGCACGCTCTCGTACCCGTACCACGTACCACGTACCATATGTTGCATAGGCATGTACATACGTACCTGTCGTGGCATCCGGCTTAGTAATATCGGCCGCATCTCCCCCCCCCCGCAACGAAGCCTCGCGTAGATTAAATAAAACAACAACAAAACGCATCAGAAAACCATCCAAGACGACATCTGCACTGCTGCATCAGACTGCAACAAGCGAGCTGCCTCTACATGACACACCCGCACCTCTATGGTAGGGCTACGCGAGCACATTCCCCTTTGGGCACCGGCCCCCCGGCCTCCGCTCTGGTGCGTCAGTCAATCCGCCTGCAACGATGCTTTGCTTAGCCAAACAAGGCGCCCTCGCACCATCATCTCCGCTCGACGCAGCTCTTCTGGCTCGCCGCTTCAAACTCGCGTCGCTTCCGCACCCGCGCGCATTCCTCGACCGACGGAGCCACCGAATGCGCGGATGCGTGCATGCGACTCGTCCTCCACCGCCACCGACACGTGCGCTGACAAATTCATCACGGCCGCCGACACTGATGCGCCCAGGGCTCCATGCGCTTCCAGCTGATGCCTGACACCCTCGGCCCCTCGTCGCCGCCGCCGCCCTCGCCGTCCCCGACCACCACCCACGGGCTCCCGAGGCACTCGCCCGTCTCGCGCGCAAACGTCCACGCGAGGCACCAGCTCTCCGTGTCGCACCGGGCCCTGCAGTCGTCCCCGTCCCGGACCCCCTCCCAGCGCCTCGTCGCCTCGCCGCTCGGCCCCACGTGGTCGCCCGCCGGGTAGGGCTTCCTGCCGTACCTCTCCATGGGCTGGTCGCCAAACAGCTCCCACAGCTGGCCCCAGAGCACGGGCTCCTTGACGCCCGCCAGCCTTGCGCCCACGCGCGCCATGTCCCCGGGCATGCGCAGCCCGTGGAAGGAGACGACGGGCGAGCAGATGCGGTCCCTGGTGATGCGTGCCAGCTTGGGCGGCTCGCCGCTAAAGTGGTGGCTGTAGCGTTCCTCGACGTAGATGCCCACCTTATGCAGCGTCGTCGCCACCAGCCGGTCCCCCCACGTCTCGTCGAGCGACTCGATGTATGCCTGCGCGACCACCTCGGGCCGGGTGAAGAGCACCCGCATGGCCTCGCCCGACAGCAGCACCGCCGAGCCCCCGTGCGCGAACCGGCCCTTGTAGTCGCCCACGGCGTTGCCAATGTACTGCGGCTTCCTCGGGTCCAGGTGGCCCAGCAGCAGCTCCAGCGACGGCTTGACCAGGTAGGTGTCGTCGTCGAGGATCACGTACCACTTCTTGAGGGGCAGCCGCCGGTATGCGAGCTCCATGCCCATGATGAACTGCGCTCCGCCCTCAGCATTCCCGCTCTCGCGTGTCAGGGGTGGGTCAATGACGGACCTTTAAGGCGTCGAGCTCCCACCCGTACGTCTGCCCGAGGAGAAGCGCCCGCTCCTCGTCGCCCGCCGCCACCGCCCCCTGCATGCTCCTGTACTTGTTGAAGCGCTGGTGCTCGTGCCACTCGACGCCAATCTTGCTCTCCATGACCGTCTTGATGGCGTCGTGCACCTCGACGCCCAGCCCCCGGGCGTCGCTCGCGTTGGCCGCCGTCCAGTCGCCGACGACGACGAGGAAGCCGCGCCCCTCGGGGCCCAGCACGCCGCGGCGCGACAGCGCGCCGAGCTGCTCCGGCAGGCGGTGGCGCGTGCCGTAGCCCGTCTTGATGAGGAAGCCGACGTCGGAGCCCAGGTCGACGCGGTGCCGCGCCGGCCCCCGCAGCTGCCGCGCGTCGGTGCCGCGCGCCCGCTCTGCCAGCCGGCCCAGGTTGAAGCGCAGCGCCAGCCGCACGCGCGAGTCCGGCGGCTGCGCGACCCACCCGACGCCGAGCACGAGCAGCAGCAGCACGGCCACGGGCGTCAGGCGTCGCCGAACCCGGCGCGGGATGTTGAGCATCCCGGCTGATGGTTCTGGGATGGAAAGGAGGAAAACAACTGGATCCCAGGGGATTGACCGATCCCCTATCCTCCTCCCCGCGTGTTTAGGCGTGAGTGGATCAAAGACGGTCTTTCGCGCCCCCAGCAAATCCCAGCGGCTAGAGCAGGACGGTGAGAAAAAGCCCAACTGCACGCTCGGTGAAAACACGAAAAGGGCCTACCCACGTGCTTCCTCCTCGGCGCGCTCAGGAGCCGCAGGTCGCGGGACACGGGGGGGACGTCACCGCGCGTCGGGTCCCTGGCCTTGGGTCTCTTGGGGGTTTGCTTCCGACCTCAGCCTGGCAGAGGCGGAAAACGGGCGAGGCTGACATTGTTTGCGCTGCGTTTGCGTTGGGCCTCGTCATCGGTGAAATGTCCATTTGATCAGCCAATGATGACTCATGCAGGCGGTGGCTGCTACATCCTTCAGCCTCGCATTCGCATCAATCGATCAAGCGGCACGGTATTTCGCCAGGCCATGTAGAGGCACCGCTCCGAACACAGTATGCCTCAGCTTCGAGAGTCTCACTTAAGGACCCTCCCTGCCTAGACCATGTATAAGCAGGAGTCTGCCCCCTGTCTGCCCCCAGTAGCTCCCCGAAGAGCGCGCCGACGGCAAGAGTATGTCTAAATGCTAGTGATACATGTCCATCAAGATTGCAAACCTGGAGGGCCCGTTTATGCGCTTTCTTCCCTGCCCCTCACAAGGAGGAGGCGGATGAAGTAATAGAGGAGCAAAGCGCGCTTCACAAGTAAAGACTCCATCGCCCCCTGCGTTTCTTACAGCCGACTCGCCGCGCGCACTGAGCAGCGGTTTCTATTCCTCCAGCTCGTAAAACAGCATGTACACCTCCCGCTGCATGCCCAAGACCTCGCTCGTCTTGGCCTCGCGCACCTTTTCGTCGCTCACCCGCCACCACCTGTCAGACGCCGGCTTGCGCTTCTTGGCCCGCTTCGCCGGCGCCGCCTGCTGCGCCTTGGAGCTCCTCGGCGACGCGCTGCTGTCCTGGCCCGCCTTGGAAGGCGCTAGCCGCGACAGCGCCGACTTGGTCGAGGCGGCGACGGAGCGCAGACTGCTCGTGTCGGCGTCACGGTCCTTGGCATCCGACTGCGGCGAGCCCATCTCGGGCGGTACGCTGCGCGGCGCGGCGGGCATCGACTCCAGCGAGGGCGTCGACGAGTTGGTCGCGGGAGATGCCGAGAGGAGGTCTGGCGTCGAGGTGGCCGGGCTGCCGGCTTGACGCGCCGCCGCCATCCTCGGCGTGGAGACGGGCGTCGATGTCTTGCTGTAAATGTCAGACGGCTGGAAGGTGTTTGCGTTGTGGTAGGGCGAGGGCTGGTTCTGTCGTCGAAAGGCCTCGTAGTGGCCGCTGTTGTGGCCGCCTCGGTGGGTGATGATGCCGAGCAGCTTGTACTTGTGTTGGTCCGCCAGACCTCCCAGGGGCAGCCGCTCCGGAAAGGCAACCTTTGCCGAGTTCTTTTGCGTCATCTGCCCGACGCCGTAAATGGACCGCGACAGGTGAATCGCCAGGACCTTGGGGAAGATGGTCATGCGTGTCGTCTTGCCAATCCGCCTCTTTGGCGCGTAGCGAATGTCGCCCAGCTCCACGCCAACGGGCGGCTGCTCGGGGTCCGTCTCAATGGCCGCGGCGAGCTTTTCGATGCTGTCCTTGGCCTGCGCCCTGAATCCATCCGACGTAGACCGCGCGAGTTCGTGCTCCAGCGTGGCTTTCGCCTGCACGAGCCGGCACATTTCGCACTTGAAGTCGTCGACGAATTCCGTCTTGAAGATGCCGTCAAAGCAGGCACTGAGCGACGTCGACGACACGTGCGGCACGGCCAGCGTCAGGGTACAAAAGCTCTCTTCCCTCGGCTTGGTCCGATACCGACAGGCCAGGCACTCTATGTGAGACTCGTACTTGCCTTCCATTGGGAAGCTCTCTTCCACCTCGGGCTCGGCCACGACTGGCGCCTGTGCCTTGGGCTCAGGCTCGGCGTCGTCTCCGTTGGTGGCGGCGAGGTCCGGCGGCCGTTGCGCATCGACGGCTTCCGAAGCCGCATGGCCGGACGCCAGCCCGTGTCTCCGCGCATAGGCCCGGGCGCGCTGACCAGCGCGGTACTCGTCCTTGAGCCGCTCGGCCACAATCTGAAGAAACTCCTGGGCATCCTGCTGCTGCCTGCTGATGCGCTGCTTGAAGGCGGCCTCGAGGACCTTGACAAAGGGAAAGGGAGAAATGGACTTCCTGGCAATGGGCCGCTCGTTAAGCGCGTCCAGCATGTCCTTGAGCCCGCGGGTGACGAGCCCCTCCTGCAGCCCCTGCAGCTTCCACTGTTCGAGCCTGGCGCCGGCCTGCGGCTGGACGAGGTTCTGGTAGACGGCCGGGTCCTCGATGTGGCGGCGGTGGGTTTCGCGGATGAGGTAGACGCGCAGGTCGCCGAGCCCGGCGAGGGCCTGGAGGACCGAGTTGATGAAGCAGTCGTTTGCCTGGTTGCGCAGGCCAACTATCGTCGTCTTGCGCGAGGAGTTGCCGGAGTCGTGGTCGATGGTAAAGGTCGGCCCGAAGACGTAGATGAGCGCAACGGCCGCGAGCGAGGCCCCGGCGGCGTAGGACACGACCGTTGCCGACCGCTCGGGCATTGTCGCCGGTCGCGAGGCTCGTCTATGCGGCGAGCTCAGGGGGAGAGGGAGCGCCGTCGGGAGGCGCGGACGAGGGTCGCCTTGGAGTGTATCCGAGACGCACACGTTGGTGTCAGGGAAAGGAAGATTGCCGACGCAGCGTCATTGCGAGGATCCGGATCCAAAGACAAAAGTCGCCGTCTGTCTGCCTTGGAGAAGACGGGCGCAGCAGCCTTGCCGGGGTCGGAGAATGCGTCGAGCACGGCTCGGGCGGGCTGGCGAGTGAGAGTCTTGATCGACGGGGCCTGGCGGTCTGAAACTGGCTGTTTGGCCTAGAATGGATTGACAAACTGTCGACGGTGACTGTGGCAGTTCGCGAACCTCCGTCTAGTCACAGGCACGCAATCCGACTAGGGCCGAGGCTACCCGGGGCCGAGTTGTTCCGGTGGCCGAAGCGCTTTCTCTCAACCACACCCATTACTTTTCTACTGTAACACGCTGCTCACGAGTCCGAGCTGCTGCAAACCACCTTTAATCTCTGTTTATATGAGTGTAAATGCCTCTCTCCTTCTGCTTTGCAAGCGTGGAGCAGGGTTGCGTCAAAGGCGAATGGCTACACATTTTTATGTGCATATTTTCCCTTTAGCTTGCTGGAAAGGAGGCTGACATGGCATCATCTAATTATACGCGAGTCTATTCCCTCGCCAAGGACGCATGGCTTCATAAAAAGTACCGCCACGGGGCAGAGAGCCGCGGCCACAAGTGGCTCGTCAGGAGCCTGCCTTGCTGCCTGACCACGTCCACAGCGACCCGTCCAACGCGCCTCGCTTCGCCCAGGCAGTCACCAGCTCATGCGGCGTCTCGTCGCCGTAAAAGGGAATCGGGACCTGATACACCTCGACCGTCATGTTTCCAGATGGGTCAATCTCTCCCCACCGCGTCGTGTCCAGGTCGGCGATCTCGTACGCCGCGTCCAGCAGCATCACTTTGATCTTTCTGCCGAGGCGCCGGTCCTGGCGCGGGAGTTTGTGAAAGTACTCGTCTTTGATGTTGGTCGAATCGACGTGCTGCGGCCGCGCCAGAACGACGTGGTGCAGCTCGGGCAGCGTCGCAATGTCCCACCAGAGCCAGTGGCTGTTGAGAGGCACGCCAAACAGCGCCAACCGCTTGAGGTTGGGCCACAACCGCCACACATCCGTGTGCGCGTCCGGGACGCTCAGCGCCGGGTATTCTCCGAGGCAAGTAAACTCCTCGAGACGCGTGAGCTGCTCAAAACCGTGGCGCAGCGTTTGCCGGACGTTGAGGTGATCGTCGAGCGGATCCAGGCTGCCAAACGGAATCTGCACCACCAGCCTGCGCAGCGTCTCGCAGACCTCGCACAAGAGCTGGCGGGTCCATATTGCCGTCGGCAGGTCGTCGAGCGAGCGCCCAAATGGCGCAAGGTAGAGCGACGTAACGTGTCGGAGCGACACTATCGGCGGCAGGGTCGGCACGAGCCTCGGCATGCACGCCAACAGGTCCGCCAGGCGGCGGCTCGAGTCGAGATAGAGGCAGCGCTGGCGCAGGAGCTTGGACGCATGTCCATACGTCGCGCGCGACACCCGCGTGAAGGTGAGCAGCGTCTTGGTCGCTGTGTGCGACGGGGGAAGCAGGGCATGCGGATTCGCCGGCAGCACGCTGTCGACAATGTGCAGCATCAGCTCCGTGGGCAGACTGGCGCGGCGTTCAAGGGACTCCATGGATGGACGATTGGCTGTCACATGGTCAGCGAGGCTGCCCTCGAGGGCGATGGTGGTGCTGTGGTGTTGGTGCTTGGAGTCGCTGCAACCAGCCGTCGCCACAAATGCCTCGCGTCTTACGTCATCTTACCGTTAGGTAAGCAAACAACAACACCAAAGCACGATGCACATGTTGGCCAAAGATCTTCACGACGCCACGGCAGCCAAATATAACACCATCACCTCTTGTGCCTGGAATAAAATTCGGCGTCTGGCTTCATATACGAGCTTTGCCCAACTCCTTTCCCCCTGTGATAATAAACGCCGCTTTTGATGCATCGTGACAACGGCAGCAATCGACAAACGATGCACCCCAACCATCCAAAGCTCGCTGGCAACACCCTAAACCTTGCGACCAAAGGGCCATTAAAACAGTGTCTCACCCGGCCAATGCTATACTACGTCGTCCCCTAATACTTTCCCAAAGGGCTCTCGTAGCTGTAATCCACGCTCCACAGCGGATCCCACAGCACGGAACTCTTGCTCGTGTCCTCGCCGGATCCTTCCCGCCGCATCTGGCGTCGAGGTTGCCCAGGCTTCATTCATCAGCCACCTATGGCCCCAGGAGGGAGTCGACGTTTCGTACCTCGGACGACTTCCCGCCGCCTGAACCTAACTCGCCCGCCTGTTTCTGCGTGTCCGCCCCAGGCGTGTTTTCGCGGCGCGCCTCGGCCCGGGCTCGTTGATCGGCATGCGCGTTGCTGGCTGTGAGGAGGCCTCCCTGCACAGGACTCGTCCCGGCCGGCGTGTCTGGCGCCGCCGCCCGCAGTGAGTTGGTCTCGCTCGCGAGTGCGCTGCTCTTGAGCAAGGCGGCGCCGCCAACCGTCGGAAACGGCAGAGCCTTCTTGGAGCCCGAGCTACTCCGACGGCTGTCTAAGCTTTTCGAGAGCGTCTTGTTAATGCCCTCGATGCTTGTCACGCTGTCGCGGCTCCTGCCCTTTCCCTTGGCCGTGTGCGACTGGATATCGGCCGTCGCCTCCACATTGTTCGCCGCGACCGTCGACTTTCCCATGCCAGGAGTGGACGGGGCGCCGGGCTTATCCTCGTGAGCATCAATGAGATACCATCGCAAACCGTCTGACAGCTGGAAGGGGTTGTCGTTCTCATCCTCGTTCATGGATTCGGCGTCGTTGGCGGGCTGGAGGCTTTTTGACAGGTCCACCACGCGTTCCTGAATGCGAGAGATTCGTGCCACGAGCCATTCCCGATGACGAAGCCGGTGCGCCTCTTGTTCACGGAGAAAGTAGTGCGGGAATCCCACGTTGAACGCTGCCCATGCGCCTGCCTGCTGGTTGCGCGTTGGCAGGAAGAGAGCGAGGTCACCCTCCTTGAAGTGTCTAAACGCGATTTTGTCGTGAGCGTCCTTTTGAAGGGTGTGTGCCCGGTCCCGATATGCTCGAGCCTCTCGCTGCCACTTTCGAGCCTTGTGTTCCGCCTCCTTGATCCGGAGGTACAGCGTGTCGGAAAAGAGGTCCATGTCAAAGGAGCCAAAGTTTCGTACAAAGGAGTCGTACTTGTCCGCCTCCGCCGACCCGTCTGTACTGTTCATCCAGTACAAGAGTCCGAGATCGGCGTTGTCGCCCGTCGCTCCCGTGCCGACACTGGTCGAACGACGAAGGTTGGATCCGGGGTCAGAAGAGTCATTGGGGTTTGGGGCGCTCCTCTCAGACCGCGGAATCTTATTGATTGCCATTTGCCCAGCTTCGCGACTCACAGAATATCCGATGCGCTCGAGAAGACGCACGAGGCGGTCGTTTTGTGTGTACAGCCTCTGCGTCAAGTCCTTTGTCCTTCCGTCGCGAGATTCGCATCGACTAGTAAGAACAGAAAGTTTACCGTCAAGGCTTTCCGCCTTCTGCCTGAGCGCATCGAGTTCCTCCTGGAGGCTGCCCATGTGCGACTGACGGGACGCCAACTCCTCTGCGAGCTCGGCCGTCTTCTTCTCCTCTGCTTCGAGCTTCTTGCGAAGCGTCTCTGAGCCTGTCTCTCCGTCGGACAACTGGCCTCGCAACTCGCTTAGCTGGCCTCGACTCTCAGCAGCCTCTTTCTCAAGGGCGACGGTCTTGGCTTGCTCCTCCGCGAGGTTCTCACGAAGCCCCCTCCCGTCTTCTTCCGCGGCCTTCAACTTGCCATTCAGTTCGGATACCTCTGCCTCGAGCTCTTTAACCGAATCAAGGGCCTGTCCGAGATCTGCCTTGACGAGAGCGTAATCACTTCCCGCCGCTCGTAACTTGGCCAAGAGGTCTCCTGCGTGGAGCTGCAGCGAGTCCGTCAGGTCCACTAGACTGGCCGACAAGGAAGCACCGGGAGCCACCTCGCCGTGTATTTTCCTCAAAGCTTGGACCTGGTCCTCGACGGTCTCTTGGGCGGCCTCGAGCTTCCTGAGCAGAGAATTATTCTCGTCTTGGGCGGCTTGAAGCTGCCGCTCCGACGCATCGAGCTGATTTCGCTGCATATGGGACTCTTTCATTAGTAGCTCGACCTGTCCTTGAGCTTGAAGCGAATCGTCTTCCCGCTCCTTTCCGAGTCGCTCGATTTCAGCCTCGAGAATCTGAATCTTTTCATCATAGGCGGCCTTCTCGTTTTCGCGCGACTCGCCAAAATGCTCCATGTCGTCCTCCGTGTCCTCGAGCCGAGCCTTCAACGTCTTGATCTCGTCTTCCAAAGACTTGCGTTCATCCAAGAACTCGCGCTTCAGAGCCTCCATGTTTTCCAACAGGTCTTTCTTCGTGGAATTGACTTCCTGAATCTGGTCCTTCATGTCATCATGCTGTGTGTTCCGAACGCTCAGCTCCTTTTCAAACTTGGCAGCGCGCTGTTTCTCGTCGCGGAGCTCATTCTCAAGCTGCTCAATCCGCCGAAGCAAGGAATCGGCCCCGTCAGAGGCGCGGCGGAGGTCCTCTGGACGATGTGACTTGATTGACGAAATCGAGTCCCGTCTTTCGTGGGACTGAGGTTTTGGAGACTGGAAGAGATTCCCGGGACGCGAAGCCTGACTCTGCCTATGCAGCAGATCCTCTAGACGCCTGACCCTACTCTCTGCCGTCTTGAGCTTGCTTTCAAGCTTCGACTTGTCCTCCTGCAGGGTACGAATGAGTTCATCATCGCCACGAATCATGAGCCCGCTCCGCCCGAGGGCTGCTTCGTGGACGCTGCCGTTCTTGAACGCCTTGAGCCTCCTGAATTGTTGTTTCGTGGGACTGTTCAGCTCTTGAACTAGTTTTCCCACGTCCTCGAGGATCGTGGGATCAGTGTCCTGATCCTGGAGACTTTGAAGGAACTCGTCCAGTTCTTCCTTGGTCATGGCGGGCCAAGGCACGTCCTCTCCAAGCAGATTGACCTCGAGTCCAACGACGGTGGTGTCCAAACTTGGCCCGTACATGCTGCCGATCATCTTCTGCCATCTTCTGCGTCGCTTCGCTTCTTCATCCTGGAACAAGGCCATTTCATTAGCGAGGGTCGAAGAGTCGGTCCTGATCTTGTCGACCCATTCCCGGCGGCGAATGGCCTCTACTACGAACGAGGCATACATGTAAGGGAGTTGATGGATGAGGCGAAGGTAGTCGAATGTTGTCATGTCGTCTTCCGATTGATTCAGGATGTTGATCTGGTTCTTGACGCCGCTGTGAAGCGCCGTGATGTCAGTGATGGTTTGCATGAAGCCGACAGATTCGTGGACGAGGTTGTTTCGCGCGCGCGTCGCATACTGCATCATCTCGTCCATTTCCTTGGCGCGCTTCTTGAGCGATGGGACTAGTCTTTCGGTGTGATTGGATGCTGTCTTTGAGGCTTGAGCGAGATCGCGCTGCGAGCCTCCGTAGCTGAGGGAGGTGTGGTAATCGGCATCGATCTGGCCGGCGACGGCTTCAATGTCCTGGAGGAGCTGTGCCGAGTCGGTGCTGTGTCCTAAAACGGAGCGACCCATGAGCTTGTCAAAGTCGGCGGCAAGTCCTTCGAAGCCCTGGTACATCTGAGTTGCAAGCCTGTCCAGCTCGGCGGCCTTGTCGCCGAACCTTCTGCGCGCGGTCGGCGCGAGCTTGCCAGCCTTCCTGGCCGTCTCGGGTTCAACCAGATCCTCGAGAGTCACGTCAGCCCTGGTCACCTCGCCCCTAGTCATGAACTTGACCATGGAGGGCGACACGGAAATGTTACGAGCCAAGGCAAGATACTGCTCCCACTCGGTCGCGAGCCGTTCGTGCTCCGACAGAGCAGGGTCCACCCATTTCTTGAGCTCCGTGTACTTAGGTTCGATCTGTTTCACGCTTATCTCGAGGTTGGCGACCGCCGCGTCCAGGCACTTGAGTATGACATCGATCTCATCATAGCGGGCTAAGACGGCCGAGTTGGTGCGAGAGCAGTTGTCTGCCAGCCGGAGAGCCCAGCTGCGGCGTTCCTCGTACAGGTGCTGCCATGAGGAAATGGCTTGCACGTCATCGATCGAGTTGGGCGCAGCCGGAACGGACAGACGCCGCGGCAGAGGGATATCGGAGATAAGAGGAGGGGTGCCCGACGCCGTCATCTGCTGCGTTACTCGGACGTCGTAGATGTAAATCTCTTTCTGACCGAGAGTCAGCGGGTGGTCTGGACCACGGAACGTGGCTTGGATGCACCACATACCTCGGAGTGCAGGCTGGCGAACTTGACGTTGCGTCCCTGGGGAGTGAGAGCTACCATATGCTGAAGAGACACAGAGCTGCTACGGGCCACCCATGATTTCAGGTCATCGAGTCTGTAGGCCAAGTTAGGAACGGGGCCATGAAGACGACCAGGACGACGTGTGGAGGAGGGGGAAGGGCTTTTACGTTGAAAACTGCGCCGCGTCGACCTCGAGGCGTTGGCCCGTGTGGGCAATCAACACCTGCGTCGCCATCCCAAGACATCTCCCATGGAGAGTATGACGGCGCTCGGGCGACCGACGCGACAAGGAGGCAGAAGCGAGGTGAGTAACAAGCGGACGTCGGTCGGTGCTGCTGGGCGGGACGAAGCCTGGAGTGAGACGCTCGCTTTAAGACGCTTGCTGTTGAGGATGGATGACAGGCATCGGGGTGCTTGTGCGAATTTGAGGGGAGGCGAGGGCGCAAGACCTGGTTGTAGCGTGACCACCGAGAGACTTTGAGGCGCCGACAGACTTTAGGCGTCGCGATGGGATGGATGCTGTGGCTACCTTGGGCTGGCGCAAGCGTGACCTCGTGCCTCGTAATCGCTGACTTCCTTACTATCTCGGCCGAGTGCCCCAGCCTCGTAAGCCCGGTGGGGTGGTTCCGCAGACGGATGGGCCTAGCCACACGTGGCTGAGTCCACGTCCCATCAAGCCATCCGCGACTCGCGATCATTGGCTGCGCAGCATCCATGACCTCGTCGCGCCCGACTGGACCTACTTGCTACCATGAGAGGGGGTCTTGGCTTCCACCATCTGTCGTGAACCGGCTGTCAAGACATGGACGCGTCTGAACCCCGGGCGGATCATGATCCCGCTTCTCTGCCCCTACCCTCGGACGAGCAGCGTGCTCTCGACTTGTTCGACAGCCTGCAGCAGCTTCGACTGGAGACGGCCATGGCCAACGCGCTGGCATCGCATCGAGCAGGTACGACACGCGGTAGCAGACCCAGGCTTTACTGGTAGCATTCATTCTCACATTATCGCGGCAGAGGCGCATGGCGCCGGCGCAGTTTCCAGGACATGGCAGGAGGATCTCCTGGATGCGAGGGCAAAGCTCAAGCTACGAAACGATGCCGTAGAGGCAGTCGTGGTGGCGAATCCCATTCTCAAGGCCGTCCACAACGGCACAGATGCATCTCCCGTGGAACGGCACGTTGAACCATCTCGCCTTTGAGCGCGTCAGTTCAGCACTCACTAACGTTATGCCAGTGACTTGTTACCCTACGTGGAACGCAGAGACGAGGCGGTCATATCGGTCGCCCGGCAGGCCGCTGACATGGAAATGCTGCGCGACCAACTCACCCGGACCCAGGCCGACGCAGCACGCGTCAGTCGCCGGAACGTAGAGTTGGCGGCAATGCTATGCGACTTGGCGGACAAGGCAAAGAGGAAACGGACCGGAAGTTTCGATTCGCCTGAGAAACGGAGCGCAATCGCGCGGCTAGAGAACGAAGTCGCGTCACGGAGGAAGCGGTGGAGAGTCATCAAGGGCGTGGCTAGTGGCGTAGTCTCTGGAAGCGGCATCGACTGGGCTCGCGATGATGAGCTGTGCGATATGGTGCTCGATCCAGAAAACGAAGACGAGCGGCCGTGAAAGGCCCTGAGTGGTTCGCCTCTCGTTTCGCAGTGTCTGGCCTTGCCTGAGGCCGTGCAACGTGGAAATGGGACAGGCAGGGTCCGCGAAGCAGGTGATGGGACATGGAGGCTGGGTCACTCCTGAATATCGGAGCCCGTCCTGCGCTGGCTCCCGATACCCGAGATTGAGGCATCGTCGGCCTCGACTAAATTCACCGACGCAACGGCCTGCGAGATGGCACACGAAAAAAAAACGTGTGCGCAAATGCCAGCACACGGCATTGCGCGACTGGTTGCGAGAGGAGAAGGTGGCACTGCCGCAACGTTGGTCCGGGCTGTTTCCCTTGCCTAGTGTAAAGTGTAAAGTACTTTGTACCAGGTGATGTCACTGAGGGCACTACCTGCTCCTGCTAGGTACCTAGGTACCTCGAGTACTACCTTGGTAGATTAGAACCAGGGAGACTCAGACGGAAGGGGTTCGCCGTACCGGACGGAGTACTTTGGTCGTCTGCGGTCAAGTATACAGTACATGCAGAAATACTTGCTTATCAGTGCGAGCCGGTTGCTGTTGCCTGGGACCAAGGTGACGCTAGCGCTCTTCCGACACCCACGGTAAGAGATGCTTCCGCTTTCATAAGAAACTGCGATACGTGCACTAGGACAACCAAGGTGGACACTTTACATTAGGTGGAAAGTACCCACGTACCTGTATATTTCGCGCTTGTGTGTGGTGTACTGCTACATCTTCCGCCGCTTGGCAGTCAGGCGCAAAGACACCAGTGAAGAGACAAGGCGTGCGACGACCTGCTAAGAAACAGCTTGCAAATCCTGAGGATGCACGCGCAGCCCTCGACCACCAATGAACCACTGCCTGGCCTTGCAAGGGAGCTCGAAGTTCTCTTGCGAAGTACTGTACGGTACTCCTCGTAGTAGGTAATTGTCCAAGACTGGGAAACTCCAATTGTCTACCTACCTTAGGTAGCCAACCGACGTAGCGATCGGGCCGTCCATCGACTAGGTAGCCAGTCGAGCAGCGAGGCAAACAGCTTGTATAGTTACAGAGTAGTCCTTGCGATACAAGGACGAGCAGCACTATGCCGTTCTAAGAAAAGCAGGGCGATGCGAGCGAGAATTGGCCTCGGGCAAACAGCAACACTCTCAGCGAGTTGCCAATCAAGCTTGTACAGTGTGTGGCTCGCTGTGTGCCCTTTCATTCATTTACGGGCATGCAGTGCCATGCACACACACAGACGAGTGCAGGGCTTAGCCTTGCCTTTGCGCGCCCCCTCTTTTGCTCTCTCCCCCTTGTTGGTGGGCTTTCATCGCACACCCAAAAGAGCGATTTGTGACCACAGCCACGTACTGATGCATGTACAGGATTCACTCTGTGCCTCCCTAATGCGCCTCTAGGCGCGAGGACTCGCAGTAAGTACTCACATCTACCCGAGGTGAAGCTCGATAGCGCCAACAAGGGCAGGAGGAGTCAAATCATTCACCCGCTTTTGCCTGCGAACAGAACGAGTCGCCTTTCTTGTCATTCACTGTGCATTGAGGTGAGAAGAATTGCACGTGCTGCCCTGATAGTAACGGTACCTCGTTCCCGGCGGCGAATGGGTGTGTGGGTGTGTCCAGTCCTTCCCGCAACATTCCTCACACTGCTGCTTGCCGCGTGCAAGCACAAGTCGAGGCACAGTACAGGTACTGTACCTTGCCGAGCAAGGCACCCAAGCTTTCTTGGTGGACTGATAATTATTACCTGTCTTCCTGGCGAGGCTTTGCACTCAGGCCAGGTACCAATCCTACTGATTGAAGTGCCGAGTACAAATACCAATTTGCGTGAAGGGGCGAGGAATCGAGCATGCCCTCTTGCTGTTGTGCAAGTACTTTGACGCATCTGCCCAGAGTGAAACTCATCCTGGTTCTCCTACCCCATCGCTAGGCATGTATTCGAGACAAGCGGTCCGCTCATGCTTGTTCCGCCCCCCGAGAAGCAGAGACAGTGGTGCCCTTTGGCAGTCGTAAGGCCACCCCTAAGTAGCTGGACCCACAGCCCCCGCCTTTGTCAGCAGCTACTTATAACCTAACGCAAAGAGCCAAAAACTCACAACAAAACGGAAGAGCTACGATAGGCTGCTTGTACTACCTCTGCTATCGATACATCCTTTTTGGTGAGATGGTCGGCCACAATCTTGTACCATTTGCAGATTGAGTCTGATTCGTTGGTATCCTTACGAGTGACCTGAGGGTGGCCTTATGACAGCCAAAGGGATGAGGCGCTCTGCTCGCTTGTGTTGCTGCTCCCCGGGAGGTGATTAGGCAAGGCACAAATCTCTTTTCCAGTGAATTCTGGAAGTCACTTGCCTTGCTTGGGCAGCTTTGCTCAAGTAGAAAGCCGGTGGATGAAACGGACGTGAGTCGTTGCGCGCTTGCTGGCTGCGCCGTGCTTGAAAATTGAGGCTCTTGGTGCGTCTACCTACCTACTACGACTGGCGAGCGCGTGGCGGCCTGTCAATGAAGACAGGCGGAGGAGCCGGAGGCTCATGAGCGCCGCGGCACTTGGCAGTCGGCTGTAAAAGTACATGACGACGCGCACATCTTGAGTACAGTACAAAGTAGAGCGACCAGGCAGTCGTTCTGTCCCACATGGCTTCATGCCGAGACGCTTTGATGGTACCAACACACGGTGCCGTGGTACGTGACCTCAACGCCCCGCTGTGCCGCTGCTATTGTGCTCTGCACAGCATCTACGGTACCTCCTGGATCAGACCCTACCACTAGTAGGCGCACTTGACAAAACCTTTTGGCTCGCCGTACGTTGATATGAAGCATAGGCTAGCACGCTGACACACTATTCCTCGATAAAGCGGTCGGGTGGCAGGCGCATGCAGTTTGCGCCTGCGAGGGCCCAGTGCCAGTGCGGCTTTTGTTGGAGGTGAGGACCAATGCCTATGCCCCTCCACGAGGCGGAGCCCCAAACTGGCCCGTCTCAGTGCAGCAGCGGCATCTCTGGGTACCTACCCGAGTACCGGATGTCTGTCCCCTACGACTCCAGGAGGGCAGGTGCCTCCGAGATGGGTGTGCAGGTGTGCAAACGAGACTTGCATACAGTGCGGATCCAGCTGCTTGACTCATAGGATATTGGGCTTGTACTCTACTTAAGCAGGACCTCAAGTGGGGAGCGCGTACCTATACAGTGCCGAGCAACAACACGTCTCGCGCCACGCTGCAGCAGAGGAAACCGCGCAGGGCGGACTGGTAGCGTCGCAGTCCCCTCCTTCCAGGCCAGCAAACACGGATCGTTTTCCACTCACTGGCCTTCTACGCATACAGGGGGGAGAGGCTCGGGCAAACGGAAGGGAGAGGGAGAGGCTCTCGAGGGAAACAAGGAGCGAGAAAGGAGCGGGCGGATACACGGGATGTACACAGGGCTCAGCTTCTACACTACACGACCTGTTCCTTCTGCCTATTTTATGAGGGAGGATTGAAGAAGCGGCGGGAAGAAAAGAGAGGGAGGGGGAAAGAGAGGGAGACAGGTGCGGGGAGCGCATTACTTCCTACCGCACGCCTTGCCTCACTGTTTTACTTACTGTGCTGTGTGCGCCGACTTCCTCGAGTACCCGGTACCTGGGCGGGCACGGTGAATACACAGAAGAAGCAGGTACCGACAGGAGGAAGCCTTGTCCGCCGTCGTCCGTAAACACAGCTCGGTCATACACAAAATATTCGATCCGGCCGGCAGGGTACAAGAGGCAGCCAAAGTGGCCCTCCTAGTACCTCAGCACCATGGGTATGGGACTGAGGCATGGCAACGAGGTACGCAGCCCAGCACCCCCTCAATGCGTACCGGCATGTACTGTGGCGCGCGGCAGCAGGCAAGAGCTACCAGCAGCGCCCGCCCAGCAGCAGCGCTCTCCCGAGCCAGTGCTGGTAGCTGGCTAGGGCGAGGGTACCTGCTTCGCCTGCGTCTTTCCCCCTGCGGCCGGGTACCTCGCCGAAGTGTGTGCGCTCGAGGTGTGGTGGTAGCTGGGGGGCGCCTTGTACAGTACGGCAGCGAGCACGGTGTCGAGGTACCTTGGCTGGGGCGGTGGCCGGCCGCGTTCCTCCACCCACCCACGCACCCGCGCACACACACGCACACACACAGTCAGTCAGTCGCTCACACGCACGCGCACCCGCTTTCGCGCCCGCAATCAGTCGCCATAGTAAAAAGGCTGCTTGGCCCTCCCCCCATACTGCGCTCCCCCCTCTCTCTCTTCTCCCATACAAAATCTCCCTCCCAAATCCTCCCCTACAAAATCGTCACCCAGACAGAGTCCACTCCGCAACACAACGCACACGCGCCTCAGGTGAGTACCTTATTTTTCGCTCTGCATCGCCGCAAATCCAAAGTCACCCGCTTCCCTTGGCCTTGCGCCCATCTCGAGTGTACGCCTGGCATTGCACTCTCTGTAGCCCTCGTGGCTCCGGCCCTTTTTTCCTGTCGCCTCTGCCGGGGAGCCTTTTCTGTCATCCAGAACCCTACGCGTCGTGCATCGTGGTGCACTCACTTGACCACCCGGTGGCTGCTCGTCCTTGTTCCCCCAAACGGCTTTCCTCACCCGTTTCTGCCATCATCATCGCGCTGACCAGCTTTCGCGACGTCACAGACGACAGCATCCGCATCGCCGTCGCCTGGTTGAAAGATCACGTCGAGGTATGTGACAAGTACTCAGCACCATTTTCCTCCTTCATCTTGGGCACCCGGGGCTTCGCGCGGGCCCAATTGCCTTTGCGCCTCAAACCTACCCTCTCATGACGGCCTGCCACTTAGACGCCAGGCTTGTCGTTCACCTTGAAAGCCCCCGCGTCTTCACTCTGCAGCACGCGCCTCATCCCTGGCGCGTCGCCCAGCCGCCACCACACGTCTTCCCAGCTCTCCGCCTCAGACACGACATGCACCACACCACTCACGCTACCACCTCTGTGCCCCAAAGACTAACGCTCATCGCAGTCAACCCATTTTCGTTACCTCCACACAAAAACCACCACACATTCAAAATGCCTAAGACCGCAGCTCCCAAGCGCAATGGCAAGAAGCGTGCCAAGAAGGGTAAGTCGACTTGATGACCTGCTTTGACACGGCTGCGCGTCTCGGGGACCCCATGCTGCGGCATCTTGAGCCATTCGCTCGAGTTCATGCAACTGACCGCCCTGCAGACCCCAACGCCCCCAAGCGTGGTCTCTCCGCCTACATGTTCTTCGCCAACGAGCAACGCGAGAACGTGCGTGAGGAAAACCCCGGCATCTCCTTTGGCCAGGTCGGCAAGCTCCTGGGTGAGCGATGGAAGGCCCTCAACGACAAGCAGCGCGCGCCCTACGAGGCCAAGGCCGCTGCCGACAAGAAGCGATATGAGGACGAGAAGCAAGCTTACAACGTAGGCACGCCCGGCGCTGCTCACTGAGAATGCAACGGCTGGCTAACGGGCTCGATAGGCTGAAGAAGAGTCATCGTAGGCTGGCGCTTGACCTCGGGTCGTCTTTTCCTTTTCTTTCGGGTGTCCCCTTGTATTTTGGGCCGGGTGGTGTTGTATGACTGCGGGACGGGGCGCGCGCTTTTGCTTTTTAGGTGCCGGAAATGAATGGAACTGGGTCTCAATGGTTTCGCGATCTGGATGGCGGCCGACTGAGCTGCAGGCCATCCCCTATTGCTCATGCTCGTGAGCACCTCCATCACGGTCATGCTAACGCCACGAGACATGAATGCGAGCACACTGTACAACTTCTAGAAGCTTCGTGCTCATACTTTTTGTCGCCGTATCTGCTCGTGCTTGACGCTGGTGAAGTTGTCGACGAGCATTGTGAAGTGGTGCATGACTGGAAAAGTTCCAAGTCGAAACCACGTCTGACTGTCCAACCAGGGGCTTCGCTGGCCTTTTTGTATCTGGCGGAGCAGCAGCCAGCAGGTGACGAGGCATGTGACGCCCGAGGCCGTGCAAAGTGAACCAAGAAGAAGTAGCTTGTACCGCCGCCCGCCTGATATTCCGACCGCACTCCCCGCTGAGACCATGAACCGTCGCCAAAGACCAATGAGATTCCCTGCGAACACCGAGTTCTGTCTGTCACCGACATGGCCCTTGGCCGCCGCCTCTGCCGCAGCGTGCAAACGCGGTGCCCTGGTCGCCTTCGAGGCACCCAATCAGAGCCGCTTCCCGGACACCAGTCCTCGGAGCCTACTGCCCATCCTGTCCAGGCATGGGACGGCGGAGACGAGGGCCACAGTTTGAACGGCCCATGCCCGGACTGAACAACCATGATCGTTGCTGTTGCAGCATCAGATGCATCATGCAAGTCCCCAGTCGGCTCTCACCAGCTTGCCCACACCCCCCCAACCCCCATGCATCAGCCGCTCGGGTGCCCAGCCAAGGCGACAGACGCTTGCTATCGTGGCAGTCTGTGACAAGCTCCTGCCGCCGCCTGGCCCGGGATGGGATGCGCAGATGGTACGGGAGAGCAGACCAGTTGGGCTGCCACGAGACATGGTCGGCTCCATCTCGACGGCCAGCCTTTGATTAGCAGCATCTTGCGGTCTTGCATTGCACAATGCAACTCTCATCATTCCTGACTGCACGCGATACTCTGTGGACACGCCCGAGGCCAGAGGCAGCTGGCACAGTCGCCCTCACACAAACTGGCTGTCATGCGCCTTTGTGCTCGTCAAATAATTATACGGAATCTGCGCTGTCGGCGAACGCCGCCTGCAGTTGGCTCCGGACCCTTCTCAAGCAGAGCCGCTGCAGACTTTAGTCTCGCGTCCCCCCCCGCCCTTCGTTGCCGTCGTTGGCCCATCTCACTCATCACCTCGAGGAGACCAGGCGACCATCCTCAACCATGCCGCTTCGTTCCTTTCCCAGAAAAGCTTGTCCGAATTTTGATATAACCTCGACAATTGACTGCATTGAAAGCTGTGGACAGGTCACGGCCACCCCGGGCCGTCTCAATCATTGCGCCGCATAGGCGCCGCGGGACCTGCTGGACAGGGGACCATGGGCGCGCAACAGATCCGTCATCCATTGAGCAGTTGTTGCCGGGCCGGACCCCTTGAGGACGCAGGTCTGGGCTGAGCTGGGTGCTGTGCAGCCCCGTGTACGTAACGCCATGGACATGCACCTGCTTCGGGGCTGCTGCCTCGAGGCAGAGAGATCTGACTTCGTCTCGTGCCTGCTCGAGGGGTTGTGTCTTGCTCTCAACGACACCAGCGACCCTCATTTGAAAACAGTCATTGAGGAGGTCAGAGCCGGCAGCCGGATCCTCCGCGAGCTGGCAGACCTTTCCCAGATACACCAAGACCGTGTTCCGCTGATACTAGAACCTCTCAACATTGTCCTGCCATGTCTCTCACGGTCTCTGAGGGACATTGCTGCATACTACGGCGACCGGACGCGGCCAAGGGCCAGCCGATGGCGGAACATGTATCACAAGATGACCAACGAGGCGGGAGGTCTCCCCTTGCCTGGGCGGTTCATCGTTTACAACCAACATCTGAGCTTAGTGCGGGCCTTGTTGATTCGGTAGCTGTCTCTCCCGTTGTGACTCAGTCATGGCTCTGACGTGCGAGGTCTAGGTCGCCGAATTTCGACCTGAACATGATGGAGAAGCTTCGTCTTCAGATCATGCAGCTTCGTGAAGCAAGAAGCATACGTGAGCCAACGGGACCCCTCGTGCTCGACAACAGACCATGCTGACTGCAGGTGGATCGCGAAGCGCCGCCTTCGATACAAGCTGGACCTCTTGTCCGCTACAACACATTGCCACTTTATGACGTGGACCCCGTACGTTTCTAAGCCAACCTTGGCCTCGCGTGTTCCTCACAAGATGACGCAGACATCACACTGGGCAGAGCACATCTTCTCTCTCCCCTTGCCGTCTCGGACTGCTCTCGAGCGTCGATGTCTGTACGTTCCCGATGCGACCTGCCGCAGAGTGGCGCGGGGCTGATTTGCACTCGCAGGTCCAAGTCTTTGGGTCCCCATCGTCCCTGGGGTCATCTCGACATCCCAATACACTGCAAGACCCTGTTCCGAAGGTATAGCCAGCTCCCCGGCACAGGTTTCTATGAATCATCCCCTGACAATGGCAGATCGTTCAATGACGATGGGATATCTTTGACTGTATACCTGAGCGGGAGGGATAACTCGCCCTACTTGTCGTTGAGAATCCTTGAAAATGGAAACCCCTGGTTCTCAGTGCGCGGTGCCCATGAGCTCTGCGTCAAGCGGAGGGAAAGCTCTCTACAGTTCAAGCGATGGAGCCGCACAGAAGGCCACTCGAAAGTTTGGGCCGTTCTCTGTTTCATGACATGGGAAGGTAAGTCGTCGTGTTTCCCAGTGGGGACTCTTTGGATGGCCTGCTTCGACTTGCGGACGGGCCGTGAGGAGCTGGACTCTGCTCAAGGGGACCATGGCTGATACGCCTCTGGCCAGATCTCGTACTCATGCACTCTACGTTTATCTCTTTGAAGGCCCGCAACCGCCTGACTATCAGTCTCAGTCCTGAAGAATACGAGCTTTGGGGCGAGGAAGCACTCTTCCAGGCGTAAGTTGTCCGCGAGTGACAACCCTCCCAGGAACATCTCGCTGACCCGTGTCATTGGAAGGTGCATCGACGATGACGGCTTTAACCATTGTCTCATGGTGTTCCGGGACCGCCCAACTGGGGGCCTCCGCCTCCACGCTGCTGTTTGGGACGGGGAGCTGCACGGCTGCCCCGTCTGGACCGCCTTTGGTTTGTCCCCCTTTCCCGGAGCGATGGCGAAGTCCTCCCCGGCCAACACGGCACAGGAGAATTCTGACTCTTGGCAACAAAAGTAACGCATCAGTCTGCCTCGCCCACCTGGCTCAAGCGCATCTCGCGCCACAGGGTCTGCCTGGCCGACGTGCAGCTCTACGTTTTCTGTCATCAGTACCGGCAGCAGAATCAGCGCCGAGGGCCTGCTGGGGCCTTTGAGATTAGGTTCTTCAGCGACGAAGGTGAGCGAGATCTTGGACGCTGCTGATGTTCTCAACCTCTGGTTATAGTTTGTCTTGTTTCTTGGCGTCTTCCTGTGTAGCTCTTGCCTCTTATATGTGTCTCGACTTGGAGCTGACTGGCCGGTGTAGATGCTCGCCGCTTCGTACATGTCTTTTACTTATTCGCGTCGGCTGCAGTGGCGGCGTAGGCGGGCGGTGTGAATGTGAGCGCGTGATGTGCCCTGATGAATCGTGCATCGGCCCCGTCCAAGGGCTCAGCGCAGACTTCATCTCTCACACATGTCATACGGATTGGACCACGTCGAAACAGGGTCTGCAAGGTAGAATGTCCATGACCTGATTGCTCGAGCGTTGAAATCGTGATTTGAAAGCGAGTCCTCCATTCATTTCAGGCGCGTGGTGTAATTTTCTCGTTATTCGTTTACGAGGCATTACAAAGAGTATTGACACGACGTCAGGGCGGCGATGATGCTTGCGCTGAGGTCAAGATGATGAATGCGTGAATGTCCACCTCCTTCCTTTCCACGCTCCCTCCCCTCCCTGCTGGGCCACGCGACCACTCAGGTCCTGACGTCGGGCTCGTCGCGGCCAACGTGCTGCTTGAACTTGAGCAGTTCCGTGGCGAACTTGACCTCTGCCTTGAGGAAGTCTTGGGCGTCCATGTCGTACGTCGACGGGTCGCTGCTGTGCTGCTCAATGTAGAGCCGGATGGTGGCGCCAGAGGAGCCGGTGCCGGAGAGGCGGACGACGACGCGGCTGCCGGAGGAGAAGCAGGCGTAGAGGCCCTGGTTAGAGGCGACGGAGCCATCGAGGTCCGTGTAGGAAAAGTTGCCCGCCCTGGTGACGGTGCGCTCTGAATTCTCGTTAGTTGCTTCAGTCGTCGTTCTGGTGCGACAACCGACACAGAACAGGCATCATGCAGGGGCAGTACCTCCAATCTTGCTGCCGACAAAGCCCGGGTCGGCGACTAGGTTCTTGAGCTCTCCAACCACCTTGTTGGCGCCATCCGAGTCGACGTCCTCGTAGTCGTAGCGGGTGAAAAAGGTGCGGCCGTACTGGGTCCAAAAGTCCTTTTGGATCTGCTTAATCGAGGGCGCCACGCCGGGGTTCTGGACGCCAAGCGCGGCGATGATGTTGAGCCAGGCGACAATGGCCCAGAGGCCGTCCTTTTCGCGGATGTGGTCGCTGCCGGTGCCGAAGCTCTCCTCGCCGCAGATGGAGAGCTTGTTTGCGTCGAAGAGGGCGCAGAAAAACTTCCAGCCGGTGGGGACCTCGTAGCAGTCGAGCTTCTGGGCCTTGGCGACGAGGTCGACGGCGCCCGAGGTGGGCATGGATCGGGCGAGGCCGTTGACGCCCTTCTTCCGGAAGTAGGGGATGAGCTTGGCGTGGTGGGCGATGATGGCGAGGGAGTCGCCGGGGGAGACGAAGGCATTGGCGCCGTAAATCATGTTGCGGTCGCCGTCGCCGTCCGAGGCGGCGCCAAAGGGAATGTCCTTGCTGTCGACTGCCTCGACGAGGGAGTGGGCATAGGTCAGGTTGGGGTCCGGGTGGCCGCCGTTGAAGTCGGGGCTGGGCTCGCAGTTTTGCGTGGCCCCGGCGAGGCCGAGCTCCTCTTGAAAGATGGCCTTGCCGTAGGGGCCCGTGACACCGTGCAGGCCGTCGAAGAGGACCTTGAAGTCGGGGTGGGCGGAGAAGAAGCGCTTGATGGTGGCAAAGTCGAAGATGTCCTTGAGCATGGCGACGTAGTCGGCGGTGCTGTCAATGACCTCGACCTCGAGGGCGCCGTACGTCTTTGCGCCGACGGCGGAGATGTCGACGTCGGGGATGGAGGCGAGCTTGTACGAGGTCAAGGTTTTTGAGGCCTCGTAGATGTTGTTGGTGACGGACTCGGGGGCGGGGCCACCGTTGGCGAGGTTGTACTTGATGCCGAAGTCATTCTGGGGGCCTGGCGGTAGAGGGGGAGGTGGTTACTTTGGAGGGGGGCCCTTGTGAGAGACGTGGACGACATACCGCCGGGGTTGTGGCTCGCAGTGAGGAGGATGCCGCCGGTTGCCTTTCGCAGCCGAATGACGTGGCTGGCGGCGGGGGTGGAGAGGATGCCGTTTTGGCCGATGAGGAGCTTCTTCACGCCATAGGCGGCGCCCATCTTGGCGATGAGCTGAATCACCTCTGGGTTCCAGTAGCGGCCATCGCCGCCGATGACGAGGAATGAGTCTGAGGGCCGGGGGTCAGCGCGCTTGCGTCTTTGCAGTTGTTGTAGCGAGAGCTCAGGCGTACGCACCCTTGACGCCCTCGGGGATGGAGAGGAGGATGCTGGCGACAAAGGACTCGCTGTAGTGTGGCTGCTGGAAGACGGTGACCTTTTTGCGGAGACCGGAGCTGGACGGGGTGCGTCAGTTCGTGGATTGAGAGGGGGAGAGGATGCCGTGACGTACGTGCCGGGCTTTTGGTCCTGAAAGGGCTTGAAGTCGATAGTCTTGATCTCCATGGCTGCTGCGTTCTCGGTGGAGGAGGAGGAGACGAAGAGCGGGAGAGCGGGCAATGAGTGAAGGAGGAGGAGGAGGAGGGGGAGGAAGGGGAGGAGGAATACTATGGTTGATTAAAAGGCTGGAAGAGAGGCAACAGGAGCTTTTTTGTTCTCGTTGGGGGAGAGAAGCAGGGATCATTGGCAGGGTGAGAGGGGAAGCTCTGATCATCAATGCCACAGCTTTCTATGGCGGGGTAATTATGATGTATTGCCGTGCATCTTTTGCCCCGCCTCTGGCCCTGATCTCGAGGTGCATCTTGCATGGACATACGGATACTCCGTAGGCCTACATTCAGACGCGTGCGCTGCAGAAGTGGCAAGTTTTGGAGTCTCTTTCCTCTCCCTCTGTCTTGCACGGCCAGCCAGCGGCGGTTACGTTACGGAGCATCGTCAAGTCATTTGCCGAGCATACAATCCACAGGCCATCGCACCACTCATGACGCCGACATCCCCTTACCCGGAGCCTCTCGGGACCCAGACGAGGGACGAAAGATGGCGTCGCGGTAGAACCTGGCCTCGGCGATGCTCTCGAGAATGTCGTCCCTCGCCACGTGGCTGCCCCTCTTGCGCGGAGCAGCGTCCAGCAGGCCCGGCGGGCTCCACCGCCGCGCCGCCTCCTTGATGGCGCTGACGTCGAGCAGGCGGTAGTGCAGGTGGTCGACGACGGCGGCGTACGGCCCGCGGCGCAGGAACGCGCGGTCGGCGTGCACGCTGTTGCCGGCCAGCAGCGCCCTTCGCGGCTCCGGCACCAGGCCCGTCACGTAGCGGTAGAGCCCGTCGGCCGCCTGCGCCGGCGTCGTCGTCGAGGCCAGCACCGCCGCCGTCAGCCCGGAGCGCGCGTGCGTCGAGGTGCACCACGCGTCCATGCGGTCGAGGCGCCACTGCGGCCAGTGAACGACGGCGTGGAAGCCCTCGGCGTCGACGACTTCGAGGTTGCCTGTCGTGACGATGCAGTATATTTCCATGATTTCGTCCGTGTCGGGGTCGAGGCCCGTCATCTGGCCCTCGGACATGTCAGTTTTTCTTTTCTTTTCCTTGCCTGCATGGACATGGCGCAGGGATACTTGCCTCGCAGTCGATCCAGACGAGCGCATCGTCGCCCGGGCTGCCGCTCGCGTTGGCCGGCATAATGATGGCGTTTGAGTGATGCAGCGTTGATGATGCGAGTAGGGAGAAAAGTGAGTTTGCCGGGACAGTGGGGGCTTCAGGGTAGGTCGATATTACTTGGGAGAAAAACGCCAATGCCTCTCCTGACATCAACTACGACAGCACATCGGTCCGGCGAAGAAGGACTTCGAGTATCTCTTCCTGTCTGACATGTGCGACGAGACACACATACACACACACACATATATATATATATATAATATCCAGCACAAGCACCTGGCTTGGACTGTATATGGCCCACCACAATTCGATCTGCTGGGCTATAAAGGGCCATGAGTGACGGGATAATCGATCCAAACATACCGACCAAGATCCAATCCTGCCGCATCAGATCCGCGGCATGACCAAGCACGGATCTCCTGGGGCCACGGAAAGATTCGTGAGCCATGGAATCCACCTCGAACTCACACTGAACACTGGAGTCTACAAGCTGAGCCGCAACTTCGCCCATGGCCAATCGATGCTTTGTACTACCCCCTTTACTCTCCTGAACATGCAATTCGTGAGTTGCTAGCTTGTGCGTTGCAAATGCTGGGTTGAGTCATTTGTCAAGTCAACTCTTGCGGAAGAAGACAAATCCACGACAACCCCGTGGGTGTCTTCTACACCCTGGACATCGTGCCCCTTGCTGCGGGTAGCAAGCCTGACATGTTCACCGCAAGAAGAATAGGGAAAGAAAACATCAACTTGGACTTGTTGAATATGTAGCTAGAGAGGTGCCGAGAGCGGCACGGCGATGCGTGCTTCGACTCGCGGAGGCGTACGTCCAGTGCCTTTTGCACACCTTGGGGGCCAAGGGTCCGGAGCCCTTGACTGTCGTCAACGTTATTCGCGAGACTGATAGCATCTTGTTTCTTACCTTGATTATAACTTGGCACCCCTGCCAAGTACTTCAACATGAGCAGCTGCTGTCTCCCTGGTAGTTGCAGGCGATAAAGTCAGGGGAAAATGTTGCACTTCTTGGTGCTTTCTGACGTAGAATCTCGAAGTTATTTAATATGAAGAAGGCAGGAAAAAGGGCGAGCCCCTCGGGGTGCTTTTGTTGTGGTTGCAAAAAAATAGTGAGAGAGATGCTGGCCAGCTTACCAGAGCCTCAAGGATATACTGCCACTTACATGACGTGGTTCGTACTTGGTATTATAAAGTATATAAAGCCCATAATAGTTGAGCTAAACTCAAGCTAGTCCTGTATAACCTGCAGTCGTAAGGAAAACTCCCGAAAAGGAAAGACGCCTGTATCAAAGTCAGACAATTGTCTTCCGAGTCTGGTATGTTGCCGAAGAAGCGCGAACTCTTCAACGACAGTCCCTGTTCGTCATGAATTTCAAAGGGGAGGTTATACCAAAACTCGATCGAGCATGTTCTAGTATTATCAAGCTGTGACTGCTTTCTTCCCTTGACAGCTGAAAGCTGAAAAAGAACGACGAGATTGGGGACTTGGCCAAGGGAATAACTCGTGCGCGTGTTCTACAAACGGCCTTGGTTATCTCTTTATGCCCAGGGCTACCTAATTCTCCTTTTCCCACACCACAGTCCGCTCCTGACAGTGCTTCACTGCTCTCGGACCCTGACCACGGCCGCATCCACCCGTTCAATGGCGGCGATATTGACGTCTATCATTGCCTGGATGTCGGCTGGGTCAATGGCCGTTAAGCGGTCGGCATAGTCTTGCAGGCGATCTGCGTGTCTCACGGCATCCAACCTCAATGTCGCTGCCTCTGCTCGATCCCTCGCCGCCTCTACTCGATCCTGCTTTATGCTGTCAAAGATGACATTTATCTCGTCGAAAGCCTCCTTGTCTCCCTTGACCTTCTTTGGGTTCCGATTGACGTTCCCGAGGGACCACGGGGACCACGGGGACCTCATTGACGTAGCCCTTGATGCGGGGCTTTCTAGGAAGTCTGCGTCGCTAAGTTGGTCTAAGCTTGGCGTTTCCTTTGATGTCGACCAGTTCTTGGGCATCACGTCGAGAAAGAGGTCCACGTCCGGGTCCCACCGTTTTTTGATGCTTGTCCAGACGGATGAGCTCTTGACCACATCCTCATCCCACATTTCCCGGACTAAGAGCCACGCGGCCCTGGAGGGACATGATTCTCAATACACACCCAGTCCTTGATAGGAACTCGCCTTGAGAGACCCTTGGACCATCCCGCGTCCCAGGGACACACGGTGGTGTAATACTCTTCCGTTGGAAGTATCTCACGCGTTACGCGACCGCTGTTGATCCGCCGGGACGCAAAAGGGATGGGGAAGGTGGTCATGTAGGACTTCCCAGCTGAAGACACGAAAGACACAGGCTATGTAAGTGCATACGAAGGCATGCTAGACACCAACCTACCGTATAGAGTACTTATAACTGACAACTGCCACGGCTTTTCGACAGATCTAGAGCGCATTTGTTGCGGAGAACAGTAACCGCCCGGCCAGGCATAGGTGAAGACACTCCAGGAGATGCGGTGCTGGTGCGGTACTCACATCCCGACGACAAGTACTGTTGGGTACAGTCTGGGGTAAGCACACTCACGCCATCCCTCATGTATAAAGACGGCTGAATTGTGACCAGATTGGCTTCTTACTCCGACTTCGTACACGTATATCAAGACGGCTTGATGCCCCCCTGGCTCTATTCCACTGCACGTTGGAGAGTTGCTAAACATGGCGCCACGTCGTCAACGTCCTTCAAGCTCGGAACAGTCAACTGCGTGCACCGAGGCCACAGCTCTTCAAACGACAACTGGACGCTGGTTGGCAGCCGAGGAGGGCATCGCCGGGACCGAAGCAGCAGGTCTCTTCCCGATGATAACCGGGCGTAAACTGGATGACTGGCTCTTGATTTTGACACCCAGCGACTACCGGGCCAGACATGAGTCCATGACAAAACGATGACCTACTCGGTTTCCAAACGGGAACCGCAGGCATGTCTTCGCCAGGCACCATGTAGCCACGGGCTTCACCCACTCAGCCATGCGCTCGTCGTCAAAGCTGAGCCAGGACAGCCTGTCACGGGCTATGCCCGGCTGGTGGACCCGGTTGTACCGGGTCCGGTGGGTCGTGCTCCGGTGGCAACACCGGCCCCGCTCCGCGGACCCGGAATCTGCGAGAACATTCCGTGAAGGGCAATATAAGCTCGCACTCGAGGCTACGCCTCGAGTTCAGCTTCCTTCTCCTTAGCTCTAGATAGACAACACATAGGCACCTGCTTGTTGAACAAACTCCGGGCCAGCCTCTTACATATCTAGAGCTCACTACCGATGGACTCAACCCTTGCAGACGGGAGCTCCCCGGAGCGGACCTCCCAGCTCCTCATGCAGATGATGAGCCAGATGGCTGAACAGTTGCAAAGTTTGCGTGCCGACCGCGATGCCGATCGCGACGCCACGCGCGAGCAGATTCAACTGCTGCAAGACAGTCTGACGACCTCGAGACCAACGCCCTTGGGGACCGAGTCGGAGAGCAGAGCGGAACCTCTGCATGAACCGAATCGTTTGGTCGACACATCATTGCGGAAGACTAGGCCGACTCTCCCAGACCCACCGCGATTCGAGGGCGTTCGATCCAAGTTTCGCGCTTGGCTGAGCGAGATGAAGAACAAGCTTCGCGTAGACGGAAGGGTAATTGGGAATAAGGCGGACCAGTTCGCCTACATTTACGCGCGACTAGGGGGTGCCCCTCAGCAAATGACGATCGCGTATGTAGAAGCCGGAGGAAGGGGTGGAGACTCAGATCCGGACCAGTACCTCCAATATTTGGAAGAGTGCTACGGGGACCCGAACGCCAGGACTCGCGCGCTGGACAAATTGCGATCCTGAGGCAAAGAGACAAGGAAAGCTTTGCGACACTGCTCCTCGCTTCGAGAAAGAACTCGCTGATTCCGGCGGCGCCACCTGGCCGGAAGAAGTCAAAATCAGCTACCTGGAGGGCGCCCTGAGTCCGGAGTTGCGACTGGCAACTGTCTACGCGGCGCCCACTCGCTCCACGTACTCGGAATGGGTCCGATCTCTTCAAAGGCTGTCCTCAGGTCTAGAAGGTGTAGAGAAAAGGAACGCCCTTCGAAGCGGTGGTGCAACCCATGATAGTCGAGGCCGCGACGCAGACGGAGATACCAAATGGCAGATGTCAACCGTACAGGTCACGAGCCGAAGAAACGTCGCAACGCAGATGTGGCGCCCAAGAACGAGCGCCGCTGTTACCGATGCGGCCGGAAGGGTCATCTCGTCGCGGAATGCCCAGCTCATTTGGTCTTTCCTGGCGAAGCGAAGAAAACGGTCAGGAGCCGCCCGGGTGAAGCAGCCGGATGCGAGCGATGACGATTCGAGTCGGCCGCAACATCCAGTGGGGATGACGAGCCGATGGGAAAGACTAGCCCCGGTGCGAAAGCGGGCGCCGGGGCATTCGAAGGCAGATGTCCAAGACTGGGAGGCGTTCAAGCCGCGTATGAATAGTCGACCCGTGCTCGTTAACGCACGGCTCAACAGAGGCAATCCTATACGCGTCCTAGTCGATAGTGGATGTGACTGCTATGCCGTGATTGACGAAGCGGTCGTCCGGAAGTTTCGAATCCCTCTCGTTGATTCGAAGCCTCGAGAGATCGGGGGATTCTCGGAGTCCTCAGAAAGTGTCACGTCGCCGGGAGTTGTGGCTGTCGTTGTGGAGACCGCCGGTTTCGACGAACGCATCTTTGCGTACGTCGTCCCAAGCCTCGGCCAGGATATGTTCCTTGGCCGGCCTTGATGGAGAGGAACCAGGTCGTGTACGACGCTGCTAAGCGGCAAGTGTTCCACGGAAGAGCAGGCGTGACGATACGCCTCATGGGGCAGGAAGAGCCCGCCAAAGTACGCGCAATTCGAAGCGCAAGACTTGTGTCGGCAGCCGTGTTCACGGCAGAGTGCCGGCGTGCAAAGAGACGCCAGACGTGCGATGCGTTCTCGATACAAGCGATCAGCTTGGCAGACATAGAAAAGCGCTTCAACCGAAGCCGCCAGTTGATCCGAGCAAGATGGTCCCAGCGGAAGTGTTGAAAGAGTTCCGCAACCTGTTTTCACCAGAGGAGGCCATGAAGCTGCCGCCACACCGGCCAGGTGTGGACCACGAGGTAAACTTGCAGCCTGACAAGAATGGCAACGAGCCGCCCTGCCATGGGGACCGCTCTACAACATGTCACGCGAAGAGTTGTTGGTCTTGCGAAAGACCCTGAAAGACCTTTTGGATAGAGGGTTCATCCGAGCGAGTAGCTCGGCGGCCGCAGCGCCGGTGCTGTTCGTGAGGAAGCCAAGTGGAGGGCTGCGATTCTGCTGTGACTATCGGGCGCTGAACGCAATCACCAAGCGCGACCGATACCCGCTGCCACTCATCGCCGAGACGTTGCAGAACTTGGCCAAGGCCAAATGGTTTACCAAGTTAGACGTCGTAGCCGCCTTCCACAAGATCCGCATGGCCCCCGGGCACGAATGGAAGACGGCATTCCGCACGAGGTTCGGGCTCTACGAGTGGCTCGTGTGCCCCCTTCGGCCTAAGCGGCGCCCCAGCATCGTTCCAACGATACATGAACAGCGTGTTGCGCGAGTGGCTGGACGATTTCGTCACGGCGTACCTAGACGATGTGTTGATCTATTCGAGTGGTTCAAAGGCTGATCATGAGGCCAAGGTGCGAAAGGTTCTCCAAGCACTCGCCGACGCCGGCCTACATCTAGACCCAGCGAAGTGCGAGTTTTCCGTACAAGAGGTCAAGTACCTTGGGTTCATTGTCAATGCAGGGAAGGGAATCGCGTGCGACCCCGAGAAGCAGCGCGCCATCCGCGAATGGGAAGCCCTACCACGGTGAAGGGTGTCAGAAGCTTTCTGCTTCGCCAACTACTACAGGATCTTCATCCCCGACTACGCTAAGATCACTCAGCCGCTAGACGCTCTGCTGAAGAAAGGAACTGCCTTTTGTTGGGGCGGGCGGAGAACGAGGCGTTTCATGAACTGAAGCGACGATTTTGCGAGTCACCGGTGCTCAAGCAGTGGGACCCGAGCCTCCCGACCTTTTGGAGACGGATTGCTCAGGCTACGCATTGGGAGGCGTCCTGTCGCAGGAAGGCCCAGATGGACGTCGACACTCATGCGCCTTCTTCTCGAAGCGACTTTCGCCAGCGGAGTACAACTATCCCATTCACGACAAGGAGATGCTTGCCATCATGAGATGTCTCGACAACTGGAACGCCGAACTTAGGAGCTGCGGCCCATTTACAATCCTTACCGATCACCGCAACCTGGAGTATTTCATGACACGCCAGAAGCTCACGGAACGGCAGAGCCGTTGGGCAGCCGAATTGTCCCAGTTCGACTTCAAGCTCGAGTATCGACCGGGAAGCGAGGCTGTCGTGCCTGATGCGTTGTCCCGCCGTGAACAAGACAAGCCACAGGGCATTGACGACGAGCGGGAACAAGGAAGAATGATACAGTTGATACCGGATAGTGCCATTCCATCATCGACAAGAGCATGTATCAACGCGATGAGTTCTGACTGTTCAGAGGCATCCACCCTGCCGAAGATGAAGGTCTTCGAGGTAGCGGACCTGCAGCAACTCTGGGACGAAACGGTGGCGAAGGACTCGATATTCCGGGCAGCCTATAAGGCAGTCCGCGATCGCGAGCGTGCCTTCCCGCCCTCGCTGGGCCTGAAGATCCAGATTTCAGAATGTGCGATCGACGTAGGCAAAAGGCTGACATTCAGAGACCGTATTTGGGTGCCGGGTGGATCCGGAGAGGAGGGTAACCAGGAGGAAGCTGAGAAAGACCAGTTGAGAACCCGCATTGTGCAGCAGTCGCATGACTCTGTTGCGACCGGTCATCCCGGCAGGGAAGGTACGCTGGCTATTGTGGCTCGGCGATTCTACTGGCCTGGGCAGTCCCAGCTGGTTCGCCGGTACGTAGCCAATTGCGACACCTGCGGCAGAGCACACATCTGGCGCCAGTCGAAAAGGGATTTCTCAAGCCTCTCCGATTCCAGATCGACCCCGAAGCCATTTGTCCATGGACTTCATCACAGATCTGCCGCCTACTGGACCGAGCAAGGCAAGGTACCTGTGGGTGATTGTGGACAGACTGACAAAGGCTGTGACCTCGAGGTGATGGAAACATGGAAGCTGAGCCGTGTGCAAAACGTTTTCTCCAGTGCCATTACCGATTTCATGGAATGCCACGGTCCATCGTCAGCGACCGCGGAGCAACTGGCTAAGTAGGTTCTGGAAGAGGTTCTGCCGTCTTGCAGGTGTCACGCAGAAATTGAGCACGGCCTATCATCCTCAGACGGACGGAGGGCCAGAGAGAATGAACCAGGAGATCGAGGCCTACCTGAGAGCCTACGTGTCGTACGTGCAGGACGACTGGGAGAACTGCTCTCTGCCGCGCAGCTGGCACTCAACAATCGTGAATCCGCAGCGACCAAGATCAGCCCCTTTTTCGCTGAGCATGGTTACCACGTCGATCCCATCAGCGTCGAGGAATCGGAAGAGCCACCGAGGCATAGAGAGGAAAGCAGAGCTGATAGCCTACTCAGTCGCCTGCAGGAGGTCAATGAGTACATGCAAGCAGTAATGGCCTCCTCACAGCAACAACAAGAAGAGGCTGCCAACGCAAGGCGACATCCTGCGGAGCGATTTGAAGTTGGTGACAAGGTGTGGCTCTCGATGGCAAACTACAGATCGCCACGACCGTGCAAGAAGCTCGACTGGCTGCATCACAAGTACACAGTCACGAAGGTAATTAGTTCGCACGTCGTTGAGCTCGATGTTCGTGGTTCAATTTACCCGCGATTCCATGTTGACCTTTTGCGGAGGGCGCATCAAGATCCGGCTCCTGGCCAAAAGGTGGATGACGCACAGCCACCACCGGTACAAGATGAGACCGGCGCGGATCTGTGGGATGTCGACGAGATCCTCTGCGCGAGATGGAAGAAGCGCGGACGAGGGGAATTCAGGCAAGCACTAGTGCGATGGACGGGCTACGCAGAGCCGACTTGGGAGCCAGTTGAGTGGTTGCAAGGAACAATTGCGATGAAGGCATTCGAGGACAAGTACGGGCCAATCAAGACCAATGATGGCCCTAGGGAGAGGTACGAGACGCTGGCAGGAACGCAAGAACCCCGCAGACGCCGACCTGGTCGGAGGGGAGAAGGGGGGTAATGTCACGGGCTATGCCCGGCTGGTGGACCCGGTTGTACCGGGTCCGGTGGGTCGTGCTCCGGTGGCAACACCGGCCCCGCTCCGCGGACCCGGAATCTGCGAGAACATTCCGTGAAGGGCAATATAAGCTCGCACTCGAGGCTACGCCTCGAGTTCAGCTTCCTTTCCTCCTTAGCTCTAGATAGACAACACATAGGCACCTGCTTGTTGAACAAACTCCGGGCCAGCCTCTTACACAGCCTCGGCAGAAGAGACGGTCACGTCACGCGCGGGCTCCTTCTCCGCATACACGACGCTGCCCTTGTCAATGACCATGGCATACCGGGCCGTGCGCTCGCCCTTGAGCCAGCCAAGCTTCTTGGAAAAGGCCGTGTCGGTATCGGACAGGAAGAGCTGTTCGGCCTTGATCAGCACATGTGATGGGTCCGACGACAAGTTCCAGCATACAATATCATCATTCTTGATTTGGTTGGCCTTGCCCCAGGCGCTCATGACATAGGCGTCATTATAGGCGATGACGGCGACAGTGTCGACGCCCTTTCCCTTGAACTTGGCCAAGCTGCTGATGTAGCCGGGGAGATGCTTCTCGGAGCAGGTCCCGGTGAAAGCGCCGGGGACGGACACGAGGACTATCTTTTTGTCGGCAAACTCTATGGCTTGGATTAGCAACGCCGTGGCGTCTAGCCGAGGGCACAGCACCTTTGGAGGCATCGTAGGTCACGGGGATGCCACAGCTGTTGATGGAGCTCTTGTCCTCGCTGTAGGGAATGTATGAGAAGGCAACGCCGTCGGGGAACCTGTCTCCAGCGCGGAGCCCGGTCATGGCGCCTGGTGGTGCGACGAGGACGGTGTATTTCTTTTTATCAATTCCCCAGATGCTCTTCTCTTTAATGCTGATGCCTCGACTCCGCTCTGCTCTTCAGCACTCACAGATGCGCCATTGCTCGTTGAAGTAACGGCCCTTAAATAGTCTTATATAGTCTTACACCCGTCAGCCAAGACCTACTTCGCACACTCCCCCCCCCTTTTCCCCCCCCCCCCCTCCCCCCTTTCTCCCCCTCTTCTTCTCCCACCTCTTCCACTTCTCCCGCCTCTCCCACCTCTCACTCAACTGAGACATGCTCAACACTACGGACTGACGAATATCACCGGTCGCCATGCGTCGGGCCGCGAGATAAGATGCTTGGCCTGGTCGGCACCCGACTTTCTCGACTGTTTCTTGCATCTCCTCCACTCGCGCCTCGTCGAGCTCGACCGCCCGCAATGGCCTCGGCTCTCCGCAGGCCCGTCCAATGGCTGTGCCACGAGTTTGGCGTCGCGTCCGTCTACACGACGGGCCCGGACACTTGGCTCGTCATCTTCTCGCGCACATGCCGCATGTTTGCCTTTGGCGCCATCTCCCTCATCATTGCCCTCTTCCTGTCCGCCCTCGGCTTCTCCGACTTTCGGATTGGCCTCTTCATGACCTTGACCCTGGCCGGAGACGTCGTCCTCTCCCTGGCCACGGCTCTGGTTGCCGACCGGATAGGCCGCCGCCGCATCCTCTTGCTGGGGGGCTCGCTCATGGTGCTCTCGGGCGCCGTCTTTGCCTACTTTGAAAACTTCTGGATCCTCCTCGGCGCCGCCGTCGTCGGCGTCGTCAGCGCCACTGGCGGCGACTTCGGGCCCTTCCGCTCCGTCGAGGAGTCGACCCTCTCCCACCTGACGACACCCTCGACCCGGTCCGACGTCTTGTCCTGGTATGTGACCACGTCGACGCTCGGCTCGGCCGTCGGCACCGAGCTTGCCGGCCGCGCAGTCGACTATCTGCTGCGCTTCAACGGCCGCTCCATCATCAACGCCTACCACGCCATGTTCGGCATCTACGTTGCCATGGGTGCATTGACCATTGTCTCCACGCTCCTCATGAGCAAGCGGTGCGAGGCCGACGAGTCGTCCGAGCAAGATGCCATGGCCTCGGAGCCTCTGCTTGGCGAGGAGCCGAACGCAGAGGGAAGCAATGAGTGTCACAATGCCGACGGATCGCCACCTGCGAGCCCGGCTACACCACCCGAGGAAAGCCCACGCGACCAGAGCTCGCCGGAGCCTCAGTCTCGCTTGGCCCGAATGTGGAGGGCGAGTCGCCTCGCCCAAATCTCGTCAGACTCTCGCTCTGTCGTCATCAAGCTATGGATCCTCCTGACCATAGACTCCTTGGCCGACGGCATGGTCTCGTACGCCCTGACAAACTATTATCTCGCGAGAAAGTTCGACCTTTCCGAGTCGTACCGAGGAGACATCATGTCCATCAGCTACCTACTCATGTCTATATCCACCATCTTTGCAGCGCCGCTTGCTCGTCACCTCGGCCTCATCAATACCATGGTCTTTACGCACCTGCCGTCCTCGGCGGCCGTGCTGCTGTTCCCCATCCCCCAGAGCGTGGGCATGACCATCACCCTGCTCTTTGTCCGCACCGGCCTCAACAACATGGACCAGGCCCCGAGAGCCGCTTTTATAGCCGCCGCGGTCAGGCCCGAGGAGCGGACGGCCGTCATGGGCATTACGGGCTTGTTGAGGACGTTGGCTTCGACCATCGGCCCTAGTCTGACTGGTTTCCTTGCCGGCACCGACAGGTTCTGGATAGCCTTTGTCATTGCGGGAGCCTTGCGCATCGGTTACGACCTCGGCCTTTTTTTCCTCTTTGTCGGCCTGAAGCTGCACGCTCTCGAGCCAGCAGAGGACCAGGCTTATGATCCGACGCGATCCGACGAGGAGACAACTTCTGCCGAGGCTGTAGATGGCGGAAGGGCTGCCTTGGCAAGAGATTAGAGTGCTGGGTTCGGAACCGCGGAACTGCGTCGTCAATCACAGGGGCTGCCAAGAATATATGTAGAAGGAATATCAATGTTTTACTAAGAAGTCAGTGCAAGAGATTAACGTTCTTCGTACATGATTATTCCAACCACCTTATTTGGACTTGGTCGTCGGCAACTTCCACGAACCCGAAACTCCCATCCTGGCCATCCACCCTCGAGTATAGCTCCTGACCGAGTCGCCGAACCCCCTCTGCCATCGACGGTAGCGCAGCTGCACCTTGCCCTTGCTGGGAAGGCTGTCCTCCGAAGTCGAGGCCGAAATGGCCCTGGATCCGGGGAGTACAATGGGCCCGAGCCTGTAGGAAATTTGGCGCCCGTTGATTTCCAGCAGCTCCTTGACAGGAATCAGGTGCTCGTCGGCTCCGCAAGCCATCTTGGCATCCAAAAGGCACCTGGCGGCGGCCTTCATGCGTTCCGTGGCCGCGGCTTCCAGCCCCTGAAGATAGGCCTTCGCTTCACCCCCGAGATACTTCCTCTCCAGCATCTTGGGCATAAGGCAGCCAAAGTTTCGAGCTTTTAGACAGACGTCCAACTCTGAGTCCCGGGAGAATAGGTCTAGCTGCTTGGGTAGGATGTCTTGGGAAATCTCGTTGCCGGCGTTGATCTTGGCCCGCATCAGGTGGTTGGCGTAGATGACGACGCTGGCTCCCGCGTCGTGCAAGACGTCTTCGGGGGTCTTTGAGTACGTCGTTGGCACGACGACGAGAGGCGTGTCGGGATCTTTGGCTCGGAATTGCCCGAGAAACGAGAGAACCTCGTCTGCCTGTTTGCTTTTGCTGTGGATCATGATTGCGTCCGCTCCGGCGTCGCGGTAGACCTCTGCGCGAGCCAGCGCCTCGGCCAGTGCAGCCTGGACCGAGGCCTTCTCCTCAGCCGTGCTGGACTGGACGACTCGCGTCGTGAAGCTTTCGATCCGGGCCGTGACCATGAAGTCTTTGTGCGTCGAGGCCTCCTTGAAGATGCGTATCGTGTCGGCGAACTCGTGCATATCTGCCTGCCCCTGAGAGGCCGACGAGCTCGCCAGAGAGTTGACCTTCTTCCCGGGCTCAGCCACCTCCTTGTCCTCGATGATGACCATGCCGACGCCCATGGCTACCAGGACGGCCACCAGCGCCGGGATCTCTGCCGCCGGGCCGCCGCTGTCGGCGTCGTATGCCGCACATAGCTCGCGAGACGCCTTCTGCGGCGTGCCGCCGTAGAAGTCGATGAGGGAGGCGCGCTGTAGCGGCGAGATGATTTCGGAGTCCGGAATCCCCAGGTACGTTGTTTGGGTGAGGCCGCTGATCCAGACGCCGTGGAAAGCCTGGTTGTCGGCGCCCACAGCACTCCTCACAATGTCTTCGGAGTTGCGGTCATGGGCCTCCAACAAGTGGATACGCCCATTGCCCTGAGCAAGCGCTGATCTGACCGAAATGGGCATGTTGATGTTTCCGAAGCGCAAGACGTGTAAAATGACAAGTTCCGGCGATAGCCTCGAGACGAAGAAACAGATACTACAGCCTACCACGAAGAGCAGGGCGCAAGGGAACCAGCACACTGGTTTCCTAACTGTCGCTCACTTATACTCAGAGTTTCAAGAAAATGACTGTGCTCCGTGCTGGGACGGCACAAATGGATCACATGGATAAGCTACGTATGAGCGGTTCACCTATGTATCCTAGCCGTGTTCTCTCTTAGTCCTTGCGGTGAAGCTGCGTAGGGAGTAGTCCGTGGAGCATCTCGGGATAGCTTCCCTTCCGTCAGCCACCGTGGTGCATTGTGCCCCATGTGATTTACGGCAGGATATCGAAACGCCGTGGAGTGTCTATAGACCTTCTGTTCGATTGGAGACATATACAGCCCCAATGGATGCCTCTGGTGGAGCGTTCCGCTTTTGCCCGGTCAAGCGGTTGATTGCTTTCCACAGAAGCTTGCCATGTTGCAATGGCACCACTCGCGTGACATATTGCCCATCCCGTCTTTATGCACAAGGGTCTGAGACATTGTGCCGCACTCTTGGCTCGGTAAAGTAAGCCCTTGGGCATATAGGGCTAGAATGCTTCGTATCATCATCGCCGCGTCGAATGACGTTTATATCGTCAGCCATTCAGAAAGTCATCGTTGAATCAACCGACTTGATAAGAGATTGTCAGGGCCACCTAAGGCGCACAAGGCAGGCTCGCTGTCTCAGCCGTTGGTTGACTCGTCACCGAGGTAGTTTTGCCAAGGACGGTAACGGCATATTACGCGCGTATATGCATCTTGAGAACGTAAGTACATGGAGTTACACCATGTTTGCCAAGCTCAGCGAGAGCAAACCACAGGAATGATTTTGTCATGGCTCAAGGTCGACACAGGATTTTATTCAATCGAGTCCCCTCATGGAAGCTACTCCATATGCAACAGCATATAATTTGACGGGGCCATGGAGCGGCAGGCGTTTGCTCCAACATCTCTTTAGCTCAACCAGTATAGTATGTCTTGGCCAGCTTTCACATAGAGCTAAGCCCGTAGGGTCAGCTCAGGAGGTTTCCGGCACTATTACGGATACAGTACTGCTAAGTGACATCAAGTTAGGATATTACCCCTAGTAAATAACGAGGGATTAGGTTTGTACGCCGCGGAGAATAGGAGTCATATATCGTTGCTCTTACTCGTGTATGACTAGCCTACACCTTCCACTCTGTTCTGAGAGCACATAATTGTGCATAGGCCTGCGTGCTGTCCGCCCCTTTGCACCTGGAAGGCTCGACTTTCCCTTTCTTATCTGGTCGGGACACGACGACTTGCTCGAGCTGAGTGAAATTGATGCGCCAGCTCGAGGATCCGACCCACCATCCCTGCACCTTGCACCTATCGTGCTAGGGTATGCGGAAAGATAGTGCCGTTACGCATCTCAGATGGGAGAAGGCCTGCCGTCCAGTGCCGAGATATTGTCGGGATGAGCACGTGTCCAGTAGCCATTTCCACCCGGAGTTGGAGACCCGTGCCCATTGTGGGATGCTTGAGCCACTGCCGCTGGCCCCAAAACCATATCCTCTGCATTACTTGCAGCCAGGTCACGGCCTGAATCTCGGTGACGCTTCTACGTTTGGCTGTCGAGTCCACACTTTGCTGCCCATCACCAAAAACCTCTCCTGTTGCCTGTGTTCAGGAATCCCTGAGTCGTCTTGCGTTTCATCTTCCCTGGAAGCATGCTCCCTTTCGACCCTAGAGAGTTCCACGACCATGTGCTCAAGCTCAACGGCATAGAAGCCGTCTTTGGAGTGCCTGACTCCACCCTAAGCGGACTGTTGAGCTACTTTGCCGCGACCCAGGATGTGCCGCAGCATATCGTCCTGGCAAATGAAGGGGGCGCGGTTGGGCTGGCCGTGGGCTACTACCTGTCTACCAGGAAAGTCGCCCTGTGCTATTTGCAGAATTCGGGATATTCCAACGCCTTGAATCCGCTGCAGAGCCTGGCCGCCAAGGAAGTATTTGGGACCCCGATGCTGCTCATGATAGGGTGGCGTGGCAAGCCGGGGATCAAGGACGAACCGCAGCACGCATTGATCGGTCCGAGGCTCCTAAGCAACCTGGAGGCCAACGATATACCATACGAGCAGATTCCTGACACAATCGCCCAGTCCAAAGACACAGTTGCGCGTCTCATTGCAACGTCTCTGGACAAGCAAACACCGGTCGCGTTGATTGTGCCGCCGGGAGCATTTTCCAAATACGAGGGCAAGGCTCCGCTGGACAGCTCGCCCGCCAGGAGAGCAGGCCATGTAGCAGCAACAAGATGGCTGTCCTCTGCTTCGGACTTCGGACTCTCTCGCGAACAAGTCGTCCGAAGTGTCCTCGCGCATATGAAGGACACAGACGTCTCCGTCTCTTCACTGGGTGGGAACTCTCGCGAGCTATACATGGTCCGCAAGGCGAGAGGAGAGTCGCTCGGGAGCAATTTCTTCTGCATCGGAGCCATGGGTCATGCCTTTGCTGTTGCGAACGGTGTCAGGATGGGAGCCCCTTCCAGCCGTCGGCTATTTTGCATCGACGGTGACGGATCTTTTCTCATGCATGTCGGGAACAATGCCGTTCTGGCCGACATATCGCAGCCGGGTATAGTCCATGTCGTCATCTTCAACGGAGTGCACAGCTCGACTGGGAGCCAGCCTCTCACGATAAGCAGGAACGCATTCCTTGCCATGGCCGAGGGCCTCGGCTACCAGCAAAAGTTCTTCGTGGACGAGGCAAACGGATTGGAGAGGGCCTTGCAGCAGTCATCGGGCGGTGGAAGTGCACTCATTGTCGTTGTCGCAAATACTTTGGTTTCTGACAGCCTTCCGCGACCGTCCGAATCTCCATATGAGCTCAGAGACATGTTCATGAAAACCCTTGCCTAGGTCGATGCTGGAGCTCTCCGGTCTTGAGGCACAACCCGAACCAAAAGGCCAGATGCGAGATGGTCGTAGTGGTCTTGCCTGAGTCGATGGCGCTGGCGTCGGTTGGTGATCTAGGGGTCAGCATGACGGCTCATATAGCTGGCCGCTTTTAACAATGTCTTATTCGAGGGAACGCAGCTACTATATCGCACTACACTCTTTGATTAAGATGGACTTAGTAGGTCGCCGTGTTTATATAGCATGTGCTTACTCTCAAACAGCTATTTGAGAGTATAACGGAAGAGTGCAGTAGGGTGGGCACATATGGATGAAAGCAACGATGCACAGTGACTTTTCTATGACCCTATACGTCGCTTAATAAAGAGTAAATTACTGTTTTCAGCGTCACCAAGCGTGAAGTACCCGATCTTGTTCTCTATACCATATGATTCGATAAAGTCGAGGGCTTCTGCCGCGATGTTGGAGCCAGAATGGCTAGCAGAGACCTCGAACAGTCCCAGAACGATATTACAGGGCTTGTTCTCGTCGTCTCGGCAGAAGCACATGATCCCATACGGCGCGTGACGATCCCCAGACCTCCAGCCGTCAAAAGAGATATAGACTAGGCTAGGGGAGCTCGGGAGAATCGCTGTAATCTTCTTTTTATGCTGTTCATATGACGCCATGATCTTTTTGCGAACAGTGTCGATTAGCATCATGAAGCTTCACAGAGAGACTGAGATTTGCGAAAGTTTCTTGTGTCCTATGGCTTTAAACGAGAGGTTAATATCGACAATTCATTATATTAGAAGCCATTAAAAATGCTCCAAAGACCACAATTTTCAATATCAATAATAACGAGTACGAGGTGTACTGCCGCGAACCTATGATGATGATATTAAGTCCGTTAAAATGGTGGTGAAAATCAGCGTAGCGAAGATGATTCCCTAACTTATCTTTAATAACCGTCGATATTCTATTAATCGCGCCTATGTCTACTAAGATAGAACGACTCTTCTTGAAAGCTAAAGTTACGGTAGCTAACTAGCAAGGATCTATAAATATTAAAGCTTTAAATCTCTTAGAATGTCTACGATCCTAAGATAGGAGCGTTTTAATAGTCTATTCGGAAGTAAGTTTGCTGCCTCGTAAGGAGTACGTTCGTCTAATTATAGATTTTAGTATTACTATTAAGGAGAGTAGGTATAAGAGGCTATAGTTATACCTAGTAGACCTAATAGTTATATATAAGGAAGCCTGCCTAACTAATATAACTCCCCTAGCCTAAGGACATTATATAGGCTTAACTTAGGTATAGGAATATCTTAATGCCCTCTTTTAGCTAGCTATATATAGTTACTATACCTATATAAGCCCCTCCCTTATCCTAATAGATAGACTAAGATATGCATTACTAAATTTACCTTTCTATGCCCTTATTTCTTCCACTGTGCTCTCAAGCCCCTGCTTGAGAATTACTATTTCGGTCCGGCAGCCACGGGGACAACCTCCGACGCGTATGATTCAGTAACGTGATAAGGAAGGTGGCGGTAGAGACAATTCGGCGATGGCATTGGGAAACTTGGAGGTAGATACAAGGAAGGGCCAAAAGTTGTCTTTTATTCAGCCGAAGGCTGTCTGTCTCTACATTAATCCAGAAGTTTTCCGAATAGTGAGGGTTTGGTGCAGACAGGGATTAATAAAGTTTCCCTAGCTCTAATTGGTCCAAAATTTGTATGCTATCCGCGAATCGTCCGGCAATTGGATAACGGCTCCTAAAAGGTGGGCGGGCTCCTTGGTTTGTTTAATTGAAATTTCGCGACATGGAAACTTCACCCCACAAATCTCAACTCGGCGGCGCTCTGAAGGTTTCGGGGTCCCGAATAAGATATCCTTCTGCTTCTGTCGCAGTAATTAGTTCGGGCTAACCATGTAAGGTAGATGCGAGAGTAGATGCGAGGCGAGATCAACCACAGCCGATGCGGCCTGTCATCCAAGTCACGGCCAAAAACCTCCTGGCGCGGCAGCTGCACCTAATAACAAGGCGGGCAGCCCTGCGAAGCAGATGCCCGTGTGTATTGGCGCTCGTGTGATGCTGACGTTCAACCTTTGGCAGCCAATTGGCCTCTGCAGTTATGCAACGGCGCTCGCGGTACGGTCTACGAGATCGCCCGGGCACCTGGGGCCGATCCGACGCAAGACCCGCCCTGTGTTATCATGATGGAGTTTGGGCGGGCCGGTCGTCTTTACCATTTGCGACAGCTTAACCACCAGCGGCGGCAGGCAAATGGTGCCGATTCTCCTAATAGAGAGGGACTTCCCTTGTTAGAGCCAATCTTTGCTCTTGCTCTTAGTTTCCCCTAATCGTATACTAGGCAATCGCCGTGCATAAGTCGCAAAGCATCACCGAGGACCTGATCGTTACGGACCTATCCTGCCGTGACTTTTAGACCGGTTTAAGCTACGTGGCCGTGTCGCGAGTGAAGATATTGCTCGATACGCCGTTCAACCACAGTCACCTACTTACGCGTCTCCGCCAGAGGGCACCAGGATAAAGATGAGATATCAGCAACTTCGCAGACAACAGGTTCTCGTACAGAACCCCTATAAGACAGACCACGGGCCTGCATAACTCCATGTGATGCAGCTCACCAATCTCGCGATGAAGAAATGTTACCAAAATGATCTAGGGCGTAGATAATGCAGGGGATAGTTTTATGGTTGTAGATAATTTAACTGCTCGACCCTTGGTGACTGCTTGACCTGTTAGTCCGCAGACTCGCACGCAGCCTTCGGCTGATTATACGCCTTGCACCACAGCCCTACATTGCAAGGTGTGACGTTGTATTTTAGTCTAAATCACAGTTTGTACTGCAGTCCAGTCTGAGCGTGACGGACGGACCAATAGTTCAGTCTGCGCATCTCAGTCAGACTGACTAAAGGGCAGTTTGAGGCGTCTAGACCGACTGTTTACACTATTATTAGTAGACTTAAAAATACCCATAGGTATTTGCTTATAGGCTACCTATACCTACCTACGGGCTATTTTAGGGCCACTATAAATACTTAGTAGGTAGGTAAATTTAAAATAGGTACCTAAAAATATATATAGGTATATTCGGGCTACTTATAGGCATTACCTATTTAGTTTTATTATACTAATCGTTTATACTTATCTTAATATAAGGTACCTATAAAATATATATAGGCTATATAGCTAAAAGTAGTATTAAATTAAAGGATAAGATCCTATAGATATTATTTATTCTCTAACTTAACTATCCTTTTAATATTTAAAGTCCTATCGTCGCGGTTAAATATTCTCCCTATATCTAGTTCTCTTTATAGAGGAGGCGACTATTGCCTCTATTATTATACGGCCTTTTTGCTTTTTCTTATAGCTTTAAACTTATTCTTCCTAATAAGAGTTACTTTCCTCTATCTCCTTTACTTCCCCTATCTCCTCTACTTTCTCTATCTCCTCTACTTCTTTTAACTCGTTATTACTTAGTAAAGTAATATTAATTATATCGCGATACTTATCTCTCCCTTACTAGCTTTACGTTTATATTTAAAGAGAGTCTATAAAAAGCTTTTATTAGATAATACCTATAAGCTATAAGTAAGTATAAAATCTCTTACTTTAATCTTAATCTTCTTTATATAGTATTATAGCCTCTTTATTAAGATAAATTCTACTAAAAGGATTCTTATTTTTAGGAGTATAAGATATCTTTAAAGCTATATTAAGCTTATATAGCCGATCTTTATACTTCTTTATAAGGTTAATACTATTATTAATCTTTATATCTTAAAGAAAGATACTATCCTATATATTAAATTAAGACTATAGGATCGATAGCGTAAATCTCGCCTTTAAGTTTAAGAGTTTTATCTTAGATCGCTAGTATATATTAATCTACCGGTAAATACTCTAAGCGCGCTTAAGTAGTACGCTACTTAGTTATATTACTAGAAATTCTTATACTATAATATAAATATTCTTATGCCTTTTATACTAAGATATATAGCGCTAAAAGCTATATATATCCTTAGATAGTAACTTCCTTAGCTAAGATTAGTATATTACTTATATATTAATATAAATAAATAAAAACTTACTCTCTTTAAAAAAAGCCTTATAGACCGAAATACCTTTATTACTTTATAAAGTCCCTTAATATATAATTAGTATAAATAATTACTATAAATTATTATACTATTTACTTTTATTAGACTAAGAAACTAAGTAAGCTAGTCCTTATAGGAGTTGAGAGTAATATTAATATTAAAGGATTATACTAATAACTATAAGAATCGTTATTAGTAATAGGAAATAAATATATCTTTATAAGTCCTTTATACTTACTTAGAACTAAGTAGATTAGCTTCGGTCTCTTTTTTTAGTAAAATAAGTAATCTTACTTAATAAATATTAAGCTTACTAATACTTAATAGGGGTATAAGTAAGGTAGTAATTATATATACTTCCTTTTCCTCTTAAAGGTAGTTAATATACTTAGTAAGCTTTTTCTTTATATTATTAATTACTATTATTAGTATACTTTACTAGTTATTGCTAGTATTATAAATATTAGTAATTTTAGTATAGGAGTAAAAGAGATACTTATAAATTATCTTTAGTAAGTTTTAAGATTCTAAGAGTATTATATCTTTCCCTTAGCTAACGTTATTTATAAGCTATAGGAATATCTTCCTAATATTAATTAAGTAGTTAATTTACTCTTAATTCTTAGTAGATAAAGGCAGGCTAAGCTAGGTATTACTAGTAAGAAGTATATTAATTACCTATTATAGCTCCTTAGCTCTCTTAAGTATTATAATAGTAGAGTTCTAGTATATAATAATATAACTAGGAATACTTAATAGTTATTTATTTAGTTAGACCTCTTATTAAATATTAAAGAAAACCTTTATTTACTTCGCGCTTTAATAAAGTATTAATACTAGTATATAGATCTAAGAGGGTTCATATAAAGATTAGTATATAAGTTATAGTA